ACCAACTTGTCCAGAAAGATTTTGACGACAAAGTGGCTCGAAGTCGGTCCAGTTTCAACTTGCTTGACAACATGAGAAGAAATGCTCCGACAAATGACCAGAACGAAGATGGACCACCGGGACGCCTAGCCCCAAGAAAGCGATCGTTAAACAAAGACGAAAACGTCACCCTTGCTGTCTCAGAATCGCCCCAGCCAAGTGACTCATTATGCTTTTCTTATAGTGTGAGTCTGACAATGCTCATACGTGAGGCGATTAATACCCTTTACGCCCCCGGTACAGCCAATAAACAATGGGTGGACGTGGCAATTGCGATTGCTTCATTAAACGTCAAAGCCAACACTTGGCTTGCCTCGCTCCCGGCATCTTACCAGTTCCAACGGATTTCCGTGACTGGGCCTCTGAGGCATCAACTGTCCCGGCTCGCTTTCCAGTTCTATTTCACCAAGCTTCTCATCACACAGCCATGCCTTCGACGACTCATGTATAGCTCCGAAGAGGTGTCCGACGCATCTGAAGATGTTTTCGATCCAATGGCGAGCATATGCATTCAGGCTACAGGGCAACTACTCGACTTACTGCCAGACGAACCAAACCTGACCTGGTTGTATGGGGTCGTTCCATGGTGGTGCGCTCTCCATTATCTCATGCAGGCCATCGCCATTATTTTGACCGAATCATTTCTCCGTGCCAATGCCGGCACGGTTGACACCATTGGGATCTCCCAAAAATTGACAAAGGCTACAGCGTGGGTCAAAGAGTTGTCTAAAGTAGATATTTCTGCGCGGAAAGCCTTTCTGATTTGCTCGGATATCATCTCACGCCAAGTGTCATGACTTGGGTTGGCTCCTTGAAGAGGAAATCAAGATTAAGCCCTAGACAAAGCGCTCGGCATCCTAGGGGCTTCGTTGTTTCAATCCAATGGGGATACCTGCTAAATAATCTAGACTACTGAGATTACAAGCTTTGTTTATACTTTTGCTCAATTGAGGAAACCTGGTTTCTCTTGGAAAGTTCCCTCAATGTTTGATACAAACCCTTCATGGGTGATATGTTTTCACAACTTCTGCCTCGGGACGCAGGGTCAGCGTAAAATTCGATGAAGCTGGGCTTTTTTGGGCACGCCTATAAATTCCATGGGCTTTCCTACCTCATCAGCCTACCTGAGTAGGCCTGAAGCCGTAAATCTGGCCCCAAATATAACTGGCGTATATCAGTATTGCATATTCTCGTGTTACCAAGTTGGCGTACATACTTTGTTGAGATTGATGGTGCATCAGACATTTGATGCCTGATATACCAGGCAACAACAAGGTGATTAACGTAATTCACTACCGAGCCGGCCACACCACCGAGTCGGCCACTTCAGAACACCATAGTTAAAGGCTGTTTTTGATAAACTTATATCTTAACAACCATAACTTCAATTCCGTTAATTAGTTACATATATATATTGATAAGCATATCCTAACATCTCTAGAACTTTCAAGCGAATCAATAAATCAGATAACGATGATACCATAAATTACAATGTAATTTAGCTACTTCAGCTACAGATATATATATCTTGAATAGTCTATCATAAAAATCCCCTAAACTTTGTCGAAGTGTTATACTATGTATCTGGAACATGACCTTTTAATATGAAATATATATAAGTCCCTATTGTTAGGATATAGTACTGTAATTTATCCCCTTAACTATGGTGTTCTGAAGTGGCCGACTCGGTGGTGTGGCCGGCTCGGTAGTGAATTACGTTAAGTTAACTAACTAGTTAACTAGTTAGTTAAGTTAGCATTGATCCTGTTCACTGCACCAGTCTCTCTATAAAAGAGGTCGGATTACCTTCCAAGTAGTGTTTAGGTTCTGGATATATCCTCTCCATCTATATAGGATTTTTCTCCCATTGAGAGAGATCATACTTAAAACACCTCACTGGCCTTGACATACATAATTCCCAGTATATTCATCGTATAATTTTAACATACTTAGCTACATGAGCACCCCACAAGCAAGTTTGATTCCTTGATCAGAAGGGCAGGTGTTTGAACCCTTGATGTTTCTCTAAATATATATATATATATATATTATAAATGAGTAATGTTCCAAAAGCATGCATATTAAGATCTTCTAATGCAGTCATACAATGTACATTCCGGATGGACCTACATAGTATGATGTAACGGTGCCTTTGCTGATCGCTCCGGGAAACATGAACTACAAGGCCGTTCACTATGCCAACCGCACAGCTAAGACACAAAAGTGAAATAATTATGGTTTCACCGCAGATTCATTAATACCAATGTTCGGGTGATATCAGAATACATTCAATATTTCAATACCGTAAGGATGTCTTAAACAGCATAGAGCAGTCCAGACGGGTCGACATGTCATATCACACGCGGCTAGGGGGTCAAGTATGTGACACCTGACAGGTCTAGGCCGCCAAGAGTCGTCTCGTGCTTTTTATCGCATCAAGGAGATGTTCGTACCTTGAACCCTTTGCAGTAAATGTTTCGGAATAAATTCGATATGTCAAATACCGTAAGGATGCTTGAGACCCTTATTTGATTGGGCCAGCATGGAGCCGTCCAGCCGGATCGACATGTCATATCAGACGCGGCTAGGGGGTCAAGTATGTGACACCTGACAGATATAGGCCGCCAAGAGTCGTCACCTGCTTTTTTCTCGCATCAAGAAGACGTTCGTACCTTGAACCCTTTGCAGTAAATGGACTTGATGCGTCGCAGTAAAAGTCGTTTTGGTACTAGTAAGCTTCCTATCGCCCCTTTCTCCACAGGTTGACTGAGACATGATAACTTTACATTTTATCTACACCTGGCCGATATCAAAGCACCCTAGCTCCTTTACGGCAATTTGCTGTCGGTATGGTATTATTTACTAAGCACGAAAATACTGGCGACAGTTTTCCCCTTAATTAAAAACGTAGCCCTGGACGACAAGCTCTGTCACATAGAATAGTAGCCGAAACAACCGCTAATGGGGGATTGTGTATAGGCTTTCCCTAGCGTCCTTTTCGGCACCCTTCAATCCTCAGATGCGGCTTTGCTGTCGGGATTAGCAGGACAAAATTCAAACCCGCATTTTAGTAGTGACTAGATCTAATAGATAGGGCTGGTATACTTAAACTTGGAGGCGCCACGATGTTTTCGGTTTGGCCGGAAGCTAGCCTAACCAATCACTTAACGCGGGGATCAGTTTTCCATCTTCATAACCACTAGACTGAACATCATATCTTCAAAGCTTTCATAACTCGCTTAATCGGATACCGTGTTTGTTGCTCTTGATATGGAAATAATAAGCGTGAGCACTGTACGAATTAATCATTCACTGTCGTAATCCTCAGAGTCCCCAAAGTCCGCCAGGCGATTTACTGACATCTAGCTAGGTTTCTTCTGAGCGTCTTGGATTATCAATGCTGATTGTTTATGCTCCGTGATAATCTTTTCCCAACGGCACATTTAGCGCGAACTTAGGTAGTCAATTATCGAATACTCTCATCTGTAACTTTGTTGGAGTGTCACCCATAACTAAACAGTGTACTGTATCGGTCCTAAATAATGCGGCAGATTGACTCAGACCAGTTGAAAATGAAGAGCTTTTCAAATAGGCAAGTGTATACATGTGTATTGATCAGTCATCACACTCGTCGCTCATTGAGGCCCCCAATGAATATATTGTAGTCGTAAATAGGTGAAGCCACCAAATCTACACAATGCAGTTCACTATGGCTGCTACTAGTTTCGCCGCACAATTAGATAAACCAAGACATAACCTTTGAGCTATGTAATGTTCAATAGGGCATTGAAACTACCACAGCACCAATAGTCGACTGGATTGAGCAGATTTAACTGCATCATTAAGATGACTCAATAAGATTACCCGGTAAACCATATGTTATATATTTTCCACGTAATGTGCTGGGAAGATTATGCTATATATACTAGTGCCACACCCAAATACGATGACTCATTTTAGCAATTTCTCACAGCATTGTTACCGTTTGGCCGTTAGATACTTCTTTGGGGAAACGATATAAGTTATCTCTGGCTGACTTGCTTAGCTGATGTGTCGCATTAGATGGAGTTGGAGGTACGACCAGCGGTTGTGAGAGAGGATCAAGGACCGACGGAAGAAGCAATATGAGAGAGAGGATCTCTCAACCTACGAAGCGATTGATTAAGGCTCCGGATAAGAAGAACTGAAAGCTACACAATGCTTGTCAAAGCCGTATGCGGCGACCATGATACAGCCGCGCTTGATGCGCATTGGGCTGAGGCACTTCCTCTTCAGGAGCAAAGCTGCAAATTGCGACAAATGCCCCTGTGAAGAGGGTTTTAAGATGCCGAAGCAAGTTTTACTTTAATTCCAGACATACAGTGAGCTCCGCCATGAGCTGTGGGCTAAATTGAATGATGCAGCCACTGAATTATCAAAACATGGCAAGCAAAACCCGATTGATTATGACACTATTGTGTCACATCCGCTGGCGACCCGCTACGTCGCTAAATTCAACGCATCAAACCGGCCTTCTTCCTCAGTTCCAACACGTGGAGCAAGAGGATTATGAAACCGAAGGCCTCGGGGCGATGGGGCCAGGTCTCGAAGTCGCCGAGTATTCGCCATGAAACACCACGACTGAGGAAGTCCAATATGACGTCTGACTACAATTGGAGAGTTGATCGACACCATACAGCATCAACTGGGGATGAAGATGGAATTGGAAACGAGGCCGGATCTCACTGCAGAGAGAACTGTCTGTGAATCAGCCTCTGTTTCTGGGACTGCGGGAGCATCAGGGGTACGGATTGCGAGTTCTTGCTTCATTTGAAAAGAAGCGCCTGCATAGTCATTACAATACTAGTTAGGCTCCAACGGGTTAATAGAAATTTGATTGATTGATTGATTGATTACCATGCAGTAATAGATATCCAATCAAACACAGATAGAAGACTAACAAACTCGTTCAATGTATCCACTTAAATGTAGAACATTGTCTCCGCAATTTTAGGATGGATAACCACATCTGCAGTGCGCGACATATTCACCGTGCTGTCAGTCCCATTTGTATTGCCATTGGAGTCAATCGACACGGGATCGAAGAGATCAAACAGGAAGCATCGCGCACGGGTACACACTAGATCAGCATAGTACGCAGGCGGACACACGCTAACAGCCTTCGTAGCACGACCGAACATGTAACAGATCTTATGCGTAAGGCCTTGCAGGGCATCCGCCGCGCCAAGACCGCCCGAGATAGCGGGATGCCGCGGGTAGAAGATCTCATCCCAAATGGTGAAGTAGTGCGCCGGACGAGCGGTACCCTGGAGGGTGGAGTGAGCCTGCAAGAAAAAGTCCCAGTGGCGGGCCTCCGAGACGCCGCGGTCGACGACAGTGCCAGGGATGGGGTTATCACGGTTGGAGTCCTGCTCGGTGGTTGGGTAAAAGCGGGTATTGTGGCGCTTCCCGACGACGATGATGGCGAGGCGGGGGAGGCCCTTCTTGCTTTGGTCGGCTGGGTAGGTCTTCCTGCAGGCTGCCTGAAGGAGGGGCAGTTCCTGGTCGATGACTTTGTTGTACTGGCCCTCTGAGACGCCGTCGCGGTAGACGATGATATTCTCGGGGAGGTTCTTGTTCAGATTGCGCCAGTGCAGGAGGCGGCTGACGAGGAGGATTTCCAGGTCCGCGACCATTTCCTGGCGGGCAACTTGGACGCGGATCTCGGCGGGCCATTGGGCGAGGGTTGAGTCGACTGAAGCGACAATGCCGGCGACAGAGGGGGCGGAGCTGGCGGAGCCGGGGGATGGGTGGGTGACGTCTATTCCGACGAGCATTGTTTTTCCTTCGGAGATGATGCCCAGGTCAGCGGTGCGGAGGGCTTGGTTGGCGCCGCCGAGTTTGAGGTTGATTTTCAGGCCGACGTTGGCATTGTACTGGTCGTTTGGGTTGACGAGTTTCTCGGCTAGGACGTTGACGTTGCGGATGCCGCAGCGCACGTCGCAAACTTGCTTGACGCAGTTGTAGATGGTAGTGTCTTTGGTACAGAAAATTCCCAGGATGAGATCCGGGTTGTGCTGCTTTCGCAATTCGAGGACGGCTGCATTTATGTCGGCGGCGTCGTTCTTGCCGGTGAGAATGACTCGCTTGCCGACCTTGTGGGGATTGACTGACATGCCCATGTCTCTGAGGGTCTTGCGGAAGCCCTGCAGGGACGCGTTGAGTTGATCGGGGTTATGGAAAATCGGCCGCGATCCCTGTTGGTCAATGTAGAGGTAAGTCCAGGACTTCATGACTGAGGGCTTAGAGAACTGGATGTGGCACATGTTCCAGCTGCCAGCGTTGGTCCTGATTTCCTTGGTCCTGTTCCCGTCTTTGTAGTAGACTTTGGGGGCTGGGAGAACGCGTCCAGGAAGCGTGATTAGGTCGGTGGAAGAGTTGATACCGAAAGCGGACTGTGAAATGAATTAGATATACTGACAAGATCTCCAGCGTGAGTTAGTCTTACAAGCGTAGCATTCAATGGCTGCCCTAGTCCCAACACGCCCAAACCATTGCTGACGATCGATTGGGCATTTTGACCGGGCTTTCGGCCCGTCACGGCGAACTTACGCATTGAAGCAATCTGATCGCCGGATAGCTTCGATTTGGCTGGCTGACCAGGCTCGACCACGCAGACCTCACAGGGAAGATAGATAGGTCTGTCATGCGATCCAACGTTAACCACAGGCAGGTTTGGATCTAACGACATGTTGTACTCTAAGGAGAAAGTCAGCATAAAGTGAGAAGGTTAGTGGAAGAGAAGGAATATATGACTGACCCCTCTTGAAGAAGGCCGCCACGGTGGTGTAGCGTCCAGCCTCTGCAGGACCGAGCCTCGGTGCTTTCTTCCCCTTCTTATCCTTGGGCTCAGGTGCACCGGGGACGGAAACACGCTGAGGGCTAGACTCATTAATAAAGAACTCTACATCGTTGGGGCCAGCGCCGTGGCGGGTGACCTTAGGTGGGTTGGCCGACGAGGCACCATCACCGCGGTTGGCCAAGCCATATATAGGCTTGATACGAGGGCGGGGCTGGCCGCGGCTGTTCTTGCGTGCGATGTGCGTAATACGAACACGTAGGTTCTTAAGGAACTTTTCTAAGTAATAGGTATTCCTGTTGCCGTAGCCTTGGATCATATTGGCTAGAGGACCTTCACTGTAGCAAGCGATGTACTTGATCTGCATGTTCAATAGAACACGAGCAGTCGCGGCACGGGCACTGACAAAGTATCCACGTAGGACGGAAAGACCACCGCCGAGGTTGAACGATTCCATGGTATCCTGGCGAATACTGTAGTGTCTGTTGGCACCGACCGAGACGACACCGTCGTCCGTCTTGGGGTGGTGCCCAATGATCACGTTGAGAGCAGCGACAATCTCTTCCTTGTACTCAAGCATGGCACCGGCATTTGTGGAGCGCAGGTAATTCATCAAGTCGGCCGGGTTGATATCACCAGTGTACTGGATGGTGACGCTGTGAACCCGGGGAGTTTCGGGGTAGTCATTCTCGAGGTCTTCTTTATACCGCACATCGAAATTGCCTTCAGTCAACTTGACATAGGAGACGAGAGTAGAGCGGAAGTCCGATGCAATACTCTTCTTCTCATGCGGGAAGTGCTCCTCTAAGAGCAGGCGAACAATTTGTCGGGCTTTTTTCCCCACGGGAGCTGAGCGGCCTGCAGAATCGGCTGCAATCGAGATGTGGTAGCGGAACAGTTGCTTGTTCGGAAGGCTCAGCGGCAGATAGTTGGCGTACAAAGTCACCGGTCTGCCAGCTGTGCCGTAGCCAGGCCGTTCGGGGTATTTGGCCTGTCTGGGCGCCTTCTGGCCGCCCATCGCAAGGTCTTTGGCGAGATCATTTTCCGTCTTGGTCACGTCATGACTGGGTACGGGGATAGTCCCGCCTTGTCTGTAGCCGGGCGATTAGATTTGGTAAGATAAACAATGAGAGCTATGGAGCGAAAAACACACCTGAAGATAGGAGGGCCATAGTTGTTTATATCACCGCGGTCGCATCTACGACCACATCGGAAGTCTCCTCTACCGAGAAAAGCACCACCTCTATCACCGCCTCGGCCGCGGAAATCACCCCGGAAGCCTCCACGGTTGCTATTCCCTCGCCTCTCTGGGCGGAAGCGCATTTCACCACGACCTTGCCCGTAGCCTCGGTCTCCTGCCCCACGGCTACGATCACCACGGCCACGATCCCTACCGCGTCCACGGTCGCCTCGTCCACGACCCCGATTATCACTCATGATAATTGACTCAAGGAAAAATAGATAGATAGAGGGCTGATCTACCTGGGAAGGCGAAGTCAAAAAGCTTGTGTGCGTAACTCCCACGATCCGAAATAAACCTTTCTGTATGAAGTCTTCCTAGCTTTAGTAAAGGACTTTCTAGCAAAGGATTCAGAGGATTTCGTAGATATCGACTTTATGGGATGTAACTATGATTTTCTATCCGTGGAAGGAACTTTCAGGAATGAGTCTTTTCACAAACACTGGCACTCAAGGAGTTGGTGTTGAAAGGCACTGCGGGCCGAAAACTTTCAACTAAAAAGCTCGTCGTTGTTTCTGGGGTTTTGTGGGAAGGGGCTCGGGAAGCCCGCTGATCTGCAACTGGTTCGCCGTTAGTTCTCGCAGGGCAGACAGCCCGCCAATTATATGGAACCCACTACTCACGCCACACGACGGCTGTGGGGACGCTCATATTATCCGCCAATAGGATCGGCCACCGATTTGCTGTTCGCCAATTATGTGGAATCCACTATTAACGCCACAATGATCATGGGGACGCTTATATTATCCGCCAATAGAATTAGTGACAGATTTGCTGTTCGCCAATTATGTGGAATCCACGATTAACGCCACATGATGGCTGTGGGGCCCAATAAAATGGCTTAGAGATTAACTGCACAACTACCCAGAGTTTAGAAAACAGAAGACAGTCATCAGATCTGCAGAGCCAGGTATGTAAGATTAGGGAATATACATAAAAAGTAACGTCCGGGTTACAATGTCCCCGCAAGCTTCATCCCTACAGATTCTGATTGATCGGATAAATCGGCCGTAGATGACGCTGTTCGTAGTAGCTTCAAAGGCCGAACTCTAATACGGTTTCCACCCATTCATTATAAGCACTAGATGCTGGGCATGATGCTTGAAAATTACTTAGCAGTCTAACCAAAGCGCATAGATTATCGAGAGGTTCTGAAATACCGATCAAATTTTAATAAGGAAAGACTTGGTAAACAGGGGCATTAAGCCAGCACGAACCCTCTTCCGCATGACAATGCGTAAACTAGAAAGGGGGGATTCTCCTACCTTCTTGGCAAGCGAGGCTCTTCATAGCCTTACAAGCCAACGTTTATATTCGCCATCTATGTATAGAGGCTATAAATAACTAACACATGGTGTGCGGTAAGTTATAGAGGTTGCACTTGGATTGGATGTTAGTCGAGTTTGGTATATAAGGCTCTCTTTAAGTCTTAGGAAAGGAGGTCGAAAGACAGTGGATTTTCTCAGAAACAACCGTCTGTGCCCTAAATCAAGGGCTTTTACCGTAAGTATACAAGGTACAAGCCCAGCTCCGTTATAGGGAGAGGATATGTATAGACGGACTATCCGGCAATTGCATTCCCTATAGGTACTTCAATTTAGATTTGACAATAGGGGCTACGTTTTCGGCCCCTTGCCTAATTGAACTACGTATTCTAATATCATATAGCGACGTAAGTGGACGGTCGTTTGCTCCGCTAAATAGAAAATAATTCAAGCATTCCTAGGACACGTTAAGCACACTTTATCACGAAGTAGTACGTAAGCATACTTAGTAGGAATTGAATATGAAAACTTCACTTTTAGTCACTCCTAGCTTATTAGCTAACGTCTACCAAATTTGTATAGCAAATGGCCTTATCATTCATCTCGCTAGGTTCGGTTAGCAAGCGTACCGTAACATCTTATCTTAATATGATGTCTATATTATTCTAAAGCTATAGGGGTACTGTTACATCCTTCTCCTTTTCCCTTTTCAGCAAGGGCACTGTGGTATTTCCCAGTGGAAGTATTCTAGATACGACCCTCAAACGAATTTGAAAGAATGACACTTAGCTCCTTTATCTCTTGGAATGAGAGTATACCGTTGAAAAATGTCCCGGCTAGGTTATAAAAGGGAAGACAATCCCTAGGTGAATCAATCATCTCACACATATCTACTTTCTCTCAAAGCACCGCTAAGCCTATCCAATTTTCTACTCGTCATTTCGAAAGACACAAATCTTCTACAATGAAGGCCTCGATCATCTCCGTTATCTCCTTCGCCCTTGCCGTTGCGGCTATGCCACCAACTGAGCATTCGGGAAAGCAGGGCAAGCATTCGATCATCAAATCCGAAAAACAATGCCAAGGGGGAAATGTCTCTTGCTGCTCCCCTAAGTCATCGGATACCGACAACGTTCTACTCTCGTTACTCGATGATGCCAATGTTCTGGCTGTCAAGGATTCTTATTGTTCGCCTATTAGCCTTATCGGCCCTCTGAACCTAGGTCTCCTAGGTAAGTAGAGTCCTAGAAGGTAATAAACACCTCTAACTTCTATGGAAGGCACCGTCGATGAATCTAAGGACAACTTTGATTGCAAGCATACCATTGCTTGCTGCAATGGCGACGACGTAAGTCCCTTGTATAACTATCGAATCACAGAATCGACTAGCTAATCAGTGATTTATAGTGCCGTCCCCTAAGTTCGGAGTAACTGATACAGGTCACACCTTATGGCGAAGCGAAGCTTTCGGTTCCTATAAAGCTTCCTTATAGACCTTCGTCGCCAGCACTAAGGAAAGACTATCATTTTCTGAGCCTAATTCCATTTCCCCCATGTCTAGCCGGTTTTAAATTGGACACATGAGCGGAAGATGAATTTTATCTTTTTACAGGCCGGTGTTATTGCCTAATTTCGAAGACTTTGCTACTCTTTTTTGTTTTTCTATTTGATTGGTATATATATCAATCGTCCACTCGTTTTGCTTATCTATATTTAGATAGAATCAATAATACTATCATGCTATCAATCAATCAATCGAGTTCTATTAACCTGTTAGAGCCGAACTAGTATGGTAATGGTTATGTAGGTGCTTCTTTCCAGATGAAGGAGGAACCCATCTGTACGCCTGATCACGCTCCAGAACGAACAGTGAGACTGGTCTTCAGAGTGTGAGAAGCTCAATACATGCAAACCAAATTGTCAAAAATCCGTAAAATCCCTCAAAGATCGCAGTACAAATAAGACCAATGCAGAATATTGCGTGGAATATACCATCCACCTCTCCATATATACCTCCGCACTCTCTCACCCCCCATAATGCACTCCAACGAGATCACACCTCGCTTCCAAGATCCGCTTCATCCCCAATTAGATGTCCAACGTAGCAGGTTGCCAGCTGGTTTGACACAATAGTGTCGTAACCAGTTAGGTTTTGCAACCCAATCTTCCAAAGGCTATCGAATAGCTCTCGCCGTATATCGTCAAATGTCTGTTATTAAATGTAAGACATGCTTCGGGTTTAGGAGCCCTCTCCGTAAGCGCATCTATCGAAATGCACAGCATTGATCTTGTACAGGAAGTGCTTTATGCAAAAACGCGTCTAGCGCAATTGTATCACGATCGCTGCATACGACGTCGACGGGCATTCGTACAACCTCAAATTATTTTTATCGGGTCATTTCATCAAGCGCTTCGTGGGCTAAGACATCCTCTCTCTCCCACTGCTTCTGCCAGCGCTCTTTGATCCTCGGACAGCTCGCTGGGCGGCTGTGGCAACCCGGATCATCATATTATCCGCTCCGCCGGTCGCACCTTCGGGGGCCGCTCATTTCGCATTGCCATCGGCAGCTTCATTGCCGGCTACCCCGAGGTGAGCGGGGATCCAGCGGAGGGTGACGTTTATGTGGGATTGAAGAGCCCGTTAACTTTGCCATTTCCCATGCTGGTATTGAATTCGCTGCCGGGCAATACTAGGCCGAGGTCCTCCACAAAGCTTGTGGTATGATCACAACCTGATAGATCTTACATATAGCTATCAATAATACTTCCCACGTAGAGCCCGAGATGCCGCGAAGGGCCTTTAGGCTGCTAGCCGCCTTAGCCAGAAGCCTTTTGCGATGCATTAAGAAATTGAGTATTTATCTAGTCAAACACCAAGTTATCTTGCATATTCTAATGGTTATATTGTGACGGGCTCGTCGCCTACCACTGCTACCGGCATCTAATCATGGCCACACGGGTAGTTGGGGATGGCATAGACGTCGCATTCGGAGGGAGGACTCGGAGGGATCACTTATGGAAAGAATCGATGATGGTGACACGGGGTTCACTATAGTGGATTAGTTCAAACTTGTCGGGTGCAAACCTCGCTGCATAGCGTCTGGCCCACTAGTCAGCTCTTCCGACAGCTTACTCAATAAGCCAGACGTTTGCTTCGTAGCTGTTCGAAACCGCTACGATGCAGACATCATCCACCTGCTCAAAAGCTTCAGTCTTGCCATAGCCAGTGAGCAATGAGCAGTTCTTAACAGGTGGCACGTTGAAAAGTAAGAAAAGTATCGGCGAGATCGGTGAACATTGTGGAATGCCAGTGTTAGTCGAAAAGGCGGTGCTCGGTTCAGGATTGCCGGGTAGGCGGATTCGAGTGGTACGGCCGGTGAGGAATGCTTGCAGCCATGCTAACTCTCCTAGACGTATTTGCCGCATTTTGTTAAGTAGACGCTCGTGAGAGACGTTATCGTAAGCGCCGGCGACATCGAGCAAGAGCATGGTTGCTTTTTGGCCTATCACCCAAGTGGTATTTTCCTGCCACCAAGATAAGTATCAGGCAGCAGCCGATGCTCTTCAACGGCCCAGGCGATTCGAGTAACAATGATTGCTTCAAGAATCTTGCCTAGCGCATTAAGCAATGCCACTGGACTATACGCCTTCGAAAGACAGTGATCCCGTGGCCAAGCCTTTCTCGGCGTCACTGTAATAGAGGTCTAGAAGTGTCGGGGGTTATGGCCGATTCGCCAGTGATAATGCCAGGAAGCGAACCAGTCACAATCCAGCCCTCAGAGCAAGCCAAATACCTCGGCATTTGGCTCGACAAACAACTCAGTTTTAACGTACACCGCAAGAAGCTACTAGCTAAGGCCGCTGGCAGCTTAGAAGCCCTCCGGGGTATCTCAGGGTCTACGTGGGGTGTATCGCTGATGTCTATGCGTAAGCTCTACCAGGCTGTCATTGTGCCGCAAGCTCTCTGGGGCATATCTGCATGGTACTGCCCTGCAGCGCGCAGGATGCCTGCCTGGGAAATGGCCCGGCTAGTCAATGAGCTAGTGAAATTGCAGAAACGTGCGGCTGTTTTGATCAGTGGCGCTTTCAAAAGCATCTCCACGGCTGCATTGGACATTGAACTCTTCTTGCTTCCGATGAAATTACGCCTACAACAGACCATTGAAGAATGCGCAATGCGCATCCTCACCGGCCCGCAATGGGCCTGCCCCCGATCGGCAAAAATGGCTAGGAAGCCGACCGAGCGACGCATTGGAGGCTGGACCCCGCTAGAAGCATTGGTCTGGAAGAAGGGACCCCTCAAACTCGAATCGAGTAATACGGACTCTGCGGAGAAATGGGAGGAAAGAGTTGCATTTGTACTGCCACCCTGGGAGAGACGAATCTCGTGCTTCATTGAACCCTCGGAGGCTGCATTAGCAACCCATGACACTATTATCCAACAGAAGAGGACACAGGAAGACACGGCTTCCTTTATATACACCGACGGTAGTGGCTTTGAAAGCCACATTGGTGCAGCTGCCGTCAACATCCATGACGGTGATACCGTCATCTCCGACCGTAGATATCTCGGTACGGAGCGCCAGTCCACGGTGTATGCTGCCGAGCTCAGCGGCATCGAAATGGCATTGGACAGGGCCATTAGCGACAACAAGGGAACACCAACATCCACAAAGGCTCGGGAGGTGATCATTCTCTCCGACAGCCAGGCTGCTATTCAAGCAGTCCAGAACCCACAACGACCGTCGGGCCAAGACGTGCTGTCACTGCTATATGATCACGTACGGGTCCTACGATCACAATCGATATCTATCACCCTCCGTTGGATCCCCGCTCACGTCGGGGTGCCTGGCAATGAAGCTGCCGATGGCAATGCGAAATGCGCGGCACTCGAAAGTGCGGCAGGTGCGACCAGCGGAGGCGGTACCGGAACGGATCAACCGACCATCCGACTAGCCGCCGCGGCGAAACGGATGGTACGGGAACGGATCCAGGACCGCTGGAAGAAACAATGGGAGAGCGAGAGGACTGCTCAGCCCACAAAGCGATTAGTGAAATGGCCGAACAAGAAGGTATTGCGTCTATACGAATGCCTACCGAAACCACGGTCCTCGATCATGGTATAGATGCGATTAATGCGTATTGCGCTGCGACACTTCTTGTATAAGATCAATGAAGTGGAGTCTGACAAATGCCCCTGTGGAGAGGGCTCTCAAACGCCGAGGCACGTCTTGCTTCAATGCCAGACGTACGGCGCATTGAGAAAGCGTCTATTTGACCAGTTGCATCGGGCAATTGGGCCATTTGATATGTTTAATTATGACAACATTGTTTCGAACCCGCTGGCAACCCGCTACGTTGCTAAATTCATGCATCAAACCGGTATTCTTGCCCAGTTTCAACACGCTGAGCAAGAAGAGTCCGATGATGAATCTGGAGACCACGAGGTCATGGAGCAGAGTCCCTAAGACGCTGGGGACTCACCAACGCTTGCTAACACCGTCGAGGGAGGAGAGAACCTCGATGCGCTATTCGAATATACGCTGCCGGACTGGACGCTGAACAACGATAATCAGCAATCGAGGCTGAAGTGAGGATGTCGGAGAACGGGGTTTGATCTTGCAGCAGTACCAATTGGCTGGGATCTTGATGCGGAGGTGTTCACATGGAACGTGAGAAGAGGACAGGGACAGGGGGGGGGGGGGGTGGAGGTGCATCCACGCATTCATTTTTGCATTCATTTTTGCATTCATTTTTGCATTCACTGCTTGTTAGCGTTGAATTTCTCATTTGTACAGGGGTTTTTGATATCGGGATCACGGATTTGGCTTATTTGACTTACATGTAGGGCTGGTACTCATCTCTCGCTTCGAGGACCAGCTCTAGTTCTGTACTGGAGCATGATCAGGCGTACGGACACGAGTTCTTGCTTCACCGGATAGAAGCGCCTGCATAGCCATTACGATACTAGTTAGGCTCCAACAGATTAATAGAACTTTGATTGATTGATTGATTGATTGATTGATTGTTATGGCCGATTCGTAAGCATGCATTAAATACCTTGAGAATCGTTGGTGAAAAGTCTCGCTATCAGGCTGATTCACTCGCCAGCAGTCTCCACACTACATTCGGGATGCCATCAGGCCTGGGGGCCTTATCCGGGGATGTACGGCGTATTGCATCGGCTAGTTCTTGCCCGATGATAGACAGGAAGTTGAGTTGCTGTCGATTCCATGCTGAATTCTCAATGTCTAAGACATCATCTAATGGTGGTTCCGGAACAAGACATTTCGCAGTGCTTCTAACTTCTCATCGGTTGATTTAGCAGTGCAGCCATCCGCTATTCAGCGGTGGCATAATGCTGCTTTCTTCCTCGTTGAAAGTTCCACGCCATAGGCTACATGAAGTCAATGGCCTAATCCCTTATTCACCGACGACTTCAAACAGGCGATTGAAACGATAGTACGCCTGTTTCGGAGATATATAACCGCCCACGATAAGGACGACTGGATCGAGTATAAATCAGCAAGAACGAGAATGGCCGGCTGATCAAGAGAGCATTGCGGATCGGGTTTCGGGAGATTCGATAAGGAAGCCATTGGTTAGGGACCCCAAGGTCTCTAGCGCATGGCCAAATGGGGGAAAAAATCAGGACTATCGTCTTACACTTTATATTACTTAGAGATTCCATAATTCGAATCTTCTATTTACATACCCCAAACATTGCTTACCTTAAAAGGTTCCAAGGATCAACAATACGGATCCCTGGAAGAATGAGGGTATATTCTTTAAAGCTTTTTTTCGTGCTGTTCCAGAAAATATAGAAGTATACGCGCAAGTATCTAAAAAGGAATCTTCTTTAGCTTATCGCTCGCAATACAGTAGTCAATTCATATGAATGACTATTGGTAAAGATACGGGAATACAAGTTCTAAATCAGCACATGCTGGAGATGAAGTATAAAGCAGCCAAATCATGTCCCAGGTAACTATATATTAGGACTCATTTGACGCGGCAGGAAGCTACACACGGGGTTTCTACACTGTTGTTTAGGAATGCACAAGGCATCCATTAAAAATATGATACTGTAGATTTTGAAAACAGTTTACCCCCAGACACTCACGCGTTGCTTCTCGGCTTGTGTGCGAAAGAGTTTGGTCTATATGAGGATTAACGGTAATCTAGTTAATATATAGTCTTAGCAAAATTTCATTACCGCCCAACCGAATAAGGGTTAATCTGGTTTCGGATACAGGCCGAGAAACAAAGCGTGAATGCCTTAGGGGTAAACTGGTTTCGAAACGTACTGTATAGGAACATCCGATAATTAGATAGAAAGTAATAGAGTTATCTAACAAGCCGCCAGATAATTTCGAAATGAAGAGAAACGCCCCCTTCTAGATTTGATTGGCGGAAGTTTAGGTCTCCTCTCGTTCCTCATTGCACGGCAAATGTTATTACCCCTTCCTTCAGTCTGTCTACGGATACTACCCTATTCATGCAACTGAAGGAAGTCTTCACTGGAGCTGTTAAACTATCTATCAAGGGCGACCAACGACACATAGGTATATAAAGCATACGGATTCCCCATCGTACCGAAGAGCAATCCCAACATATTTTTGGCCTGATACACTAAGGAGGCAACTAAATCTACACAATCAAGTCCACTATTGATGCTGTGGTGTTTTCGATTACCTATCCATTGTTACGCAACTGAAGAGTCGCGTTTTGTTGTGCCTTATTGTACGGCGAAATCGACAGTAGTAATAGTGAACTGCATTGTGTGGATTTGGCTTTCTCACTTAACGTTGAACGAGAAACCTGATGTTGCTTTTCGGGCTTGGGGAACGGCGAGGAGAGAGTCTGCTATATATATCTATATACATATACAAAGTCACCACGCGATACACTCAAGTTCAGCCTTTTGCGACATTAAATCGTATCAAAGGAGGCCGACAGGCTGACTAGTTATACATATAGAATGACCTTAAGAGGTCTTAGGCAGACTAACTACCAGAATAGGGTGAATGGGAATTATTGGGTAACTAATCCTAAGAAGGAAAGTTTGCGGAACTTCGTGGGAAGAGGCGACTATTAGATCTCAGGCTCAAGGCGAATCATATAAGACGGGACGGTGATTGGAAAGTAACTCTAGCGGAGCATCAGGAAGGAGCGTGAGACAACTTGAAAAATCCTAGAAATTCAAGGATGAAACATGGTATCATGCGCAGCGTGCACAACCAATGCTTCGTTTTCCATATGATAGATTGTTCGCCGCTCTCAGAGCTTAGCAGTATCATTCATGTCATGATATATTTAGAGGGTGAGTTTTGGGTTAGAGTGCATTTTCTGAGGTGAGGTATGTAGAATCGGGGGATGTGCGTAAAAGAAGAACGTCATGTGTAAGGAGCCTCCGGAAACTTCACCGCCCGCATTCTAATTAGTCGGATAAATCTGCCGCGCGCGTGGCGTCTGCTAAGGCGGGAGGTATGTACGATATAGGGATATACATTAAAAAAAGAACGTCAGGCGTAAGGAGCCCCCGGAAACGTCACCCTTTGTATTCTGATTGGACGAATAAATCTGCCGGTTCACGTGGCGTCTGCCAAGGCCAAATTCCTGTACAAGGAACGGCTTCCGTCCAGTCACAAAAAGCGCTAGAAGCTAGGTATGATATTTGAAAGTTACGTACACAAGTCTAGTCAAAGCGCATAGATTCTAGGGGATCGTAAAAATACCGATAAAATTTTAAAAGGAGTAGACCTGGCAAACAAGGGTACCTATCTAGCACGCACCGTTGCACTTGGATGTTAGTCAAGTTGGTATATTAGACTCTCTTCAAGTCTTAGGAAAGGAGGTCGAAAGACGGTGGATTTTAATACAAGCAACCGTGTGTGCCCTAAATCAAGGGCTTTTACCGTAAGTATACAAGGTACAAGCGCAGCTCAGTTATAGGGAGAGGATATGTATAGACGGACTATCCGGCAATTGCATTCCCTATAGGCACTTCAATTTAGGTTTGACAATAGGGGCTACGTTTTCGGCCCCTTGCCCAATTGAACTGCGTATTCTAAAACCATATAGCGACGCAAGTGGACGGTCGTTTGCTCCGCCAAATAGAAAATAATTAAAGCATTCTTAGGACACGTCAAATACACTTTATCACGAACTACTAAACGTAAGCATACCTAGTAGGAACTGAATATGAAAACTTCACATTTAGTCACTCCTAGCTTATTAGCTAACGTCTACCAAATTTGTATAGCAAATGGCCTTATCATTCATCTCGCCAGGTTTGCTTCGCAAAGCGTACCGTAACATCTTATCTTAATATGATGTCTATATTATTCTAGAGCTATCGGGTGCTGTTACGTCCTTCTTCCTTTCCCATTTTAGCAAGGGCACTGTAGTATCTCATCATACTGAGAATCATTATATTATTGGCATTAAGGATCAGACCTCTTGGACCAGTAGTCTTCGGTATGCCAAATATCCTACTTAGGTTTGCCGACTTGAGGAAGCTAGCTCCTAGCGCATGTAAAGGTAATACTCTATCTAGATGAAAACGCCAACCGTGATGTCATTTTAATGGTTACACCGGAAAGGAATGTAATAAGGGTTTTAAAAATAACCAGAGACATTTGTTCGTTTCTCTTCCCTCCCTTCAGAGCTTAGAGCCCCTAAAGGATGTAAATACCAGTGGAAATATTCTAGGTACGACCCCTTAAAGAATTTCAAAGAATGACACTTAGCTCTTGTTACATCTTGGAATGAGAGTATACCGTTGAAAAATGTCCCGGCTAGGTTATAAAAGGGTAGACAATCCCTAGGTGAATCAATCATCTCACACATATCTACTTTCTCTCAAAGCACCGCTAAGCCTATCCAATTTTCTACTCGTCATTTCGAAAGACGCAAATCTTCTACAATGAAGGCCTCGATCATCTCCGTTATCTCCTTCGCCCTTGCCGTTGCGGCCCTGCCACCAACTGAGCATTCGGGCAAGCAGGGCAAGTATTCGATCATCAAATCCGAAGAACAATGCCAAGGGGGAAACGTCTCTTGCTGCTCCCCTAAGTCAGAGGATACCGACAACGTTCTACTCTCATTGCTCGATGGGCTTAATGTTCTGGGTGTCAAAGATTCTTATTGTTCACCTATTAGCATTATCGGGCCTCTGAACCTCGCCCTCCTAGGTAAGTAAACCCTAGTTGGTAAATAAGCGCCACTAACTTCTATGGAAGGCACCGTCAATGAGGAGAAGGGCAACTTTGATTGCAAGCATACCGTTGCTTGCTGCAATGGCGAGGACGTAAGTCCCTTGTATAACTATCTAATCACAAAATCGAGTAACTAATCAGTGACTTACAGTGCCGTCCCCTGAGTAAGAAGTACTGATGCAAGTCACACCTTATGGCGAAGCGAAGCTTTCGGTGCCTATAAAGCTTCTTTATAGACCTTCGTCGCCGGCACTAAGGAAAGACTATCATTTTCTGAGCCTAATTCCTTTTTCTCATGTCTGGCCGGTTTTGAAATGGATATATGAGCGGAAGACGAATTTTATCCTTGTATAGGCCGGTGTTATTGCCTAATTTTCCAAGACCTTGCTACTTTTCTTTTTTCCGGTTTTTCTATTTGATTGGTATATTTATCAGTCGTCCATTCGTTTTGCTTATCTATATTTAGATAGAATCAAATACAATCATGCTATTCGACTAATCCTTCCATGGATTTCGTGGATTTAGTAGTAAATAGGGATTTCACTGTACTTACCATGCACATCTTTCAAAGCATAAGCCAGAATATCCACTTCTTAAATATAGTCTGGGACTTAGAACTTGCATGTTGAAGCTAACTAAAGAACAGACCGGAAAATTCTACAAAGAAGTGGAAGACCTAGGACTGTTTAAGTTACAGCAAGGAAACAGGCTCTAAATAGGGAGAAAGAGGGAGCGAAAAGAAATAATAAGATCAAACAAGTCGGGAGGCTACTAAATACCACAAATACTTTTGTACGATCTCTCACATTTATTGATTGTGCAATGGGTAGCGGCCATGGTACGGCACAGACTGCTAACATTCGAAGCAAGCAAGCTTCGACCCAAAGAACTAGCTCTGCAAAGAGCACTCCGGTGAAACCAGTGAGCAAGTCAGCGAATAAGCCGGCAAGCATCGCAATCGGGGAAAACGCCACGAGCGTCGCAATCAAAAGCAATGCTAGCGAATCGGAGACCTCAATCTTAACGACACCGAATAACACGTAAGCGGTAGGAATCGCCGACAATCTCATGGATCTCAGCGTAGACTTCGGTGATCCAACCAAGCAGGATGGCACTTACCAGGCGATACATGCACCTCCATCGGAGCCAGTACGAACAAGAAGCCGGGCCGCAGCTTCCTAGGCATCATCCGCATCGTCAGGACGAGTCCTAACCGACAGGTGATCAAGCCGCTTGGGACAGCGGAGAAAAGACAGAAGGTTATAGCAACGGAGGGGGACTCGAAGGTCTCACGGAACCCGCCAGTATCAGCTTCTTCCTCGGCCCTCACCGAGAGGGATAGCAACGGATCGGGCGAGAAAAGCTGCGAAATCAGCATCAGGCAAGGAAACCAGCCTATTTTCGCCATGCCCGGTCGTACCACCCGTAGCCAAGAGGGAAGCACTTCGAGACCGACAACTGTGTCTCGGAACTCAGCTGCCTGATAGGTATCACCGATAGCAGCGACGCTAATACCAACGAACCTACTGCTAGCGCCAATTCAAATGAATAAGACGTCCCTTGAAATCATGCAATACAACAAGCACCGATCGAAGGATGTCGTCACGGCGGACTTCCTACGCAATCCCAGGGTTCTCGAAGCCGATATCATCGCGGTTCAGGAGCCGTGGGATAACCCGTACACTGAAACAACGCATCACCCCGCAAAGCAAACACATGAGCTCGTCTTCCCAAGCATCAATGAAACGGGTGAGAGAGCCAGCGTCATTTCGGGGGATTTCAATCTCCACCAGCCTGCCTGGGGTGGAGATGATACTGTATAAGACTCACATACCGATGCCCTTATTGAACCGACCGACACGGCCGAGTTGGACCTCTGGCTAACGCCCGGCACTATCACCCACGATGAATCAGGCCATCAGACCACTATCGACCTGGTCTTCGGCTCTCATGATCTATCGGACCTCTTCCTAGTCAACGAGATTGCTCACGAATGGAATGCCCACCCAGATCACTTACCAATACATACTGTACTCAGAATTAAAACTTCTAATCCCGCCGACAGCAAGCCGAGACGGTGGAAGTAGGAGGCCATGGAAATCGACAATCTCCGCTTGCCGTTACTGTCTCAGCCGAATACGCCACAGCAAATTGACGACGCGGTCAATCACTTCATGGAGGTAATTAACCCTTATAATCTATGTATTGATAATTATCCAAAATTAACTTTCTAGACCATGAGACCAAATAAGACTAGCCGAATGGGTCTAAGCATACCTTCCCGTTTAGCTTTCGCTGCTAAAAGTCTGTTTTTTAAGCGAGATCAGACGCAACCTCGCATTCTGTGTTAAGTGCACAATATGTTATCAAAGTACTCGTTACATTGTGGTAGTTTGTGATTTTCATTGCACACCCAATTTCGACAAAGCTGGACCTTTCAACGGGAGAGAATACCCTTATCGACCTCGACGACACCTTCAGCTTAGATATCGCGGACCTCCAAATCTACGCAAATTGAGGACAAATTATATAAAATCCTATTACATGTTTATGGAGAGACAGAAGGGAGTAACAGGCTGATAGAGAGAGACCGAAGAAACTATCTAGATAGAGCTCCTGCATAACCAGGCTGAGAGCGAGACCTTAAGCCATCAACACATGTCCTTCATTCCAAAGTACCCGCAACGAATGGTCAACTATATCAAGTTCAGAAATTCAACTGAATACCTGGTTGGTGTGCTCGTCCTCGAGCCAGATTTCCATCCTTCAAGCCTTGCCACCAGTCCTCACTGGGCCTGTTGGTTTTGAACCCTCGACTCGGAGGCCTTCGCGCTGCAGGGGCGTGAGGAGGAGCTTTTAACAGAAGACGGGTGGGAACCAACAACAATGACAGTCGTCCCAGTCCTCTCGAGGTTGTCACGTTCCAAAGCCACTCTGTCACCTTGACTCGCGCCCACATGGGATTTAGTATCCTGCTCACTGCGAGCAGTGTCGTTGTGGAACTGCTAAAGCCGGCTATTTTGGGTTTACTTCTGTTACTTGATCAATGGAAGAACACTTTTGACTTTCATATAGTGTGTGTGTTCGTGAGAGAAAAGAGAGAGAGAGAGAGAGAGATCATTTATTCTGATCCATTGTTAAGCGATATGCAGGCTACCACAATTATATTTGTCTTTGTATGTATATTTAAAGTGGACCACTTCCTGAGAACGAACTTGGTGCCTCGTCAGGGCCTGTCGTGGCCGGACCGCCTCCCTAGGTATCATGCCACCAAAACAAGGCTCCATTTTGCTTCATGGAACTGCTCCATGGAACCGGTTTCGCGGGGTTCAGGTATATAAATGCCATGACGTTCTTGCAGACCCCTCCGCTGTCGGAATTATACACCTGGGCTTTGGGTAGTGTTAGTGATTGTTCTGTTGTTGATTTGACATAAGATAAGCCTTATTGAGGAGCTCAATATTCTTGGTATGTATCTTAGCATCAAGTCAAAATAACAGAATAAATCGCGGACACCGCCCAAAGCCAAGTAAAGCATTCCGATAGCGGACATGTCTGCAAGAACATCATTGCATTTATATACCTGAAACTAGAGAAGAGCTGGTACCTAATGATAAAAGTAATATCAGTGCATCGTAATTGACAACTCCAGGTTTAAGTAATACTGCCGAGATAGCGCAAAGGTGTATTAAAGAGGAGTTCTTTGTCTTAGCGCAGGCAGAATTAGTGTTTCCTAGGAGGCTGGAGGTTTCCAGAACGGCCTCCCATGAAATTCGAATTCTGCCGTCACTAACACAAGCATTATTAATGAACTGACTGACCCAGCTTGACAGTTTCGATGTCTGCGTTAGGCATGGCGGGGATAACAGTTGCCACACTCAGGGCGAGAGCAACAGAGGTCGTGAACTTCATTATGAGAATCCATGAGAACAAACAACGTATGATATAATCTGTAGTGATGTAGGAAAGATTTACCAATTTTTCAGGATAATAAGGATGTGGACAGGAATCAACGGCGACCTTATAACATACCACTTTGACATTAAATTACTGCTACGTGCCTGCCGAGACCAAATATGACTGCTTACTGACATTCCATAAAGTCTAGGCTTTGATGAAAACAGCCCTTGAGCAAGATTCTCAATCATCCCAGTGTAAGAAGGCCCAAATGGTGCTGTGGTATAGCTGCCTTGCCACTGCAATTTTCTCTCAAAATACCATATAGTAATTTCAATTTCATGTGCAAGCATATTTTAAGTTTTCTTATCCTAGATATGCTTGAAGTTCTTTTCCTATTAGCGGAGCAAACAACCGTCCATGTGGCAAGATAATATACAGATCAATTCGGCTAGGGGCCGAAAATGTGATCTCTTCTATCAAATTTAAATTTGAATTACCTATAGGGGATAGAATTGCTGGATGATCCGTCTATATATAATTTTTTTACCCAGCAATGAAGGCGCACCCGTACCTTGTATATTTACGGTAAAAGCCCATGATTTAGGGCACAGGCAGTCGCTTTTAGGAGAATGAACCGTCTGTCTATCTCCTTTCTTAGCTTTACAGAGAGACTACCGTATCAACCTTAACTAAATCTAACCTAAGTTCCATCACTATAAATTACTTGCCGCACTCTATGTAAGTTCTACATGACTTCTTATACACAGGGGGCAGATATAATTGTTGGCTTGTAAGGCCGCGAAGAGCCCTGCCTGCCAAGAAGGTAGGAGAAGCCCCCTTTCTAGTTCATGCGTTATCATGCGGAAGAGTGTTGGTGCTAGGCTAATGTCCCTTTTCGCTAGGTCCTTTTATTGATCGGCATTGGCATTCGTTTAGAATTTATGCGCTTTGGCTAGCCTTGTTGGGTTGTTTTCAAATCTCATGCCTAGCAGCTAGTGCTTATAGTAAATGGGTGGAAGCATTAGAGTTCGGCTTTTCGTAAAAGGCCCGAGCATAGTCATGGCAGATTTATCCGATCAATCAGAAACCGCAGGGATAAAATTTCCGGGAGCGCCGTAATCCAGACGTTACTTTCTTTATGGATACCCCCTGATATTACATATTGGAATGGGGATGGCACGATGGCAGTCTGGCATAGCAGACGGGTCGATATGAGCGGAGAGAGCACACAACCACCACTCCCACGCTCTGACAGACGTAGAGAGCGGTCTCTGTCGATGTAGACCGTACTGCAGCTGATGCTTACAGCTAAATTCGAAATTGGGGTCCACATTCTACAGAGGAACTCTCTCAGACCCCAACGCCAAGGCGATGGTGAAACGACCTGGCTAAATCCGGCTAGACTGCAGATCATTTCTGTGCGTTAGAAGGGAAATGTAAAGTATCTGACAAGACCAATACACCGAAGCATTGAATTAAACGTCCTTTGCGCCCGTCGCGACTTCTACCACCTCAACCCCCACCACGAGCTGAATACTCACCGTACAAAATGGCTCCAAATCTGCCCTCCTCCACCCGAGAATTCATTCGCGATATGTTCTTGAGCAAACCACTGACTATGGCCTAGATGGCTGATGCCGCAGAATGCAGCCCACATTCTATCACCACCATCCGCAGCAATCTGCGGCAGTCCGGTAATACCAGAGCCCCTTCTGTTCGAGCAGGCCGACCGCGCAGTATTACACCACTAATGATGGAGGCTCTTTGCGACCATTTACTGAAAAAGCCCGGACTCTATCTCGACAACATAGCACCTTTTCTGTGGGATGCGTTTGGCACATACGTAACAGCCTCCAGCATCAGAAGAGCGCTGATCTCCAAGAAATAGTCAAAGAAGACTTCGCGACAGAAGCCGAGGGAACGGAATGCCGATCTACGAGATTGTTACCTACACAACCTGTCCGAGTTCCGGTCGTATCATCTAGTGTATATCGATGAGGCCGGGTGCAATAAACGGATTAGCTCCCGGAGAACTTCTTGGCCGTTCGGCATAGCACCGGCTCAAACTCTCCAAGTTCCATCGCGATCAAAGGTACAGCGTGGATTGAAATCAGTTTCACTGCTTTCTCTTAAACAGTCTTTCTCGGACCAGACTCCGAAACCCTTTGCTCCTTGCTTGACTACTTCCGTCATCCTTGCTATCAATGTTTTGGCAGCGACGTTCACCAAAACGACCAGGTTGAGCCCTGCGCTTTGCATGCACTGAGCCAATCTATAAAACAGATTTTGTTCTAGACAAGTACTTCATAAAGCAGTAATTGCTGTGCAATGGCGTTATGCCAAGCGAATGTCTTGCCTAATCATTGATATTCAGCGGCTCTATTTTCTATTATAGCAAGATTTCAGAAGTAAATATTGTCTTGAGGTTATTAAGTCCTAAACTTTACTTACACCTGCCTAAACAACTTCGTAGTAGGTTGAAGCATTGTGCCCTGAGGATTCCCAGGTGAAAGCGAGACTAGCCATACTCGCGAGCGTGTCGAGATTGTCTTTGCCGGGCGTCGTTTTGCGAGCCACCATCACCTGCGTGTCTAGCAGCTCGGCCTCCTCCCATCGGCCCTCGAACGAATATGCATCAGCTAGCATCGCAGGACTCTCGAGGGAGTCTTCGTCCTCCACGTCCAATATTTCGACCCTGTGGTTCCTTGACTTCAATGCAATTTCCCTGGTATCTGCAAAATTACCACTCCCCGACGCGTGCCATGCACCTTTTTGAAGAAGCGCTGCCCATTCCGGCAAAGACTGTTTCGATTCCGGCTGTTGTAATATCGGGGATTTCACATGTGGAAAGCGCAACCGGCATTTTCCCAATTCTTGTATTCATCCATCGGAAATTCATAGCATACATTGCTGGTATATTCCATTCCACCTTCCAGAAAAACACATATCTCAACGCGAACCTAATTTTTGGAATTGCACCACAACCAGGCCACTTACGGCTCCCAAAATAAGCGCACGTTATTCGTAACTTCCTGCTGCATCATTTGATACCAGCTTTATATTGGTTGACTAAATAGTTGCGCCAGGAAGCCAGTGGCCCGCCTTTTCAGAGGGGGGTTTTGTTGTGCGAAAACTCTGCGGGAAGCCAGAACACCAACGACCGCGTTCTTGCAGCAAATCATGACGTCCAGCAGCTCTTAGAACAAGTGAACAAGGTCAGTAAGGTCCAGCACCGATATTGGAGTATTTCAGTTCATCAATGAACTCACGGCCGACCTGATGCGGAACCCCTTTGGTGCCGACTGGCGGAAGAAATTCACTGAGCTCAAGCAAGAAACCATCGAGATCCGTAAGGAGGTGCATGCCATTCGAATCGCAACCACTATACCGGCGAGGAATCAAACAGGACCATCAGAACAAGTATTCTCATACGTCGAGGCCCTCAAGCGTGGTACAACGGCACCCGCCCACTTCCTCTCAGCTCATGGATCAACCAGCACCCAGGCGGCCAGCCCCTCTGAGCTTTCGAAGGACCGTGAGATCATTGTCAAATTGGGGTGATACCGATGGCATTGCTCGTTTCCGTACAATGAAGAGCTCGGAGATCAGGAGATAGCTGAGAAGCCGACGATGCTCGCGGCTGGTGCGACCGCGGGCCCAGACCCTGTTTTGGCCGCCATTCAGTTTGTGGCAGCCCGCCAGCTGAAATCCGGGGATCTCAGCGTCAGGCTGAGATCGACCAGAGATGTCGAGGCTGCCAGGATCCATCGGCATGAATGGATCAGACATTTGTGGAAGGGCGCTGAGGTACGACTGCCGTCCTACGGTGTAGTGATCCACGATGCCACTGTGAGGTCCCTGGGCATTAACCGACCAGCGGAATTGAGAGGGAGGCAAGAAGCAGTCAATTAGCAGTCATTAGCGCAAAACCTTCATTCATCGACAGTTTTCTAATGGACGTCAGTGAAGACATCCGCCGTCCAATTCGACCACCGCCACCGACTGGCATTCACCAGTCGATACACGAACCCACTATCTTCCGAGCATCTCGATCAGGACTGGTAAAGACAAGAAGCAAGACCGCGGCGTCATCTCAAGCATCATCGGCATTAGCCCCAGCTAGGTGGACACTCAGAGCGACGGGGAAAGGGCAGAAATTGACAGCACCGGAGGGGAACTCGGAGAACGAACTCTCATGGAACCCACCATCGTCATCGTCAGCCCTAGTCGGGAGGAACAGCAACGGATCGGGCGAGAAAAGCTGCGAAATCAGCATCAGGCAAGGAAACCAGCCTATTTTCGCCATGCCCGGTCGTACCACCGTAGCCAAGAGGAAGCGCTTCGAGACCGACAACAGTGTCTCGGAACTCAGCTGCCTGATAGGTATCACCGATAGCAGCGAAGCTAATACCAACGAACGTACCGCCAACACCAATTCAAATGTATAAGACAATCCTCGAAATCATCCAATATAACGCACCGATCGAAGGACGACGTCGTAGCGGACTTACTACGCAATCCCAAGGTCCTCGAAGCCGATATCATCGCGATTCCGGAACCATGGGACAATCCGTCCATTGAAACAACACATCACTCCGCAAAGCAAACACATGAGCTCGTCTTTCCGAGCACTAATGAAACGGGCGGCAGAGCCAGGGTCTGCAAGTTATCTCGAAGAAGCTAGCCCAGTGGACCCACCACGCGCATGGGAGATATATATATGAAGTAAGGATCAAGCGAAGGCAAGATGAGAATGGCGAGCAGGAAGAGATTCGGATTGTCAACGTATACAACCCCGTGGGTTGTATCGATACGATCGCGAAGCTCGAGGACATACTCGGACGGAATGCGAAAGCCAGCATCATTGTGGGGGGCTTTAACCTCCACCACCCAGCCTGCGGTGGAGAGGACGCTGTGTAGGATGCCAATGCCGATGCTCTCATCGAGCTAATCGGTTCAGATGACCTGGATCTTTGGTTGGCACCTGGCACTATCACCCGCGATGAATCGGGCCATCAGATCACTATCAACTTGGTCTTTGGCTCGCATGACCTGTCAGAACGCTTTCTAGCGACGGAGGTTACCTACGAATGCCATGCTCACTTAGACCACCTACCAATGTGTACCGTACGCGACATCGACACACCTAGCACTAGCACTGCCGATCAGCCAAAGAGACGGAACTGAAAGGCCATAGAGCATGAGAAGTTCGACAAATTCGTTGCAAGTAACCTTCGACGCAAGACCTGGCAACTCTCTACACCCGAAAAATTGACGACGCGGTGGACCACTTCATGGAGGTGGTTAACCGAGCCGTCGAGGAATCCACGTCATGGGTCAAACCTAGCCAGCGGGCTAACCCTTCTTTCACCGCTGAATGCCGCTAAAGCAATCAAAGTAACTCGACGCTTATTTCGTCGCTATACAACTAGCTACGACGAGGGTGGCTGGGAATAGTATAAGTCTGCCAGGAACCAGAAGGGTCGGATGATCAAGTAAGTACTAGGGACATGGTTTCGTGAATTCGTCAATGAAGCCATCGGCCACAGACCTCAGGTCTTTGGCGTAGGGCCAAATGGGCGAGAAATCCGGGCCAGGATCAAGGAAGCATCATGCCGCTGTTGAATACGGGAAATGGCATTGTAGAAAAGACCGATAAAAAGGTCTAAGCATTGCGCGAGGCCTCCTTTCCAGCACTGCCAATAGCTAGTCTCTCAGGTATCAACGCGATTTCAGCGCAGAATCGACAGCAGATCACCTTCCCGGCTATTACTGAGACAGTATTAGCCGATGCAATACGCCGCGCACCTCCGAATAAGGCCGCCGGGGCTGACGGCATTCCTAATAAGGTGTGGATACCGCTGACAGGCGAATCAGTATCACAGCGAGTCTTCATGTCTACCGTTCTCGATATATTCAACGCTTGCTTACGCATCGGCCACAACCCCCGGCACTTTCAGACCTTAATTACAGTGGTGCTAAGAAAGCCTGGGCCGCGGGACTACCGTCTGACGACGGCGTATAGACTAGTGACTTTGCTCAACATACTTGGTAAGATTCTTGAAGCAATCATTGCTACTCTCGCCTGGGCCGTTGAAGTGCATCGGCTGCTGCCCGATACTCACCTTGGTGGAAGGAAAGGCGTCTCCGTGAACCATGCAATACAACTTTTGGCAGGGGGAAAGAAGCAAGCAATAACGATAGTTCATTGGGTGAGAGACGGACCGGGAAGGAGAGAAGCTCCGACCCTTCGAGGTCTATCTACCTACTCTTAGGACCATCCAGGGTCACATGACCAACCGGGTCGTGTGTGTGATCCCAGGCGCTTGGCAGGGCTCCAAGCCTTGCTGGCTGCCTTACGGCTAAGGCAGCTACTCGGGCTGGCTGAGCAAGCCAGGTTGGCAGCTTCGGCAAGCAAGCATTATGTAATTACACAGCGGTGAAACTGGCTAGCTAGCTCACGTAATGACAACCATGCGATCCATACGGTATCTCATGTGATCTCAACAAAACTTACTTGGTTCAAAATCATCATCCTAGGCTAAATCCTCTCTGCCATTTACTAGACTCGCACATCAATACCTTTCATACCACCTTCGGCGCGCCAGCCTTCAATGACATTAAGCCAATGTTCGATGCCTGATCCCCAAAGACCTGAGCGAGCAATGACCATTTGATGCTCTGGGGGAGCACGATCAAGGTCGCCCTCAAGATTCCAGTACGCCGGTGTACATCCTAGCGCAACTGCCATTGGCGCCGCATGCATCATAACTTGTGTTCCCCAATCCTCTGCCGCCTGAGTCGTCGGTGCGACGGCGAAAGGTTTCCCATTAGCTCGACGCTTTGATTCGGAGAGTATATAGGCCACATGTTTTGCATATCCATCAAGATTAAAGCGATAGTTACCGCTGATGGAGGCCTGCTGGGGACCCGATAGAAATAGGTTCGGGAACTTGGTATCGAGGACACCGTGCAAGGTTGTTGGACCGCAGCGGGGCCATTCTTCACTCATAGAGATACCATTGCTGCCAATCACTGTCAAATTCGCTTTGTCGGCTGGCGTGCCTAAAGGAGGTGCACGAAAGCCAGTAGCAAACACAATGATATCCACTTTATAACTCTCGCCGCCAACGACTAGGGAATCAGCAGTGATGCTGTCAACGCCCTTACCATCGGTATCGACTAGTGTTACATTGTCGTTGTTGAAGGCCGCCAGATAGTCGTCATGGAACAGAGGACGCTTGCACCAGGATGGATACCAAGGCTTCAACTTCTCTGCCGTAGCTGGATCCTTAACCTCCTGGTCCACTCGGGTACGAATGCGGTTTTGTCGAGGGGTATCGATTTCAACCAAATTTGCAGTATGTGCCGGAACTTCTTCCGGTAGCCTTGGTCCGTAAGGATTGCCGGAAAGCCCAATTAAACCGGGCGCACGAGTCCATCCGTCGTCAACTAGATTGACTGCTGGTTGCTCCCTGAGCGTGAAGTGCTCGTGAAAGTTTCTCATCCGTACTCGCTGCCAGCCCTTGAACGCAGCTACCTCCTTATGGAACCATTCCTCGTCGGTTGCTCTCTGGTCACGGTCGTCGACTGCCGCAGGCGTCCGCTGTATAACATACACATGTTTGCACCAGCGTGCAAGCTGTGGAACGATTTGCACAGAGGTTGCTCCAGTACCGATAACGGCAACCTGTTTATCATTCAACTTAACGAGTGAGGGATCTTCGGGAGTACCGCCAGTAATACCGTATGCCCAACGGGATGAATGGAACATATCGCCTTGGTAATCCAAAATCCCAGGAATACCAGGTAACTTCGGCCAGTTGAGTACACCTGCAGTGAGCGACACGAAGCTGGAACGGATGCTAAGAACTCGTGGTGCTTCGTCCTTTCGATGCTGCACTAGATCAACTTGCCACTCCTTCGCATTTTCATCCCACACCAATTTCTGAGCTTGAGTCTGAAATACCCCGTAATGAGCCAGGCCAAATTGCTGGGCAACAAGATTGGCATATTTGCGGATCTCTTCACCTTGGGAATATCGGTGCTTCGGGATGAACCCTGTCTCTTCCAAGAGCGGGAGATAGGTATAGCTCTCGATATCACACATCAAACCAGGATATCGGTTCCAGTACCATGTACCACCAAAGCCACCAGCAGGATCAATAATGCGAATGTCTTCAGGGCGGAAACCTGCTTCAACCATGCGGACGGCGTACTGCAACCCACCCCATCCAGCTCCAATGATGAGCATCTCAATGCGGTCGTTCGGAAATTTGCCCTCAATTGGCTCGATCGATGCCGGATCAACCCATGGATCTTCGGCGAACCGCCCATAATCGTCTGAATTGGCAATTTCGATGTACTGTGCATTTCCGTCATCGCGGAGACGCTTCTGTCTTTCTTGCTCGTAGCGTTCCTTGACTTCTGCCATATTGATTGCATCAGATTTCTCATCCAGTTGATGCTGGACAGCTGGTACTGTGGGGCTCATGATGCCTGACATAGTGGGATGTTGAATGAAGAACTGACAACACATAAAAGAAAGGAGGAGCTCAAGAGACTGATAGTGATATCTTGCTATCGTTTGAATGCGAGGCTTCTCAAGATTTTTTTTGAAAGAAAATCTGACAGCCTAATAGCGGCTGCAAACACTGGGTCAGCTGGCTCAGCTCCAGTCATCCGGGATTCTTATTTATTTATAGTAAAGGATACCAGTTGCGTCTTGGGGCCATCGGGGGCCGGGGTGAACAATGACACAGATGCCAATGCCACCCCCGCCCGGTAATATTTCGCGATTCAAACGAGGATGACGATGTGTATTGAAAATTTTGTTCAGCGCGTATCGCCGTTGACATTCCATGTTGGATATCAGCGGTATTCAGCCCCGAAGTCGTACATCCGCAGGCCAAGTGAACTACATAGTGAAGACTAAGTCTGCATCAGCATGCACAATTAAGAAGTGTACTCCGTACAGCCAATCGATCATCCTTGAGCAGAATAGGAAACCCTGGTCGGAATCAGGATCCGCGGGGCCTGTGAACATGTTATGTGCGACTACAGTATAGATAGAACTCCGTTGACTGTACATATCTCGACCCTCTGACTCTGGCCCAGCGAGGCAAAGCGCGGCTGCGAGCCACGCCCGCAGCCCAGCGAACTGGCCCCGCTTGGCCCCTACATTGGTTTGTGGTCGTTACAGAGGAGCTCTTTGAAGTCTGCTTTGTGTACAACCCCATCTCGTCTGTTTAGTCGCTGCCTGGTTTCATTCTTCACACTATTCATCCTCCACCACAACCTTTTTTCCAATCATCTGTCTCTAACTCCTGATCTGCTCTGCTGCCGTCACCCGAACTGCCTTTATCATCTTTCCTCGGACGCCTAATTACACGTAATTCAACATTTAAACTCCCGTCCGTTGTTCTACCCCATTCATCAACATGTCCCTCAAAGTCTTCATCTACGCCTACCGTAAGCCCGGCCTCTCCCTCGAGGAGTTCAAAAAGCATTACAAGGATCACGTCGACCTAGTCAAGCGCCTTTCCGGCGAGGACTTCCCTATCTCCCACAAGCGCAGCTACGTCGCGCGCAACACTCGAAATCGCCGCCGAGGGTGCCAGCGACCGCAGTTTCCGGACTCCAGCCACAGTGATTGTCGGACAGCAGTCCGACATTGAATTTGATGCGTATGCCGAGCCTAACCTCGGCGACCAGGCTGCTTTCCAGGCCTTCAGTGCGAAGGTCTACGTCCCCGACGCCGCTTTTCAGATTGCGGCCGACGAGGAGAAGTTTCTCGACAAGTCGAGGCTTGGATCGTCATGCTCGGAGAGGTCATAGAAACCACCAAATAAAAGACAATGGAGGATGGTTAGAATACCAGTGAGCTACTTGTTCTAAAGAGTAAGCACCCAAGAACCACTTAGGGATCAACAATAGTAAAAAGTAGCCACAAAGATGGCCAAGGTAGCAGGGGGTGAGAAGGAGCCAGAGTTTTGTCAAAAGTAGCAAACCTCTTTCGGCACCCTGTAGAAATCGTCGACGACTCTGCATCTCGCAGTTGCTTATCATTATACTGCGACTTCGTGCCTTATGGGACGCCAGAGATTCCTGGCCACCCTTTACAGTTCGCCCCGCCCAGAGAGACTCACGATGACCAGTAGCCTTTTCGATGACAATGTCTACCAAGTCCAGGCGGCTGGCTGACCCATGGGAGGGAAATCTACAATATGCCCCCACTACTGGTAACTTCCGTAGGGTACGGTCCGGCCCCATCCCGGATTGTACCATGGACCCGTTGTAGCGGATCAAGTCTAATTCCTCCGCTGGCCACTGGGAAAAAGATGGCGAACACGATAAGCAGCCCTCGAGATATGTCTGGTATGCAATTGCACGGAAGTTTATACTCAATCGCAAGACGGTATTAGAGTGACAAACGAAGATTTGGTTTTTAGCTTCCAGTATGTATAATGAGAGAGGAATGGGGAAGAGGTCTGGCTATAGCTTAGCGAACTCTGCCCCAATTTGGTTTAGCATGGCCGAGTGATCCTTGCTAAAAGTGTCACCATCTCTGGCGATCGCTTGACGCACCCAAGGCCCGCGAGGATTAAATGAAGCCTTAAAAGGCAGGGCCCGCATAACCAGGCCGTAGGTGCATGCAATAGGGTCAACGAGGGTATGCTCACCCGTGCCATGTGACCAATAATCTTATTCCTAGTAGTGTATTTTGTCGGCTGTGAGAGATGCCACACCAAAATTCGTAAGGCTGAGCATCGTAGACCCACTCACACTGACGATCCACCAATAGTCAACCAATCATCGCCCTCACCAGATCACGCTTGTGATCTAATACACCAGGTACAATAATTATGTTTGGCTAATAATGTTTCTATTGAGCGGGGTGGTTATAAGATTGTAGCTTGGATGTTGGATTCAGCTCTTCTGGATATGATCGTTTTGATAGCAGGTTACCCCAATCGATACAGTAATCTGATTGGGGTAGGTTGGGGCATTGATAAGACAACGAGAATTGGAGTTGCAGGGATTATTAGTCTTGAGGATTGATACGCTTGTAGTTAGATAGGTGACGAAAAGACGTACTGTATACGTATGCAACTAAGCTTCACGTAATTAAGATCATTCTCGAACACACGGTGCGATAAGTAGCATAAGGATTAGCTATCATCTTCAATAAATGGAGCACCAAAAGCACTCCGCTACCTATATATGCCGTCCCGGTAGATCTATCTATTAGAATGTCTGGAACTTATCCGGACTCGGGAGAAGAGGTATTTAGCTTGAGCTTAGTTCGATCCATACCTATTAACAAATTGTCCTCGACGAAATAGCGGGTCGGCCTCCAACAAAGTATTAAACTGCTTCTGTTGTGGAAGATGGGGATATAGGGAAGGAAAAGTGTCGAAGTGGAGGAACAATCATCTAGGCTCGGGTCCTTGGGTTATTGATTTCTTTTTGCAGTGGCACAATTGCACTGTGGCTCTTTGATTAATGTGAAAAATAAAGCGGCTGCTGAAGAGCCTACAGGTTCTAGTTGTCCATTAATGTAATCCAGAAGAGTTATTAAACTAAATTCTCACATATTAAATAACACCACTTTGAGGTACAGTAAAGTGTACATGATTAATTATGATACTGCATCTCCAAATGAACTTCCAATCCAACTCACCCCCGCTCACATACCAGAACAGTGACAGTCAATCAGATCTCAGCCCCCAGCACTCTCCCCAATCTCTTCAAAAAGATCCAGGACTTTATATCGAAGCCGATGTTCCGCCTCCACGACAATCCAGCATGACAGTGCAATCGCGTCCGCGGTGAGGTTACCAGCATGGGTTCCATGAAGGTTCAGGTCTTGCTCATCAATCTCTGGCGTTCTACTGAAGGCATCGTCAATTCGGCCCTGGATATTAGACAATGTAAGATGACCGGTCTTGCTAAGGGGTGCAGCCACATTTGAAGTTGCTGATGGACTACTCATTTGCAGCTTGCCAATCAATAGCTTTTTTTGTTCGGAGGACCGTCAGATCTTATCGACTTGGAATATGATGCCCAGCGACCTTTTTCAAAAGTCGCAATGACAGCATTATCGGATTTTCGAACGAGCTATGAACGCATAATCTGTTAGCTATAACAACATCAACGGGATCGTAGGAGGCTTACCTTCAAGTCATGCGTCCATCCCTTGACACCTTTCATTGGTCCAGTTGAAAACATCCTCGTCCCGGACCATCGATACTGCTCGCCATCTACCTCCCAGTCAAACTTGCGAGTAAAAAGTCCTCCCCTACGCATCTCAACTACCACCACCTTTCCAAGGACTTCCTTCTCATCTTCTAGTGGTTCCTTTGGCGGTTTCGGCTTCAACCCAAATACCATCCTGCATTTTGCTTTCCTCGCCGCTTTTCTCTTTGCTTTCGCCCGCGCCTCATTCTCCAAAACCTCGCGTACGCCATCACCCAACCACAGACGGAACGAGCTCCAAATAGCCGTGCGAAAGGCACGCCCGATCACTGTTGCGGTAGGTGTGTATTTTGGGTTATCTCCTCGATAGAAGACTGGTTTCCAGGACCCATGATGTTTATGGGGAACAGGGTTCTCAATGAAGTAATCGGCAGATGATGTATCAGAGGGGGCAAAGAGGTGCTTGCGCCCCTGGAAAAGACGGCGATACAGGTGCAGGGAGCTTATGGGAGCATCGCTCTGCTGCAGATCTGGGGCAGAATCGGCCAGGACATGACCTGGTATTGATGTAGTCATCGCGATCTTTGAATGGTCAGATTTCAATCTGACTGATAGATAAATATCTGACACACGCAAACAAAAAAAAAAGCAGAAGATAGAGATGCTTCTTTTAAGTGCGAGAGACGAATGCTTTATTTCCTCGAACGCTAATGCCCCTGGAAAGAGGGGATTTAGACTCCAAGATCATCAGTAGAAATTAGACCAGCCAACCCCTACTATTCCGCATCCCGCCCCGTCAACAATAAATCATCCTATCAATACCTGAGAAAAGAGGATATTGACTCCATTTTAGGATAACACCGAGGTGCCAAGAAGCTCCCGCGGCTGAATACGAGGACAGAGCCTCTTCCGTGGCCAATCACACAGTTGACTCACTCTCCATTGAAGTTGACATAGCCTTTTTCCTCTTGCCAAGCTTGTAGTTGCACAGCAAAGCTTTAGAGGATGGAAAGTATGAAGCTGGGACCTACAATCCCCTGCTCTTCATTCCCCGATCGGGCCGGTACGAGTACGGGACACAGCCCCATACTTCTAAAATAATTGTAATGATCGTCACATGAGACACCTAGCGAACAATATAGGCACCATGAACTCAGAGTACTTATACTGTGGGAGTTGTTCCATAACTATGGTGAATATCCTAAACCACTCTTTTATCCCAATTTGATCTCATGAAAGGATTATTAAATCTTGCTCTTGTCGGACTAGCCTTCGCCAGTTCCGGCTCGGATTCTAGCTGCCGTTGCAGACCCCACCAGAGTTGCTGGCCTGTTGAGCAGGAATGGTCTGCCCTTAACAGCTCCGTCCAGGGAAACTTACAGGCAACACAACCAGTCGCCGCCACCTGTCACGAAGGCAACAAAAAAGCCTGTGCGGCTATCACCCAACAATGGACCAATTCCACCTGGCGAACAACCCAGCCAGGAGCCGTGCAATGGGAAAACTGGGAGACACGACCCGAACTCAACGAGAGCCGCCGCCTTGAGACTCCCAAGGCGACCTGTGGCCAGGGAAGGATTTCCTTGTACTCTGTCCTGGCGAAGTCTGCTCCCACATCCAAGCAGCAGTTCGGTTCGCAAATAGACACAATCTTCGTCTAGCAGTTCGGAATTCCGGTCATGACTTTGTCGGTCGCTCGACGGCCCCGGATTCCTTACAGATCTTCACATACTGGTTGAAGAGCATTACATTCACCGACGAGTTCAGGCCCGCGGGAACTCCAAAGAGCGAGGCCCTGCTGTCACTATCGGTGCAGGCATCAATCTGATAGAACTTTATGCTGCTGTGGGAAAGAAGGGTCGAACCGTTGTTGCTGGGACTTCGCACACCGTTGGTGCAGCAGGAGGGTATATCCAGGGAGGCGGCCATTCGTTAATGGGCCCCTGGAAGGGCATGGCCGCTGATAACGTGCTAGAGTTTCAAGTTGTGACCGCCAATGTGAGTGATAGAACCTTTCGGGCCTCGAACAATCCATGCTAATCCCATCGGTATTAGGGTACTCTCGTCACCGCAAACAGCCACCAAAACCCCGACCTTTTCTGGGCACTTCGAGGCGGAGGTGGAGGAACCTTTGGTGTTATTGTCAGTGCCACCCTACGCACGTTTGACGAGGCTCCCGTTACTATGGTCAACCTCAACGTCAGCACCGTCGCCCAAAACCCTGGTTTCTGGGGGGCCATGACTGACTTCCACCCCGCCATCCCATCCCTAAATGACGCTGGTGCTAGTGGATATTACTTTATCTCACCCAACGTGCCGTTCAAGAATATGGAGGTCTCAAGGCTTTCCATCCTCCTGTTTTCCCCAAATCAGACCAACGTTGCAAAGACCGATAAGCTTGTTGCGCCACTGCAATGGAAGCTGAACGGAACAGTTGGTCTAATTACTGAATACGCCACTATCCCCTTCCCGACCATCCATTCACTGCTCTCGGGTTTGCTCATTAGAGGAAACATGGACCCAACCGGCCAGAGCGTGATCCTAGGCTCAAGACTATTCTCGCGTAAATTACTTGTCTCCCACGATGGGCCAGCAAAGTTGCTGGGGGTGCTATCGCGAAGAATGCAGAGTCTGTCGACAACGGTATAAATCCTGCCTGGAGAAAGGCCGCTACTCATATGTACTTCGCTCGCTACTGGGCGCCAAATGCCACCCTCGCTCAGCAGCAAGATGTGATCCGCAATATGGCTGAGGTTGGCATGCCTATCCTTAAAGATGTTGAGGGCTGCAAGATGGGAGCATACTTGAATGAGGCAAATGCATACGAACCAGATTTCCAGAACGAATTTTGGGGTAGCAATTATCCTCGTCTCTATGAGATCAAGCAAAAGTGGGATCCTAATGGACTTTTCATTGCTCGGAAGGGTGTGGGAAGTGAAGATTGGGATGATGCCAGGCTCTGCCGCATTAAAAAGAAGTAGGAAGTGGGCGTCGTTTCCAGAGTGACTGTTGGCTAGGCTTGCATGTGGTCGCAATGTTATTACATGTGATGAAATATGCTGGCGTCGACGATCCAGTCTCCTACACAACCGAAATTGAATTTGCGGGCCAGGTAATAGGCAAGCCGAAGCGCTTGGCCCGATGTGCTATTGCCTTGAAACTTGATGATGTGGTTGCTATGAGGAATGGCATAGAAGCTGCTGTAGTACTGTAACTATTCTTTCAAGTTGATTCATCCTCGGGTTCAATTAATATAACAAAGATGGCAAGTTCAAATGCATTATTTCCTAAACATAACCAACACAAGTGTACCCTTCTATCATGCCTTCATATTTTTGCTGAATGCCATAGAATCCCTGGTTTCTATATGTAGCATTTCGGAGTACAATAGCGCCCCACATCGCCTTCCATGTCGGAAACACCAAGATACTTTTTCGAACCCTGATCACATTATATGGGAAAATAACACTTGTTATACCTACCGGTAATAATACCAGCTGACTCGTATAAATCGTAAGACAGATAGATACAAGGGCCGAAAACTAGAAGCCTGAAGCTCCTAGAAGCTTCCACGCAAACGTAACAAACAGCGCAAAAAAGCAACGGTTGCACTTGGCAAGATGCCAATTTCTCTGGTTTGCGTCTCGCAGTTGCTTTACTGGAGGAAGCTTGGTATTTCCCGGGCGTCTATCTGAGGCCTTGGTGGTAAGTAAGACTTGACAGTAACGCTTTTTTGGGAATATTGGTTATCATCACGCTGCATTTTCGGGTCTTTTTTGGGTACCAGGAATTCCTGGCTAACTTCTGGTTAGGACAGCCTCATCGAAACATTCTCGTAATGGCCGAAAGCCTTCTTGGTTACGATACCTATCCGACCCCTTAAGAGGCACTGCAACTGCTGCGCCGTCATCGTTGGCAACTACTGCAACCATGATGATCCTTTGTTTCGGATAGTGTGTTTTGAGATGTAGAATGAAAGAAGGATTTTAGAATGGGAGGATTCCAGAAAGCATTGGAGCAGAAAACCAAATTGACCGGTGGGGGGATGGAGTGCCGACCAAAATCAAATACATAGAGTAGCAGCCACGATTAGGCGCTGAGAACGTGTAGCTGCAATTAGCTCATACAGGGTGGCCGTGGCTTGAGGCATCGAACGTTTGCTTTTTGCATTCATGCTCGCACTCCATCCACCCTCTGCAGTTGCAGCCTACAAATAGAGCCAATCCACGGTATCCACGAAACCACTTTTAGCGGGCCTAGAAAATGATGCCCCGTCCTATCGTTAGATACGGTGAGTATGGCGTTCAAAAAAGTGGAAGGTTCGATCAGTGGGACGATACTCCCCCAAACTCGGGCAATTGTAGTCTCTATCCATAGACTATGCTGCACCAATATCGGAGCCCCACCCCTATGACCTACGACTCTCTGCAACAAGCTAACTCATTAAAGGGTACAGTACTGTACACACTGTAATCTTCTATCACTGCAACTTGGCGACTAAGAGGAAGGTCGGACCAAGGACCAGGATCCGCCGATCTGTATTCACTGCTTAATTGAGGGGAAGATCCCCCTCAATAACAGGACGGTGGCAAATTTTGAGAACAACATATGGTTTTAGCCCTTCGGTTCTACTGGGGCTGTCTCTATGGCGGGAAGTAAAGAAACGAGTTGACTACAAGCATCCACATCGGAAATTCGAATCAGAATATATGTCGTTATATTCTGCAACTTCAAGTAACAATCCCCTTATCATAACCCACCATGCGGGCCTAGAATAACGGTGCTCAGCCCTCAAGATTTGCTGAACTCATGGGATCGCTCTGGTACCAAGAAGTAGTTCCATCATCTCTTAATTTTCCCGGTGTGCGGCGTCGGCTAATGGGTAGCGCGCAAAGAAAGCTGCAAACGGAACTAGCTGCGCCTTTTCAAAAACTTCGCCTCCATAGTCTTTTTCTGGAGCTTCCATATTGGCTCAGTCAAATAAATCAAACCCCCCAAAACAAAAAGACTCCATGATATGCTCCATGGTTTCCTGACTTGCTCCTCTGTAATATTCAGGCAGATCCACACCAAAGTTCTTAACTGTGTGTGTTCTCCAACTTCGTATCAAATCCTGTAGCAAACGATGCGCTCTCTCAATTTTGGGATCTAGATCTTTTGCTACAAGACAGAATGAGTTCCGATGTGCATGACTCACTGTTGGTTTGAATAAGGAAATCTCAGAGATGTGACTAAATGACCCAAGAAGCCCGCACGGTATGAAGGCTATAAGCTTGATGTAAGAGGATGACCAAAGTCCCGCCACGCTTGATCCTCCGTGACGCTATAACAAGTTGTGCGGTACTCAGTCGAGCAGCCTCATTTTTGGTCCATTCCGCGCGTATGTGTGTATGGAGAACCTGTCCATCGCAAAACACAGCATCGAATGTCTGCGTCGTAAAGGGTACATTGTTGGAAAATCTCGATGCCAGATCAGGAAAGCCGATCTCCGCAGCAAGCATGGTGATGTCGATGAAGTGTATTTCAATCCGCTTATCAGTCTGCCAGTCCGGAAGAAGAATGTCATGTCCACCTTCGTCTATCGGCAGGCTGAGACCACATACGTTGTCATAAGGATTGTATTTCAAAATGTTCGCAGAATATCCTCCGGGTGCCATACACATATTGAGAGCCTGGAGATGTATCGTCTTGGAAGGAGGCAGGATTATCTTCATGTCGGCCTGACTCCGATCACCAATCTTCATAATCATCGTGAAAAAATAATTCTTTTGCTTCCCACCAGGATAAGTGGCGCCTGCTTTCTGGTTTCTGAAATATTGTTGCGATCGATGGTCCTGAGAGTAGTTGGATAGTCCACGGAGTGTCGAAGCTTCTCTTCTTCCCTGTCCTTTTCTCCACCAATAATATTGACATATTATTGCTTCATTTCCCGTTTTGTCTACAATTAGGCTGTAGTCGCAGTCTAGAAGAGTGCTATCACCGGTGTCAAAGCACAGCTATTCTCAACGGGCGGTTAAGGGAACCAATCGAAGCGAAAGATAAGGATGCAATCTAGGGTACCGCGGCTGCTCTGACTATCTTGACCTTCTCGTCCCCTGATGCATGCACGCCGGAAGAATCTTGGTCTTTAAAGTCCTCTGACCACTCCGATTTGGACTGGTTACGTATGAGCAAGGGTAAAATGTCACTGGGGCACATAGTGAACCCGCTGCGACCGGACAGTCTTTTCCGCGTCATGGCGGCGACCTTTGCTCATATGCATTCACCCTTGCCAGAGAGGTGCGTAGATGGTATACCAAGGGCCTTGGCTGCCATTTCTCTCCTCGAAGGCTCATCTACGGCGGAAAACAATCCGTATTTCTTTGCCGCCCAAGCAGTATCCCAGACACTGGACCCCCCGAATAGCGAGGTCACAACAGGTCAAACTCAATTCTTCACGGGCAGTATCCATGGCCCTTTCGAAGACCTGCTCCTGGAAAGGCACCCTGTAGCGCTTTTGTTGCTGTATCTATGGTACCGCAAAGTATGTCGCAGTATACGGTGGATTGAACTCTGAGCTAGAGTGGAATGTCCTTCTATTTGCTCGTACCTACGGCTATATCACAAAGGGAATGTTGCGGTACACGCATTCCTTCCAGGAGGGGCTTTCGCCGATAGATGGGATTAGTTAAGCTTTCAAAGCCTCGAGTTCTCTTCCCTTCCGGGATTGTTGGTATGAAGAACTGCAGCAGTGGTTTTTTGAAGGATGGACACAGCCTCAGCTTTATTATCAGGTAACTCCACGGCGCTAAAACAGGGAATCAGATTAGCGGGCAGCCCTCATTGAGCATTCTGTTGGTCCTGTGTGGGATGGGATGCCAGGGATATACATACAGTATACACAAATGGGGAGATATGATATGCGGGGCCGACATGGTGCATCTGGGCTCCTCTGAAAGCGAGGAAGCCTCCTTCTTTTGCTTCCTCGCGCAACGTCTTGTATCTAGAGTCAACGATAGTTGTTCTAATCTTAATTAAAATCGCGAGAACACGCTCCTCATCTCGATGCTCGAGTTATACTCTCAACATGGGATTAGCACCTTCCCAGGAATCAATCAACCCAAGCCAGAACAACTCATACCGTATCAAGTGCAACACGTGGCCGAGAAAAAGCACACTGTGACATGATTACTTCGAGAGCCTGTTGCTGCCTGCTGTTTCTAATGCACAGCATGAGCAACAAAAGGTCGCATTGGGTCGCTCTTGACAGGGGAAAGAAAAGAGAATAAATGATGGATTTATTGGTTGAGAGACGGATGGGGACGGAGAGAAGCTCCGACCGACCCCTCTCGGACTAACTACACTCAGGACCATCCAGGGTCACGTGATCTAACCAGTTCTCAATGAGTGGGATCGGGCTGCTCAGCCAGCCAGCGACTTGCTGGGATATCGGATTATGCTGGCACAACGGTCATGTAATCTACACGCCAAGATGTTGAGACCTGGGATTACGTGACCTAAATAGAATTGAGCATTAGATAGCCAGAGAGCTCGCGTACCGAGTGTCTATGTCCCCATCCATGATCTACCAATACATTGATTGACATTATCGTTCCCTTGTTATTATCAAGACCTTATATATCGTCAATAATACTTCGTGTCTCTGGCAGAGACTTCGTCATCGTTATCACCATCATCAGTCAATGAATTACGAACATATTTTTGTCTTTACATATTTGTGGATTTGGTTGATCCCCTCGGTAAACGGGTGACAGCCATATACTCGGTTATCATTCCGTTACATTAGTAGAAAATAATGGGCACGGTGGAGCACTAAGTGAACATTTCAATCCGGCTTGACAGGATTTACTACACGCCCGCCTTTTGTCGCTGCCTCGATACGCGATGTGCCGGACTCGGGTACATGTACCCGGCAGCTCTGAGTGGCGATGTCCACGGATAAAGCACCATGCGAATCGTTCTGCGTAATTGTCAGTTAGTAGAATATGTTAGCCAATTAGAAGAACTCTTCGTATTTATATAGACTTGAGTAAACTTCTAACTAGCAAGGTACCTTTATCAACCATTCCTGCGCTAGAGTTCACGAGGAGCTTCCAGGCCCGTAACCTTATATGAAAGCTACCTGAAATAAAGCATAGGATAAAACGATAGTAATCAGTGATGCAAATAAAGTATTTTATTGAATGAAGAAACTAAGTGGATGAAAGGCTATCTATGGAGATATGAGATATGGGAGCATATGGATGAGTCTTGACAAGGGAAAGAAACGGTCAATAAATGATGGTTTTATTGACTAAGAGACGGACGGGGAAGGAGAGAAGCTCCAACCCCTCGAGGACTATCTGACTACTCTCAGGACCATCCAGGGTCATGTGACCTGGGCGGTCACATGATCTCGACAATGAGGCACCGAGACCACCATCCAACCCGTTTATTGACACGGAATAAAATAAAGAGAGTAGATGGATTTCAATGAGCCACAGGGCCAAGCTCACAAGTCGAAAAATGGGTAATCTTGTGGACAAATCGATGAAGATAGACCGGAACCCGTTAGTCTTCTGGGAAGAGCTTGGAACAGTAGTCAATGCCGCGTTCTATTTTGAGTAAGAAATCAACGCTCATACAAACAAAGATAAAAGGAATTGTCATTTTCGAACAACAGGTAGCCAGTGAGACATCACTTCATACATCAATATCTACTGTCCGGCCTCATATGCCTTGGCCATGTCGCCCATAGTGTCAAACCGCCAATCATAAATATTATCCGACAAGTTTCCCATGGTGGCGCCAGGTCGCTCAATCCAGGCGGACTTGATTCCGATCTTGCTTGCAGGGTGATGGTCATGGAACTGGCTCTGGGCGGTTTGGAGGACCTGCGAGGGCTCAATGTCGAAATTTAATTTCACCATTCGGAGCATGTATTCAAAATTGTGAAGATCGGGCTTATAATAGCCCACATCTTGAGCAGTGATAATCAAATCGAAGGGAAATCCCTCTAGGCTGCCTGTGTTGGTCTTCGCGAACGATGCACGATCAACATTCGATAGAACCACCAATTTGTAATTCTTCGAGAGACGCTTGAGGGCATCAACAGTGTCTGGAAATGCGGGCCAGCTGCCGACCGACTCCCCAAATCGCTTGCTCTCCTCCTGGGATGGGATCTCTAGTCCTAGGCGCTTAGCGAACTCGGGGTGCACAGTGGTCAACAACTGATGGTACGGCATATCGGGAGTCTTGCTCTGCTGCTCGCGTTCTAGTTCGTGGTAGACGGTGAGCAGATGTTTGCGTGCAAATTGAGCTTTGGTCTTGTCCAGAGTGGGCTGGAATGCAGCGAGAATGCCTCCCTCCCAATCGACGAGAGTACCATAGACATCGAAGGAAAGCACACGGTAGTCAGAAAGTTGAGTCATTGTAAAGATTTGGTTGTGGTTGTAAAAAAATCAGGAGCACGATAAATGGACAGATTGAAGCTCGAAGAAAGTAGGGTGTTGCCTTTTAATCGGACCGTTCCGGGTACTGAGACCCGATGTACTGAAATCATAGCCTAAATAGACTGGGCCGACCGTGAAGGTCGTTGGACTACCAAAACCATGATGACAATTGTCTTATTGTCACTCAGTTTCAAAGAAAGCAGTCTCGACCCTTTCCTGCCTTCTCTCATCATACATTAGTTCCTTCTGTATATTCTCGGCATTGAACAAGTCAAGCTCTTTTTCATGTGAATCGTTAGCTTCTGTCCATTCATTCATAAACATAGCACATCTTTTCAAATGATGTTGGTACGAAACTACTAATGCTAGAATATGAATGATTGAGAGAAATCTATTCGCATAAACCATCAGGGTTCGAGAACAAAATGTTATTCACAATAGCCATTCCTTTAGTCCTACGAAGTAATCCTTCCCAGACACTGCCAATCTTTCTACCTCGCCCATGAGAGCCCTTTTGACCTCCTCGATCATGCCATCTTCTATAGCCCCTTCTTGCCAGGTGAAGCCCAACGCCAATCTCCCATCTCGGCCTGTCACAGCACTGACTTTGATGGCGGCGCCGCAAGCATTAGAGCTCTGGCTGAACAGCATACTCTCAATTTCGAAGTTTGATCCTCCTCGCAGAGTAGAACTTGCCCCAATGTTAGATAATTCAAATGCGCTCATTCTTTTCCGACCCAGTTTTTGTAGCATCCAGTGATGCTGGTTCTGAATGAATGCCAAGTAGCCAACCGGCATGTCACCCCCTTTCTGTGCCATGGCATGTTCGATGGCCAACTTGGTGCGGCGAGCCTCGTTCCAATCAAAAGATGGCTTTCTGCGGTACGTTGTGGATGACGATCCGACATAGCAACCCAATGTGGTCGTAGTAACCGGCTCCGGGAGGAACTTGCGTAATGATACTGCACAGTCACCTTGTAGTGTATAATATGTTGACGGAAGAACAGAAAAAATGCTAGTCGCGACGAGCACTTGAAGCGTCGCCGTGACGGAGGTCTGCTCCTTCTTACTCAGTGTTATGAGGGTGTTCGTGTCAGCCTCAGATAGCCATAAGGAAGAAAAGCGACTCTTTACAGGCGTGAACTGGGGAGCAGCAGTCCAGTTATCGGCAGATGGCTCGCTATACTTCTCTTGAGATTGCAAGAATTCTTGCGACACAGAGAGTGTATATAAGCCCTCAAGTGGAGGAATAAGGGCACCAGGAGGACTATTTACCTTGTCACTTGGCTCAATGCCGACATATTGAGCCATATATCCTTCTAGTTCATCGTGGAGCGAAAGAGCGCTTTTGGTGTCCATGAGTGAATGGTGAAACATGAACACAAGGATAAAGCCTGTGGGCCAATTGCTACTCTCCAGAACGCATAATCTCCAGAACGGAAGGACCTTGTTTGGCTGAATTTCGAAGGGGCAATTGTGTTGCCCCTCAAGGACATTGTCGAGGATCTCTCTCCAATCCGAGCTCGGAGAATTCGCATCGTCTTTCATGAAGGCCACAACCTCACTCAGTTTAATATTAGGAACACGGACAAAATACGGATTTTGTGTATTAGTCGCGAATGGAATGGCCGAAAGTATAGGGTGCTTCGAGATGAGCCTCGAAAGAGCGTGAAAGAGTGCCGGTTTCACGGGTACTCCGCTTGATCGCTTATAGCGGGCTGTCAGACCCACGTTGAGATAGATCCCCAAGTGACTCCGTGTCGTCGAATATTTTTCCGCATGTCCTAATGACTATCAGGGGTTGGAAAACCAAGGAAGTAGACATCCTTACCAAGCAACCGCAGTGGCGTAAACCCTGCTTCGTGTAATACTTCTTCCATGGTGAAAAAGAAAATAGCTATGACTAGGTCCGTTGCGTTACTTCTGAAGCAAGAGCTCTCGCTGGCTTTCATGCTATTACTTCGCAATGCTAGTGGGGCATTAGGACCTTTTCAGTCTCCTGACTCGGGTGCACGTACCCGCATGGGCCTAAAACGATACCTCACATGGCATTTGTCGTCCTACCTTAGACGTGACAAAGGGATGCATTGGCAGAACTCGATTGTCGATCGTCTGGAAGCTTCGTCAACTTTATTATTATATTCAAATTATGAAATGTGGTTTTTTGTGGATTATCCTCAATCATCAATGTAGCCTGTACGACAGTCCGGGGTGCTTGGAAACGAGGCAGCCGATGGCAATGCGAAATGCGTTGCATTGGAAGTGGGAGGTGTGACCGAGCCGGAAAGTCCTACGATCCGAATTGGCGCTGCGACCAAGTGTGCACTCCGACCGAGGATCAAAGAGCGCTGGGAGAAGGAGTGGGCGAGAGAGAGGATCTCTCATCCCACGAAGGGCTTAGTGAAATGGCCGAATAAAGAGAATTTGTGGCTTATCGAAGCCGCATGTGGCAATCATGATACAATTGCGCTCAATGCGTATTGCATTGAAACATTTCTTGTATAAGATCAATGCAGCGGATTCCGACAAATGCGCGTGCGGAGAGGGTTCTCAAACGTCGAAGCATGTCTTGCTACAATGCCAGATATGTGAGCTCCGTAGTGAGCTTCTTGACCGTTGTTGGAAGACAAACCCGCTGGCAAGCCGCTACGTTGCCAAATTCATGCACCAGACCGGTCTTCTTGCTCAGTTTCAACTTGTGGAGCATGGGGAATACGCTGAAATTGAAACCGAAGGCCTCGCGGCAATGGAGCAGAGTCCCGAAGAAGCTGGGTACTCGCCACGGAATTACGCAACGACTGGGGAAAGAGAGAGCCTCAGCCGGCTTCTCAAAGGCACGACACCTGATTGGTCGACAATCGATAGCCATAAGCATCATATTGAGGATGAAGCTTGTCTTGGAAGCGAGGCCTGATCTTGCTTTCATGCTTGCAGACGGGCCGCTCAGGAAAGAAGTGCCGGTCTAGGGGTATCGGCGTATCCCAATGTCTTGACAGGGGGAAAGAAACAAGCAATAAATGATGGATTTATTGACTGAGAGACGGACGGGGAAGGAGAGAAGCTCCGACCCCTCGAGGACTAACTACTCTCAGGACCATCCAGGGTCACGTGACCTCAACAGATACCTTCCACATTAGTGATAAGCCAGTAAGCGCAGCTGCAGGCGTTGTTCGTCACCAGGCCTCACGCCTACCGAAACCAACGAAATTTGATCTATCCGCTATCGAAAAACTGTCCAGTACGGAGACTGATCCGACTGAATGGATGATGTAGGTGGAAGATACCCTGGAACCAATGATACTCGGAGACCTGATCGATCTATCGTTGCCTCGACCAGAGATTGATGACTCATCTTACCGTAGATGGTCATACGGCATCAGCAGAAAGATGGATAGGCCTCCAGGTAGACGAAGATACGAGAACTCGCCTCGCTAGCCTCGCTGAGAGACCAAGGATGGCCGATGTGGTTTTTGATAAGCTCGTCAGCTATACGCGGGGAGGACAAAGATCAGAAAACCTAATGATCGATATTTACAAGCTCGGTGACATAAAGAGAGAGCATTTCAGCTCCGTCGAGGAATACATTACAAGTTATCAGAGACAGATACGCGTTTTACGCCGAGTCAAGCTGGCGCCACTGCCATTTCACGCCATTGCAATGGTCCGCGAAGTCGAGGAAGAGCTTCCGGGCATAGCCTTTATGAAAGAGGCATTTCAAAAGATGGTGGACTCACAGGAAATGACGCAGGAAGAGTTCGACCGCAAAATGCAAGGAAATGCTGATAAAAGCACGCCAGCTTGCTGTCTCAATTTCAACCTAGAAGGTCAGCTCAGCGCGCGAAAAACCAGCCTGCCAAGCCGACCGACGCGGCACCATTGATCCTAAGCCACAAATCACCTATTCGACCGACTGACGCGACTATGCCGGCTGAGGAAGAGGCCGGGGCCGTGGTCGTGGACGCGGCGGGGGAGGTGGAGGCAATGGATCAACGCATGAAGAGCACGCCGATCGTGGATGCTCCTACTACGGGACCGTCTAGCATTGCAGCAGCCCGTATGCACCCCCAAAGGAAAGGACATCCACAGATACGCTGGTTTTTCGTCAAGAAGGCCGTGGCAAGAGGCCATATCGACGTCAAGCGAGCCGACGCTTCACCAAAGCACTTGACCCCATTGCATTCAAGAGATTTCTGGAAATGCTAGGAATGAAGGCCATAAAGTGAAATCCAATGGCACGGGGAGCATGTAACCTACATGTGATCCAGGGATAAGAATTGAGAAAAGCACGAAACGAGGAGATTTACATGCAAATTGCAACTAATGAACTATCGTTATTGCTTGTTTCTTTCCCCTGTCAAGAGTTTTTCAGGATATCAGATCAAGTGGCTCAGGTCCATGGAGGGAAGGTCGAGTAGAAGACTGGCTTGCAGTTAATAAAGGATCTACAATACTTCCGTGCTCCGCGACTGGGCCACCTATACCCAAAACAAGTGACTTTTGAGTGCCATTAGTCCATTGATTTTGAAGCAATAAAAACAACTAACTAGTATAGATGCCATTTAGACATAGTCGAGAAATTAAAGCAATATATTCAGTTAAGGAATTCCGAATCCATTCACAGCTGGGACAAGAGTGCCGTTTCGGCGCAAAATGAACTATCAATGCTCGTTCAAACTATCCACCACAGGCTGGCAGGCCCGCTTCTTGCTTTTGATCAACTCAGTTGCAGATTTCGGACCCACGATCTTATCCCAGCCATGATAACAACCAAGGATGCGCTCGACAACCGCATGCGGATCTTGAGAAGTATCTATAATCGCTTCCAGAGGTCCCGTCAGTACTGTATTTCACTTTTGGGAGCGTACCCTGGCAAAGGGTGATAAATTCCCAAGTAATGATTTCACAGCAATCAGTAGTGTCCGGTTCTGATCCACTCCCCGACGCAAAGTCATTTGTGAAAATCCGGCGTTTGGAACACCTAGCGAATTGATTGACGCTATGTGACCCTGAAAGACATAGCTAACCCAAATGGGCACTAGGGACAACGGCGGACTTGAATTAGTTTGTCGCCAAGCCTGCCTAGGCGGCGTTTTGCTGTTTAGCGAACGCAGCGGAGATTGCATTTCAAGCCTCATTTGAACATTTGTACGCAAATTTTGGCAAGGTCTCCTTAAACCATGTGGAAACTATAAAGAAAATGTATATAACAGCTGGACCCCGTAGCACTTAATCACGGCTATGTTCTTCATTTCTCCCTGATCTATTTGTGTTTCTATTTACCGAATTTTCGATTTCTCGATTGCAGTCATGGACGGATTGAATGCCTCAGTCTCTGCAGGTTGGTATACCTTCACCAACTTGGGCCCCCTCACCACCACGTACACACCGGCTCCAAGCTGCACTGCTTCCAATCGCGTCGGTCTTGGGTATGTGAATCCTACTGGTGGAAATGTATACATAGAGTATGCCATCCAATGCACCTCGGACTTCAACTATTTTACCGGCTGCACTCCTACTTCCACTTCAGCAGTCAGCACCCCGACCTTCACAGCAACATCTTACGAGGATTATGAAGAATATAAGGATAGTCTGATCGAATGGAAAGGTTATGGTGCCTACTACTCTCCTGGTCTATACTGTCCCTCGGGCTGGACGACAATCGGAATGGCAGCGCGTGACTCTGGCAGCTCGATAACTTCATCGGGTATCATGGTTCCCACTGCAACTGCGACTACAACCACGAAGTACAGTACCGATGACATGTACTACTATATGTTCAACTACGAGGACCCCGCCTCGGTGCTCAAGGACATTCTCGAGCCTAAACAGACAATGGCGTTATGTTGTCCGAGGTAAAAGCACCCAATTATATCAGTCTGAACATAAATGGCAAGAGAATAATTAGGCTAACATTCCTCCACAGTGCCATGACCGCCGACAACAATGGTGCTTGTTATTCTGTCGTGAAAGACTACAAGCCGAGCGTCGGTTGCCAGGCCGGCACAGGGTACAACTACGAATACTCTGAGGTGCCATACACGTACAGTGATCCCAGCGCCAGCGCCGTCGAGACTGGTTACCGTGATGTTCCAACGACAACCATCTACAAAACAGACACTTTCTCGACGACCTTTGATCGCATGGAACAGAACTACTACACTGCGTTTTCTTATGCACCCATGATCACCCTCCTGCATCGTGAGTCCGATTTGCAGTCTGCGAGAGCGTCCTCTACTTCGGCTGCCACTGCAGCCACCACCGCAGCGACTACATCTAATGCGGCAGGCAAGGTTGGTCCCAAGGCGTCGGCATGGGATGGTGCCGGCTCTTTGCTTGGTATTTCTGCTGCTGGTATGGTATTGGGGGCTGCTACCATTTTCCCTTGGTAAATATTCCCTGATAAATATTGTGCCTTTTCGTTTGCCTTAGGGTTGGGGAAATCGTATTAATTGGTAATAGTATTCATGTTTTGTTATAGCTATACCTCGGTGTTGAACTAAAAGCAATTGGCATTATCACTTTGTAATGCTCCTTCTCAAGCCATACTACGATGGGGATATCATGTTTTTGTCTGTGGGGGGAATATGGGTGGGATACGGCTGAGCAGAAAGGCCACCCTGCTGCTATAGACGTTTTTGTCACGCTCTTTTAAAAAAACTAGACAAAATATGTGGCACTCCTAGTAGTAGTCTTGGTAAATTAGCGAAACTTGATGGCAGTCACAACTAGCGTAATAAAAACATATAGAAGTCAATTGCTCTGGTCTTAGACATCGTCCACGAAAATGGAAGCTGGCCTGTACCTTCCTTGCGGCGGCTTGATCGAGCGAAATGCTGGCTTGTAAGCCTGGATTTGGAAATATTCTTAAAATCCCAAGATGGGATAGTACTGAATGTATATTTCAAAGATAGGAATCAATTGTATCACGAAACATGGAACACGGATGGTGATTCAGATCACAAAATTTGTCGGATCCTTTGTCTGCTCTAGAAATATCGGCCTGTAAGATCGTATATGATCGTCCAAATTCAAACATAAGATGGACTTTTGCAGTAAATCTCAAGTGACACAAAATGGCGGCACCTGAAATGCGTCGCATCTATGTTTGGATTGATATCATCCATCTCAACACATTCAGCCATACCTCTTACCCTGATTCTAAACCAAATACTTCATAGCTAATATTTAGCATTAGTTACGGGATATATACCTTATCATTGCTATTAGGTCCTGGACATGGTAGGTAACAGCGCGGTTATCGTCGGAGTATGTGAAAGAACGGAGAGGCAAGATGAGATCGAATGGGTCGATCAGCCTGAGCATTGGAGTGAACGATCAGGTCGCTCCGTGAGCCGCTTAGGGCGGCGGGGGACCAACTCAACTTCCCCCGTCACCTAGAATTTTGAGTTCATGCTTCAACTGAAACAAAGTGCCTGCATAGCCATTGCGATACTAGTTAGGCTCCAACCGGTTAATGGAACTTTGATTGAATCCAGCCTTGACGGAAAGGGTTGGATAGTAGTCAAGCTTTGTATCTTGCAGAGAATCCGTCATAGCTGCTCAGTTGAAGAAGCCCGCCGGGAATTAGTACATGGTTTACAAGAAGGAAAGGTTTGAAAGAACCAGATTGCCGTTGGTTTGTAGTAAATAAAGACACGCAAGCTATAAACAACACACGGGATATACAAAGGATACCAAATATAAGAATAAAATTAGTCATGGGGAATCACATTCACAGCTCCTCATCAATCTCCTGAGACTGTCCAATGTTGAGCTCCCAAGAAACAGCCTTGAGGTCAAGGGTGTCTTCGTTGCTGGCAGCCTTGCCGGAGCCAAAGTTCTTCAGGTTCCACTTCTCAACACCTTCGAAGCCATTGAGCTCGGGTCCGAACAACTCGTAGAGATTGGCGTTCAGGCTCTCGTACTCGCTGTAGTCCTTGGGCCAGTCACCCAGGCGCTGTAGGGAGAGCTTGAGAAGCTGGAGATGCTGGCGGACCTGTTCGCCATCGGTCAAAGAGCTGGTCGAGTCGTTGATATTCAGGTCGTAAGTGGAGCCGTCCATGCTGAAGCTGGCATCCATGGAACCTTCAAACTCGGCCAAGGAGGGGTCGACAAAGATGCGGAGAAGGCTCTCGTGTACGACAGCGCTCTTCTTGTAGTACTTGTTGGCCATGTGCTGGCCGCTCTTGTCACCCTGGTAGCGTTGAGCGATAGCAGTGTACAGCTGGGACAGCAAAGTCGACATCTCGAGGGTGCTGGAGTGGCGAGCACCGTTGACACGGCGGCAGTTGTACACAATGTCCTCGGCAAGACGGGCCGCCTTGACGGAGTCACCAATCAGGTAACGAGCGAGGATGTAGCGACGAGCCAGGTCGAGAGTGAGAACCGGGTTCCAGTGAGCTTGCTTGTTGCGGTTGTTCCAGAGATCACCGAGGATCCAGACCAGGTTCTTGTAGTCCTGCTGCTCTCCAAGGAGACCGATCAGGACGTTGAGGTAGTCCAGGTTGATCTGAGCCAGGTTGATCTTCAGCTCTGCGAGGACACGAAGAACCTCCTGGATGATTACCACAGACACTCCACGCAGCTTCTTCAGAATGGCCTGGCTGGGCTGGGGGATAATGGCGTGGCCAGAGATGAACACACCCAGGGTGAACACGAACTTGACAATCTCGGGCTTGCGGAAGACATCGTGCGCCGAGATGTACTGGAATGCAGCGAGAGCAAGATTGGCGGCGCCGTCGTAGTTCTTGGCCTGGAGTAACTCGAGTACCTGGGTGTTGCTGGCAATACCAACCGAGCGAACGAAGTTGTGAGTCTCGTGGGTTGTCAGGTAACTGATCATGGTCTGGAGGAAGACCTTCACCTGGGCGATGTCAGTGACCTTGGTCTTCTTGCCTTCAGTGGCAATGAAGTAGGCGACGAAGTCATCAAAGACACGGTTGGCAGCAGCATCGCGACGGTGAGAGAGCAGGAACTGGTAAAGACGTGTTGCAGACAGGGAAACCTGGTGGAAAGAGCTGGTCTTGCTCTTGGTCAGGCTGCGGAACTCCTCGAAGTAGGCATACTGAGTGGTGAGGGTGGCGAGGATCTCAGTGACACTTGAAGAGCCCTGGCGAACGCTGTGCTCAAGCTGGGCCAAGAATACAAGGCTGTGACGGCCCTTGGATGAGACGTCGAACTGAGTCTCCTTCGACTTGGAAGTGTCCTTCATGATGATCTGGCGATACAGTTCCTGAGACAGCTCAACGACCTTGTGAGCCTGCTTGGTCGCAATGTAGCTCGAGGCGATGGTGGTTGCCGCAGAGACAAGCTGCTGAGAAGAGGTCTCAGTCTGCAGGATCTGCTTGGTCGACTCATGGAGCTCGGTGTTCACAGTCTGAATATCGCTGTGTTTGGAGTGGAAAGCAACAACCTCCTTGAGCTGTGACAGAGACTCCTCGTGGGCCCAGCCGTAGGTCTCACGAACCTTGCGAATACGCTTGGTCAGGACACGGGTAGCACCCTCACGGTGAGCAGCAGAGATCGAGTCTGACTTGGATAGAGCGGCGGTCTGCTCCTCGAAAATACCATCAAGGATCGCAGTAATCTCATCGATGTCAATATCCTGGGACTTGCTGTCGATCAACTGCTGATAGAGAGTGATGGCATCGTTCTCGAAGGTCTTGGACTCGGAACAAACCTGGGCGAGCGTCAAGGTCGCCTGAATGGTGATCGACGCAGTGGCGCCAAACACTGTCTTGCACTTGGTCTGGTAATCAACGGTAACCTTGTGAATATCAGTGTACTCGGTGCGAACAGTACGAAGGCAGTGAGTGTAGCGGGTGAAGACAGTCTGCACAAAGGGTACATCCTGGAACTTGGAGCTCTGCTTAGGCTGGTTCAGGAAGGTGGTGAACAGCACCTTGAAGTAGGGCACAGCCTCAGAGTAGCGGCTCTGGGTCCAAAGCTCCGTGGCGACGATGATGACGGGCTCCAGCGCTTCAGGCTTGCAAATCTGAGAGTCCTTGTTCAAGATCGAGATGATGCGCTGGTAGTACTCGATGAAGACAGGACGAGGGCGAGCAATCTCAGCCAAGTTGAAGAGAGTCTTGAGGACGATGGGGTGTTCAGGGCCATAATGCTTGGTGTAGTCGTCCAAAATCTCCTGGCGAGTGGTGAAGTCCTTATCGGGCTGGGAAGAGGTCTTGAAGAAGTTCAGAAGCTGAGTGGTGACATCGGTTCTCAGCTTGTCCTCGACAGGACGGGCAACCCGAACGGCACGGTACACGCGGATACGGATGCCCTCCTCGCGGGGAACACGGCGACGGAAGTGGTAGCAACGGCTGAGCTGGTTGGCGTAATCCACGGCCTGGTCAACATGCTGCTTGGGAAGGGTCACGTCCTGGATAGAGGCAGAAAACAGGGAAGGCCAGAGACCACGTAAGATCTTCTTGAGGGCCTGAGAAGCATCTTTCCAGCGGTGCTCGGAAGTGTACACTGTCAGAAGAGTGCGGAGCGCGCTGATCGAAGTCTCGTCAATTTTGGAAGAGGAGGAAGCTTCGGTAACGATCTGCTCCAAGATCTCCTCGGAGATGTGGGACGAGGAAGAGCTAGCCTGCTTCAGAACATGCTGCTCGGAAGTTTGAATGCTCTTCTGGATCTCTTGGTAGGACGAAGACTGAGTCTTGTTTGTCCGCTGGTAGTACTCGGAGCAGCGCTTGAAGATGCTTAAAGCGGCAACGGAGAGACCGACAGTCGACATCACCTTGGCAATCTGCTCAAAGTGCGAAGTGGAAGTCTCGGAGAGAGAGGCACTGGAGTGCTTGTGCTCCTCCCACACACTGGACAGAATGGAAGAAGCCTCGGAGGTTCTCTTCTGAGACTGGAGGAAGCGAGAGTAATCAAGGACAGCCTTCAACTTCTCGTCTTCAGAGTGACCACTGCTGACGCGTTGCCAGATCTCAATGTAGAGACGCTCAGCCCAATCCAAGTGCCCCTCTGCAACGTACTTCTCGGCTTGCTTAATTTGAGACTCGAATGACCACTGGGACTTGTCCAGGGCCTCGTCCGACTCGGCACTGAGGTCGAAGACAATGCCACTGAAGCCATCTGGCTGCTTGTGGCCATTGAGACGAATGCTCAAGTCACGAGAGTCATCAGCGTCGTATTCTGTGGTTGTGCGAGTGTGAATCTTGAGATTCCAGCGCTGTTCCTTCTCAGTCTCCTTAGTCACGCTGTAGTGGCGGATCAGAGCCTTGATCATTCCAATCGTCTTCTCGGACTTTTCTCCGTAGTAAATGGAGAAGCACTCAATGATGAGGACGAAAATCTCCTCACGCTGGGTCATGATCTCCGACTTAGTGCTAGTGACCAAATCTTCAGTCAGAGTGAGGAACACAAGCGCCATGTCCCGGGTCACGACATGGTTGATGTCGAGCAAGGTGCGACTGATGGTAGTGATCTCGTAGAAGAGAGGAATAGCCTCAGGGAGCTGGTTGAGCTCACGGTATAGGAAGGCGAGTGAAATCATAGACTGGAGTGTCACCACATGCTTGGGGGTCAAGATCTGGCGGCACAGCTTCGTGACAATACTCTGGTATGATACCAGGGTGGGAGTAGCAAAGTTGTTCCAAATAGTGGTCTGGAGAAGCAAGAGCGTGACAGTGGCAGGGAAGATGTTGCCAAACTCCTTGGAAACATCACCACTGGTAAAGACTGGAGATTCCTTCAGGTGACGAGGCCAGTACCGAACAGCAAAGTCGAGCAGAGGGTTGGTACGCACCCGGGGTGCGACATCACGGCCATCCATAGGACTAAGAGATGGCTCGTGCTGCTCAGGAACAGTGTGCTTGATGTAGACCAAAAGACGGGTTACCAAATCAGTGTGACGGTCCTTGATGGATGTGGTCAGTTTGCCCTTGGTGAACACATCCAAGACGGCCGATCGGATCAGACCATGACGAAGGTAAACCTGACCATCCTGGAGGAAGACAAGTGAGTTGAGCGGCTTGAGAATCTTTCGAAGGTCAACCTTGTAATCAGTGACCACCTGCTTCTCAGGGTTGATCGAGGCCAAAGTGATGAGTTCCCGGGTCAGAAGAGGACGATCAGCGGTGGCAAGGAAGACCAACATGAGCTTCGCATCCTCACTGACGTCAGGAGACTGAATGGCATGGAGAACAAAGTCGGCAATCGTGGGCTTGCCCTTGACGAGAGTGTCGACGAGCTTGCGCAAGTTCTCCGGGCTGTGCTCCTGGCGGGCACGCTTGGTGCAAAGCTTGGCCCACAAGAAGGAACCGCGAGCGGCCTCGCTGATCTGGTCAACAAGAGTCTCCTGCTCAAGCTCATCCATGGCCTTGAAGACCTTGGTATCGGCCTTGCGGTTGCTGTTGGTGAAATGGCTGCGGACGACAGTAGCAATGTCGTCAGCGACACGGTCGCCACCAATGGGGACATGCATCAGATTAGAGGCAGTCTGGGGCTTCTCAGCACCAAGGGTGACCAGTTTGACATTGGTTCCGTTAGCTGTGGCAGCAGTGAGCTTCTGGAGCAAGGCCGCCTCGCCGCACGAGGCTTCGTCAACGCCATCAACGACAATAACGAGTTCCTTTGCGCGGTGGAGGGCAGCGGCAAGGGCCTGCTCGAGAGCGTTCCAGAGGATATTCTCATAGTCACTCTCGTTGATGGTACGCCTGCTAGTGTCATATGCATCACGCAGGATCGACAGCAGCTGGACGTTGCCGATGCGCTTCTCAAACAGCTGGAAGAGAATAGTCTTGGCGATGGAAATGGGAGTTGTCTCGGCCGGGATGCGAGCGTTGATGGGAATGAACAAGCTCTTGTAGGAGACACCAGCAATCTGATCCTGCAGGCGATCCACAATGACGGAGGCGAGGACAGTCTTTCCAGATCCAGGGGCTCCAGTAAAGGCAAGCGTGCGCTTGTCACCCTTGAGGAAGTGTGTCAGGTAGGGGTTCATCCAGAGACAAGTCATCTCCTCGCGCTCATGGGCGAGATGCGAGGTGTTCTCAGCGAGGTGGCTGAGGACGCGGTCCTCTGGGGAGAGCCAGGTGCGAATGGCCTTGACAACCTTCACATCCTCGGGATCCCTGTGCTCCTGCACAAGCTGGTGACGCCACATGGCATCGGAGATGGAGGCACATCGATCGCGGAAGGTCTCAAGCTCTGTGCTGAACTTCTCGTAGATGTTGATTGAGATGGATTGCTCGGCAATCTCATCAATTGACTTGTGGAACGTGGTTGAAACGCTGGCGACCAAGGTAACAAGGTCCGCCAGGGCGTCCACAAGCTGCTCCTTGATCTCGCCAGACACAGTGAAGAGCTCGGTTCGCTCGAGGAGGTTCACAAGGGTGGACGATGTGCTGTAGAAGAATCCAAAGGACGCCATCAGCGCCGGGGCATTCTCCTTACCAAGCTATAACGGCGTCAGCGTAGGAGAATGAGGCATATAGGTGTTGTGTGAACATACCTGAAGGAGCATGGCACAGTAGCCAAAGGCAAGACGAGCAGCGAGCAGACTGCCGCCCTCGAATTGACGGATAGCCGCATCAAATGAGTTGAGTCTCTCTGCGAACAGCTGTGCCCATGCGAGCACCTTGTCGTAACTGCTACCCTCCGCAGGAAGATGGCTCATGCGCTCAGCAGCAATCCAATCACGAATTGAGAGGTAATCCGTGTTGAATAGGAGAGAGGAGACACCAGGGTCCAAGTCACGGCCGCTCTGGTGCTGAAGGCCTTGGATCACACTGGAAAGCTTACTACTGCCAGCAGAGTAGAATGTCCGCGGCATCATAGACTCGCGGCGGGATGCGCCCCGAGACAGGCCGGTGTTCGAAATGCTGTCACTATCGAACATACCAGACATAGCAGAGACTTTTCTGGAGTTACCTGGCAGAGTTGTATAGAAAGAAGAGGAGACATTGCCCGGGACGGGAGAGGTGATACCAGGGGCCATTTTCGTGGCTGTGGGTGTAGTTTCAGTTGAAATAGGAGAGCTATCCTTCGTGATTGTCGGAGGAACAGTTACTGTACCGTACAGACTGTGGGTCTCGTTGAGAAGAGGGGAGGAGGTATGTCGGGGAGGAGCGTTGGTTTCCGAGATAGCTTCTTTGGAGCAGCAGCTCTTAAAGCAACAGAAGAATCGGCACAAACCGGCAATCTGGTTTGAAAGAGGATTCTAGAGAGTATAGTGATACCACATTAAAGTACGAAAAGGTAAAGTGGAAGAAATAGGTCAGCCTGCATGGGGGAGAAGCTCCGGGCTTTTGTAGCAGAGCTCGGGTGGAAACCCCGGCCCATATTTCTCTCTTTTCTCTCAGGTGCGAGGTCGGTGGGATCGATTTGCATGGCATTGACATAGTAGTGACGTCCTTTTTGTCCCTAAGTGGACATGAGCTTCAGCTTTCGGGCTCACGATCTGCCCTCCACCTCTTGCCATTGCTGGATGGGCCGCAGAGTTGGATCTCTCGCTATAGTAGCAAGTGGAGAAGCCAAGGGACATTGGCCCTTCCCAAGGACGCGAATGCGGTCATTCATCCTTCTTTTGGAAACATCCAAACTTCAACCTTGCATGAAATGGACCCGGACCAGGCTGGTGGTGAGGCATAATAGTCCAATGACGGACAAATGCAACGGGATAAAGGCGCCTGTGGATTGCAGCAGCATCCCGTGTCACAGCTCGTTTGATAGGAACGTGGATCACTGCAAGACTACCTGCATGAAGATGGAGAGGGCTGGCATGTGTGCTCCTCAATGGCCGTCGAGACCCATTTTTCGTCAGCAGCGGCACAAGTCAGGAGTATTCATTAATCCACTCCAGCGAAAACGAAATGACCCTTGCTGGTAAACTAGTTGTCGGAGTCTCCGTTAGTTTCGACAAGATACATCTTCAGCTGTGACTTTGGCGCCTGGATCCAGGAGCGCAAGTATGAGATCTCCGTGCGCGCGTTGTGGCTGGCTGACGACATGCGATTTTCCGCCATCTATGGTTGCGGGTCCCGACCCTTCCGTCCGTCGCACGGGTAACCAATGGACATACCATCGCTGGAAAAGCGGACATTTCGAGCGAACTGTCAATCGATTGGCCTTGAGCTAGCCCATCCTGGCGAGTCATCGCCACTCCTCGCGCGGGGGAGTTTGCCTGCTATTGCCGATCGATGGACTGTCAAGAACCATGCATGATTCAGTACTGACGCAAGAGATCCACTTGGATGAGTCCTGCCTCGATCTGTGCAGAATTAGCTTCCAATGTCATGTATGTTGACACGAGGGGTTGACAATCCTTTCCACCGTCGTTCCAGCGTCGTTGGAAACATACCAGGTCAGTGTATAGCCGGCAATCCAAGATCCCGAGGAGCTCCGGAGATATTGAAAAGGGAGGGTGGCTGGGTCTATTCAGTCTAGTTCGACGAGGTGCATTAGGTTGATGGGTCGTGTGGAGGTGAACGAGGAACAGGTGCATCACGGACATTTAGTGGCCGGCTGAAGAACGGATTCGCTCCGACAGAGTGGGGCACTTGTAACATTAGTTTTGTACATGTATATTTAGTAGATGCCGCCTGGCAAGACATCTGTGTGTTTCGCTCCTTGACGTGAATCCTAGAATTCCAAATCTTTCGTTCTGTACTTTTGAAAGCTGCAAGAATCCCTGGCATGTACATGATGTACTTATAGGCTTACTTTGTGGACACGTCACCACTCATCAGATCCAACACTTTCTGTTCGCAAATTTTTTTTCTCTTTTTTTTATACAGAAGAAAGGATATCCACTTGGAGATATCCTATTCCATATGATTTGACCCGTGAACGCAATTGATCAGCATGACTCGATCCAGTTCGTGGGGTTTGGTATTACCGAAGTTGCCGAGAACGAAAGTGGCAGATGTCAAAAGATACACTGCATCTCTCCTCGAACCCTTCTCCAGTACTGATTTCCCTCATATATCAAACATAAGCTAGGCCCGATTACATGTAGTAAGATGATTCTACTGCATATGCCAATACGACAAACCACCATGTGAGGGGTACATGTATTGTAGATGTAAGATGAGACCCACACTATTCGGGAGTCACGGCTGCTGAACTTGGTCAGAACCACTATAATGGTATGAACGGGCTATAACTAGAGTATGCACACTTTGGTGCTGTCAATAGGCCAAAGCGCCCAATCCGATCTATACGGGAAGCATCCCGTCTCCTGTTTCTATTCCCAACTCTCGCATCTAAGTGTGATCTATACGCTTGGACTGTCGGCTATTTCAGCCGAAACTGTGTCTCACGTTCTGATTCTATTTTGGTCCTGTCAAATTGCTATATCATTTAAAATGAGTACGTAAAGTATCAACGCTGTCCATTTGGCTGTACTCCGTACTCCGTACTATAGAGATGAATCTACTGCAGCATGTTGGATCTTCCACGATGACTATATTGTGTGCAGATATCATGAATTAGTGCGGGGAAAAGCCGTTTCGGGTGGTTCGCATTGCCTGCAGTGCCTCTGCAGTAAGATAACGCCCAATTCCCGTACTATACTCTGTAGACTCTGTCCTCTTAGGCGCAATGCATCACATGGTGCTAATTTATCTCCAGTACGTCTTAGAAAATTTCTGTGCCCAGGTGCAAAAGTCTGGTAATGCTACAGTGTTTTGAGATCTCTATTGTGTGCAAGTGCCGGAAATTACCGGAGGGTAACCAGCCCCTATTGCGTTATGTCTGCAACAGCTCTGAATTACTGGCACGGAGTAATTCACTCAACCTCGGAACATTGCTCTTATGTACTCTACTGAAATAGGTTGGCCTTTCCAAGGTGTAGTTCGCAAGGGTCGGCCCGAAACCTACCAACCTTGCAGATATATATATACAATTACCCAACGTACACAATAGCAGTTAATGTCTGCGCCTGTATCCAAACCTAGCATAACCAATGATTTCTTATATTTGGGATCTAAATCACGAATACAATACCTCAAGCTGAGAGACTGAAAGGTTTGACGCTGATATCCTGCACGTGCAGCTAGGCCGAATCCAACCATCACATCATCTACGAGTCATGTACACATAGCTTGTTTGGACCACGCGTTGTTCCATGCATTAGTTCTGACTTGAAAACGTTTCAACTACAGGGTCTCCAGTTTACGCGTCAAGCAGTAGTGAAAGAAAAAACCCATATTTTCATTGAACCAGAATGCATATGCGAATACCAAGTACAAAAAAGGGGATAGACTGGATATATACACAAGAACATGAAGGAAAATCGCTTCTACTCCGAACGACCTGCCGTCTTGATGCGGATCGGGAGATGTTTTGAAACATGAGCGCGCCTCAACTTCGAGGCTATGCCCAGCCAGACCGGCACGGCCAGGCTGTCGCGATGGTACAACAGATATCTACTGCATGTCTCATAATCCCGACCCTGTGATGTCCAGGATCCAGCTCCGTGGCGACCGGATTGGACTCTGGGCTGTGCGGGTGACATAATATCGTCGCTCAGAGTGCCCGTTCCAAAGAGGACACATGGCATGCAAGTATATTAAAATAGATGAGATGATAAATGTGAATATGCCAACCAGCTCATGCGGCCGATTCTGTTTTGTTCTTCTCCGCTTCTGGAGAGAAGCGCCAGCGGTCCCAGTTCTCCGTCACCCACCAATTGGCGACGTAAGCGGCGTTGTAGAGCCAGTTGAGAGCGTCTTCGTCGTAGCGCTTGATGATCGTCGAAGCCAAATCCGGCAGACTGAAGCGCTCGATCGGGCTTAGCTCATTGGGATCCTTGGAGAGATCGGAGAATCGCCATTCGACATCGTTTACCAGGGGAATGACAAGACGGAATTCTGGTCGCGCGGCGGACCGCACCGAGAGCCATGAACCGCCAGTGTTCATGACTGTGAAGTGCCAGGCTTGGCGACCATCTTGCTCAGTGATCTGTGGGCGGATCAGGGATTGTCCTTCGTAGAGGGATCGGAGGTCCCGGGCGGCCTTGGTGCTGTCCTCACTGAGGGAGGCCGACTCAATCAGCAAGTCGATGATACTGGGAACAATCTGGCTGCTGATGACCGGGCTGTCAATCTCAATGGGAGGCAACTTGGGGTGGGCAAGCACAATGGGAACTTGGAAACTGCCAATGTGAGGGTTGTCGTAGGGAGTGACACCACCGTCATTCGGAAGGGAGAGACCGTGGTCTCCAGCCATGACGAACAGGGTCTCATCTGCGATTCCCTTCTCCTCCAGGATGTCGATGATCTCGGATAACCAATCATCCACGTACCCAACCGAGTTCAGGTATCGGTTCAGGTCGTTGTTGGGACCTGCCGATGAGCCCATGATCTCGTCAAAGTCATCGTTGGGAACTCCCCACGGGTGGTGGGTGGTACTGGTGAGGTGGGTGAGGAACAAACGTTCATGGTTGGCCTCGGCGTCGTCAATGGCATCGCGAATGTATTCACGGAGCTCCTGTTCCACAAAGCCGTAATAGTTTACCTCCTTGGATGTCACCGGATAGTGCTTGGCAGTCGGCTTGGTGATGGTCTCCTTGGTTTGCTTGTCATGGAATCCCAACACCGGAGTCAACTTCTCCTGGTTGTCATAGGTTTCGGTGACCGACATCATGAACATGGGGTGCCACGGCCACTTGGTGAAGTCGTCGGACTCACTGCTGATATCGGGCTGCTTGCTAAACATGTTGAAGACGTGGGCCAAGCACGGCTGGTAAACGTGGTGCTCAAACTCGCGGTTGAAGTCCGCGACCAGTGGGGAGAGACCACAGAGACTGCCCGCCAGACTCTTCAGGGTGTAAGTCGACGTGGTGACCGCGTTCTTGGCACTCACACCACCGTAGGCCTTGCGAGGGAAGCGGGTATCCTCATGGTCAAATCCATTGGGGAAGTTGGTCAGATACTCGGCCGTGCGGGTGAGGTTGGACAGGCGGTCCTGGACCGCGGGAGGAATCTTCTTATCCTTCCACGTTTCGGCGATGCGCTTGTACATGAACTCATCCTTCTTCAGCGGGAAGATATCGGCGCGGGCACTCTCCAACTTCAAAAATACCACGTGCTTAATCTTGACATCGCCGCTGGCCAGGGCATTGTGGATCTCCTCCAGCACCGGCTTGTTCAGGTTCGAGATATGCAATGGATCCTCCCGCGGGTTGTAGTGCAGAGCCAAGGGGTCTGTCGGATCCCAGTCCGTGAAACCCTCTGGGGCCGGGTTCGGTATCCATCCCCATCGGGGCGGGGGGTGCAATGCAGAGAGACCTTCCAGATGACCAAAGTAGTCTGGCATGCCGGTGGTGTCGACGGGAGAGTTTCGGTGAGCGCCCTCCACGATGGTGGTCAATGGCAACGTTGTCGAGAGGTACATGTACACTGGGTCGGAGGGTCGCAGGAAGCGGAGGAGGAGGAACAGACTGAACAAAGTGAGGACGAGGGCCCGTTGTGGCACCCCATCGGTCACCCGCTTGTTCTCCGGGAGCGGGTTGGGGAGCTGGGTGTTCAACAAGGTGTCCGATTCCTCCTCGTCGCTGAGGTCCGCATTGTCTTCCAGGGCGATCTGTTCGTAGATTTGGGGGTCCGGAAGGGATTCATGACGAGTCCGAGGCCAGACTCGTTGGACGAATGGCTCCACGTGTGGTCGCACGCGCGCCGCCACCCACCGGATGGGCCACGCCCACACATGCAGGATTCCTCCCGTGATGGCATGGATGGGACGAGCGGCGAACAGCGACACGGTCAACAGGATGCCTTCGACAATGAGGAAACCGGTCAACCCGGTGAGCAGAGTATGGATGGCGGCGGCGTCGCCGTTGAAGGATTTGGCTTGGCGCCAGTGAATTTCGGCGCCGGTGAAGACGTAAAAGGAGGCGTTGGCCGAGGCCATGAACGAGACGATCAAACTGTGCTCCCCTGATTAGCCTCTTAAGGGAACTGAGGTCGTCGACCGGGGGTCCATCAGGGGCACGTGGACACTTACCTAGCTGGGATGACCACCAAAGCCACCAGCGCGGCTCCAGGTCGCCACGCGATCTTCTGCGCGAAGATCCGGAAGAGTAACAGGATCGCGACATCCTGGAAAAAGAAAGTAAATCCCCACAGGAAGAACCGCGGGGCCGGTAGAGAGTACAAGTGAGCGTAAAGATGCAGACATTTGGCGCTGAACAACGAGAGAAAGGCCAAGGTAAAAAAGTAGCGGCGGGCAAAGTCCCACACGGCATCCAGGGTCTCAGCAGGGGAGACGCGAACACGACGAATGCCGTGACTCAAGTACGACTGGACAGCATGAACGACTTTCATGGTTTATGTACTCTCCCCCGGCATGAGGAGTTGGGAAAAAAAAGAGAAGAGAAACGGGGTTGGAGAGAGCCAGGGTCGCGTGGAGACAGGGTCGCAGTGTCTCGTTGGACCCTCCGTCCCTGCCCTCTTTTTTCCCTCTTTTCCTCCAATTGTTCCTCTTCAGCCCCCAAACGCCAAGTCTTGGCCCCGCTCCGCCGGATACGTGATTTCCTAAAAATATTCTGCCTTTTCCCTGCCTTGTTCTCTTCTGGGAAATGGTCCACCTGCCACATTACCATGTTGGGCCTTTTGGGATGGGTGTCGCTCTTGTTTGAGCCACTCGCTTTTGATATACCTCCCATTGAACCGCAACCCCGTCTCCGAGCCGAGAATCAACAGGTCATCCCCGCCCAGGGGCGCTTCGAAGATATCATCACCGGCGATTACGGCCATCCCCCGGTACTCCGTATCCATGACCGACAGGGCGTGGTGAAATGGAGTTGGGAACGGTCGGATGTCGCGCAGGATCTTCCGCCTCGTATTCGGAGCGGGCTATACAGCAATGCGAACGATGCGACCGACATGAAGTGGATGCGAGGTGGTACCAGTGTCGCTGCCATCTACAGTAACCTCATCGTCGTCATCAACCACACCCCCGATCGACCCTCCCTCGATAAGAAGATCACCTTCGCCCTCAGCAGAGACAGTCCGATGCTATGGAATGCCCACACTCTGGAACCGTTGCCAGGGGACCGCCTTGCGGTGGGCACCACCGGCCAGCGACCCTGGGACGGCATCCAAGTCTACAACATCAGCACGGCAAATCCGCTCGTCGATGAACCTCCGATCCTACAAACCATCGAGGGCCTACGCGCCATTCACGCGTTGATTTGGGATGAACAGGGCCAGATGTTGTGGGCGGCGGGGACCGATGCGGCTGCGGATGGCTCCGATCCGGTGCCTGCCCACGGCGTCATTCAGGGCTACCCTTTTGATGCCGCGACTGGTCTCCTGCGTGAAGATCAAGCCTACCGATTCCGATTCCCGCATTACTACGATATCGACACCGAATGGGGCCACGGGTACAGCTGGTGGTCAGGACCGCATGATCTGGTACCCGTCCCTAACGAGCGGGTTTTCCTCGTCTCCAACGACATCGGCCTGCACGCTTTTGACATTCCGACGATGCAGTTCACTGCTGCCTACGAGGAGGTTATCGATAAATATATGCCTGGCTTCGAATGCACCACCAACGATCGCCATGGGATCAACCGCCAAGGCAAATACGAAGAGCTGCCCCAGTCGGACCTGAAAGGGTTCAGCCTGGCCCCCGATGGCAGCTTCTTATACGTGCAGTCTCTCTGGCAACTCTTCCGCGGCAACCACACGAGTCTTGTTGTGGATGGCGTGCGCCATGAGATCAGACAGGGGGACGAGATCTATCGGTCGCGTTTCTTTGCTGACATTGATGGCTGGCCCAAACCGAAGACGTAGACTATTCTGGAGTCGCGAGCCTTTCAACACTGGCTTGTACATTTACGACATACCTAATCCTGACGTATTCATAATCAGCATCCTGAACGCTAAACGGCACAGTGCTTATCCTGGCGAAGCAATGTGTCCCGCTTGGCGTGCGGCATCCTTTAGCCACCTACCTAACCTCGCATCAATTGAGGGGAGTTTTGGAAGGATTTTATAGAGTTGGCGTCCGGTTTTCCATTGTTACAACCACATTTATATATCCAATAAATCGCTGTATAAATTTTCATACTCTGTAACCTACTGTAAATGTGCTCGTCCCAAATCACGGTATGTCTATGGGGGCGCTTCCATAGGGCTAAACTAACCGTATCCCGTTTCGTTATCTCAAGGTGCCAAGCCCACATACGCAAGAGGCTTTGTGTCAGAGATTCATTGGCCGTAGATGTCGCGATTTTGCCCCTGTTTCAGCCCGGTTATCCCGGGCCCCCTGTCTCACTTGTAGTTCTCCTTAAATCACTCTCCGTATAGCCGCCCTATACGGCACGGAAATATCTGTAGATTATCCAGACGAGATTGACGCTTGCACCGTTACAGAAAATCTATCTCAAACCTCAAAGCATCCTATACCTATTACAGTTATTCTGTCATTGAAGTCCTTTCTTGGCACTACAGCTGTGGATAACAGTATAAGACTTGCTTCTGTAGACCAGTATCGTATCTGCAAACAAGCCAAACAGACCACTCTGCTTAGTACCCTCAGTCCCGCATATCCAGCGCTTAATGCTGTGGTTAAGGGGAGAGTATACATAGAAACCCGGCATACTCCGTACAATATGTTCATGTATGTTCAGTCTTAGCGCCACCAATAGCAGTCCACCACGTTTCGACATTCAACAGTCACCATCTTGCTTTGAGCCCAGATAGGTGCAATCTTGTGGTCACGATGTTCTCACCTAATATCCGCAGAGCTTGATAGAGTTACCTAGCATCTTATTTCTCCTGATATCCATCTGCGTCGCTTGAAGGACTCTGCCGTCCCATCCTACACACATGGACCCCTTCAGTATCTCCGTCGGCGCTATTGGGATCACAGAATTTGCTCTATCCAGCATTAGTAAACTTCGGGGAATCCTTGATGGCCTCGACGAAGCGAACGATGTGATGCAAGACGTGACCTTTGAGTTAGAAGCTATACGGCATCCACTCTCCATCCTCGAGGATCTCCAGATTTCTGATGAACCAACATATCTTGCAGCAAAACGGGATCTGGAGAGAACCGGCGTTGCTGAAGCAGTGAACAAATGCGGGCAGGCATGCGACAAGTTTTCAAAGAGGCTCGAGAAATGGACGAAGCATTCTAATACCACGGAGCTTTCCATCCGGGATCGACTGTCGGTCGGCTTATGGAACAGAGAGAAGATCCGGACGTTCAGGATGCAGGTCCATTCTTGTCAGTCGATTGTCCAGTTTGCTATCGACAGCGCCCAGTTGTACGTGATCTAATCAATGCTAGAAAACATGTGCTAATCCATCGAAGAATCATCCTAGTACGGTCCGAAAATGCGTCCAAAACTAAACGGCAAGAGACTGAGAAACAACTACGAGTCCTCGAGACTGCTATCCAGAAGCACATCGAGCTCACAAAAATACAACAAGACGAAGCTTTGCAGCGCAGGAAGGACCTTGGAAGCCTAGAGGACGAAGATGAGGAAGACGACGGCCAGCGAACTCTGGCCATTCGAGAGACCGAAGAGCAATCCCGTTTACTAGAAGCCGACCAATCTGCCTCTGGCATTGTTTCCCAAATACTCTCGACATTGTCTGTCCCACGTGGCAATACATATACCATCGATTTCTCAAATAGTCACAATCATGGGGGTCTACAGATCGGTCACAGCGCAGGTACGATCAATTGGAATGGCAGTCGCACCTAAGGGATAGCCATATAATGGATCTGTTATCCACCAGGGGTCATAAATGTGTATACAGTGCCATGAAGTATTGGACAGGACACGAAAGCCTCGATGTGAGTACATTATTTCACGCGTTGTTTCGCCCTCCTTTGGCCTCTCTTTTTCCACCTCCTTTCTGCCCATTTTCGTGTGCCTCGGGTTAATCATGTAGATTGTATAAACGTGACTGTATGAGAAGGGAGGGAAGTGGGACGTTGTGGGAATGGGTATTAATATTTAGAGGCATAAGCCATAAGTCCTTCGACACCTCAAACTGTATATGACCTAGATGATTAGCCCGAGGGTTGGCAATGCTAAATAGTACCATTGACCGCGATTGCAATTAATATTTTTTATTTTTCGAATGTTGATTTTTGTAAACGGATTAATAATTACTGGTCCCACGCTATAATTGAAGCCTGGAGAAAAGGAATTAAAAACCTAATTTCCAAACATCATAAAAGCGCGTATCGATGGACTTGGAATGAATCTCCACCATGGGGTTGGGCTAAGTTGAAGCACACCGCCTATTACAGTACATCTCGGAACTTGGGACACCAGGTTCGAGATGTACTGAATATATTATGGCGTTGCTTTCCAAACCCGAGCCCATCAGGGCAACATCTCGAGCGGCTGCCGAGTCCGGGGCTGTGATCATGTGACCAGCCAAAGTCAATGACTCATCCATCGCTACTTTCAAAATTTCTTGCTAGACAACAACAGAAATTCACACTACAGTAGCACATCAACAGCTAACGTTGATTGCTGGTGTTTTCGTCCTTAGCTATGGGCATACCAATTTCTTGGCTGTACTGTCATTGCGGGACGGCGGCTTAGCATTTAGCCGAACCTTATGCTCCTCTGACAGCTGGCGCTGGGTATGAAGAGCTACCACACTTGCTCGTTCCGTTTACACTATTGTATTTATACCGATAACGTGTCGTAAGTTAGCTGTAGTTATTGCAGCAATCCTACAACACTACAGCCCCTAGCCCTTTGGCAACGTTACGGGGTCTGGGCTTTCCAACATCCTCAGTGCATTTTCTCTGGGTCTTCTCTATTATCTTGGCGGAATGGAATTCGATAGCAGTGCAAAGATATATTCTGCGCTCCTGCTTCCGTCACCACTATGTTTGTGTCCTTCGCCCTTTTAAATCAACCGAATAAAACGACTTGTGGAATCGCCATCGTCGTTTTCACCCTCTATATTATCTCTACTGGCTACGCCATCATAAGGACGTTCCGAAGCCTCCTCAGATGTCCAACAGTGACAGCGACGATGCAGTATCAACTGCTGGTGAGGAAACGACCAATAGGTTGGGATGGCTGATGTCAGCCTCAGAGTTGGCCTCTCTTTGGAACGCGAATCCACAACAGGAGGGTGATGACAAAAGACTCTCAAGGCCACTTTATCGACATATTTCCTAACTCCTCTTTGGTCTGCTTGCAGTCTCTCTATATGGATATATTCTCGTACGTAGTGCAGGTGCTGTCTATTGTTCTTGTATTTTTGGCTGGAAAGCTCTAATGGCCCATGCCTTTCGGATGGCAGAGATTCAACCATACCGGGATACTTTGGTGAACTGGAATACTGAGAACCCCATTTTTCTAAGGCTCTGAACCCATTTGAGTCCTATATTAACTATGGAGGTCCACTATGGTACATCTGCATATCTCACTCATCTACACGAACAGTCTAGGACATTTAAGCTCTTAGTATAACCATGATGACAGAAAACGGAACCAACCCCGCCAGTGATACTTACACTGCCTACCCGTTGGGTAAAGCTCACAGAGAGACTTTGCAAAAATTAATAGGCATCGCCCGAAGAGCCAATGCTTTCGACTCGAATACCCAATTTGGTCATCTTCTTGGTCTCTATGATGCACCGTCCATCAAACAACCATTTGGGTGTTTGCATGTTTTCAGCAATCCTCTCCCAGTCAACCTGCTTCTTGGGAATATCTTCACTCAATTTGCGCGCTGGAATGTCGCATCCATTCTGCCGCTGACAATCCGGGCAATCAGCAGCGCAATCAGGTTGAGGAATCAACCTGTCCTCGATTGATGGCGGCAAAGCTGTATTCTTGCTCTCCTCTGGTTTGGCGAGCTTAGAGATCCTCGCTTCCTGTGTAATTGTGGGAATGTTCTGACCAGAAACTGCAGATTCGGATTTCTGGTCTGAAGAAGAAACAGGGTCGCTGTTTCGGAACTCATCAAACTCTGTGACAATGAGAATCGCATTTGATGAAGCGCAGGCCTCGTATGCATCAGAGTAGACCTTCACAGCGCCACCATCGTCTCTCAAGGGCGGGGGTCCAAATGATTGGAATTGGCGAATCTCGCTCTCAACCACATAAGGGTTGCAGCAAGGGTCAAAAATTGCAATTTCTCCGGGGTTCTCATCGAGTAATGTCTTGATAATTTCAAGGGCAGGAGCTTCTCGGGTGTCTGAGGTGTTCTTCTTAAAGGCATAGCCGAGCAAGGTGATCTTCTTGCCGACCAGAGTGTTGTTTAGGCACTTGATGACACGACTGGTGAACCGGTTGCGCTGGTACTCATTCATGGTCACCACTTGGCGCCAGTATGCTCCGACCTCCTTCAATCCCAAGGACTCGGCAAGATACACGAGACTGAGGACATCCTTCTTGAAGCAACTACCGCCAAATCCAATGCCTGCCCGAAGGAACTTATCACCGACTCGAGAGTCCATTCCAATCGAAGCAGAGACTTCATTGATCTCTGCACCTGTGGCTTCACAAATGGCCGAGATACTGTTGATACTGCTAAGCCGCTGAGCCAACATAGAGTTAGCCACGAGTTTGGCTAATTCCGACGACCATATGTTTGTGGTGATGATGCGGGATCGGTTCACCCATCTAGCATAAACTTGAGCCAAGGTCTCCGCGGCGACTTGTCCCTTTTCTGTTGTTGCAGAACCGATGATGACTCGGTCGGGGTGCAATAGATCTTGGATGGCAGTTCCTGCTGCGAGGAACTCCGGGTTTGACAGAATCTCAAAGTGCACACCAGGCCGACGAACAGAAATCTATAAACTCTGTCAGTGCCGACATATAGTTATAGAGAAGTGCAACATACCATCTCCTGAATCATTTGGGCTGTCCTGCAAGGGACTGTCGATTTCTCCACAATAATCGCACCGTTTCTGGCATGTTGCACGACGTCTGCAGCCACGGCCTCAAATGCTGTCATATCAGTTGCACTACCTGCACCTGATCCTCGCATCTTGGTGGGAGTGTTGACCGCAATTATGACAATGTCCGATTCGCGTATACACTTGGCAACGTTGGCGGAAAAGAACAAGTTTGGTTTCCTGTCCAATGATGCAACTGTGCTGTTTCGCTCGCCACTCTCTTGTTCTCCTTCAGTAGAAATCTGTGGCTCTGCGGTCGCTTCGTCAGAAGAGGCTGGAGTCGAGTCTCCACGAAGCCCATCTCGTGAAATGCGAACTATCTCGGCAAGACCAGGTTCATAGATGGGAAGATGTTGAGAGTTCCATCTCCGAATCCGACGTTCGTCCTTATCCACAATGGTGACCCGAAGATGTGGGTTCTTGTACGCGATAACAGCTGCAGTTGGTCCACCTTTTCGAGAGTTAGCATATCTATCCTGTCGGGAGGTATGGCAGCATCATTGCGAATAGATTTGGACGTACCGACATATCCTGCGCCAACACAGCAAATACTCCGAACGCGTGAGACACTGGTGATAGATTCTGGATCGCTGTCTTCCGTCACGGTGGTTCTGCTGCCGTTGGATTCTTCGTCAAGCTCATCTGTCCCACCATTCAGACTGTCATCAGGGGTTGTCGGCACAGTCGAGGCATCCACTGAGATGACCGTCTCAGAATAGCCAACTGAGCCCGGAACTAAAGCCATCGCGTGCAGGATTGAGGACTCCTGACGGCTTGGAGGGACGCTGGAGGTGAAAGATCAAGTAGGGGTGAAGCGTCTCAATAAGAGAGACATACGTGTAAGTTCACTCAAGAACCCGGGGAATTAAGCAGGAAATATGGTGGCTTATTGCTAATTTTGGTTCCTTCAATTGCCAAGGTAACATTCATGAGATCCAAATTAATGAATCGGAGGGACGGAGAGGAGCATCCTCCCGTATACCTCACTAGATACCCCAGGGACGGTTCCACGCATCGATCCATTACTCCGTACAGCATTGAGATATATCCGTGTTCTAATTATACGACCATTTGAAATACCGCGGTATTGCATAATTTGGGGTTTTGGGACCGCGATGAAGATCGTGAATGCATGCGATTGGAAGCACCCCCTTACTCGTTGTCTTGGGATCGGCGTGGATTCGTGCATGTTTTCATACCGAGTCGGATAGCAGAAGTATACGTAGTCTCTATGCTGCTGACGTTGCACCTGCACTCAAATTCATGATCCTTACTCTCTGGTTGGAACGGCCATGACATCATATCTTGCTTCCTTCCCATCATCCTCGGGTAAATATCACCATAATGGGTCCGATTAAGCCAGTTCCAATAAACGAAATGACAAGTGGACTAAGTAGACTATAAAGAGATAAGGAAGCGTGAAATTGTATTTCGAGGTATTGAGCTGGGACTAATGAGTTTGGCGGCCCAGCTCGCGGACGAATCCCGGGGCTTCCGTCGAACATGTGCTGAAAGAACTCCGATAATATCCATCGCAGCCACTTTCAAGGGAAATTAAAGGAATCCGAGAAAAGGGGTCTATTGAAATCCAAGCTGCATGTATTCAGTAGGATCGTTACTCCATGCTTAGGTATGATACTCTACTTGTACAACCTCTTGACTGGGATCGCAGGATCGTCGGATCCCCCGGTTTCTCAGCCTTAAAGGTCGGTGGGTCTTTCGTCTTCTCGTTGATCCTCGAGGCTAACCAGACGTGGCTTTGGTCGACTCTCAAATTCAATATACGGTCTTGCACTGTGTCCACAGCCGTTGGCCTTTTTTTACGGCCGCTTCGCCATTGGGTTTTATTCTCATTCCGGGATCTATACGCAAATTGTCGGATAGGGATGCCAACGGTCTAACTGCCATCCAATTCTCGGCCATCAACCCCACACGGGTCAGAGTATAACACGTGCGCTCGGGAATGGTGTTCGTATGTTCTTAGGGTCCACCCCTCAGACACTGGAGAGAAATGATCGTCGCGATCACTCCGCCATACAGAATAATGTCTCTCCTTATTTACAGGGAGTATGCGTTTAGACCCGCCATTGTACGCCCGGTGTTACACGAATATGCCTCCTTTCTTGGGCTCTGTGGCTGAGTTAAAAGGGAAATACTTAGAATTTTGAGCGTGACCCCAGCATACTTTGGGTGAAATAGTATCGTATTAATGTACAATTTCCATCGTTATAACCCTGGTCCTCTGTAAATAACTCCTATGACGTGGTGGCTCTTCATTTCTTGGAATCGAGCTCTACCTTGCTATATGATGCACAACCAGCCAGCACAAGGAGAATACCTGAGCCATTCAAAAGATCGACTGTGAAGTCCTTGGAAACAAAGATTCCCATGGCTAGAGTGAGTGCCTGCTTGAGGTTTCCGCAAACTGAAATTGTGAGAGCACCTGCAAGCTTGTTTGTCTGGAAAGAAGACACGTTCAGCAAAAAGCCAATAGGCCATTTCCGAGAAAGAATGCAATAATGCCTGCAGTAGCAAGTTTCGAGGACTCTGTCGCGAGCTGCGACATAGCATCTGCAGAGGCTGGAATCTCTCCTGCGATGATTGCTAGTATTAAAGGTTATATCGCAGCAAGAGGGGACATTCGAGAACAGTAGCTCCATGGACGGGAGAGCTAGAGATCCGGTGATAAGCCGGTTGGTGGTCACGGTCTATCAAACAAATCAGTCATCGTCTCCTAACCAGCATGTGCAAAAGTGTTGAGATCATGTGACCAACCAGGTCACATGACCCTGGATGATCCTGAGAGTAGTTAGTCTTAGAGGGGTCGGAGCTTCTCTCCTTCCCCGTCCGTCTCTCAACCAATAAATCCATCATTTATTGCTTGTTTCTTTCCCTTGTCAAGACGTTATGACCCCTCTGCTCTGTTTTTGAGGCTATTCACAACACGCCAAGCTTCGCGCACCCAATCCAGGGCCGCCAAGTAAGCCGTGCCGCTGACGGTGGGTCTGATCAATTTACCAGAAGCCGTGAATCTGCCCCACCCCTAAGCCCTGCACCTCTGAACTAACGAACCTTACCCAATACGGAAACAAAGAAACAAAGAGAGAATCATCAGATATTATGTCCGATGCCGCCGCCATGGACCGCGGTAGAAATGAAAGAAATGCCCCGGGTGACGACTCGAGGTATCCTGATTACGTGTTGGAGACAACTCCAACATTGATGATGAGCCGATAGGTGTAGCCGCAGGCGCCGCCCGTCATCAAGGCAGCCGTCTACCGAAAATGACAAAATATGAGCTGCCATCGATTGATAAGCTCACCGGCGAGGAAACAGACTCGTCGGATTAGGTGATGCTGGTAGAGAACTCTCTCCAGCCCATGATGCTCGGAGATCTCATTGACGCTCAGATGCCGAGACCAGAGGAGGAAAATCCACTCTATCGGAGATGGAACTTCTAGTCATCATCTATAGCCGCATAGCTGTATCTCCTGGTTGGCAAGGATGTTAGAACCAGACTGAGTGGCTTGGCCAACCGCCCAAAGTATGCCGACCAGCTCTTCGAGGAGCTAGTCAGCTATGCTAAAGGTGGTGACCGCTCAGATAACGTCCTAATTGATGCTTTCAAATTACACGACATGAAGAGAGATCACTATGGCTCTGCCGAGGAGTATATCAGTGACTACCAGAGACAAATGAACATACATATAACGACGATCCAAATTGCACCACCAGCATTTATCTCGATCGCTATCATGATCCGAGAGCTCCAGGATGAGCGATGAAAACAGCGAATTACGGGCTGCCAATGGAGAACTACTCAGAAGGAGCAACGTACAAGGAAACGAATAGCCCACGAAGGTGGCATGACTGTTTTGGAGGCTTTATCGATGGTTTCAGGACAAGAAATAGCTGATGAAGTAGGATCAGCTAGAGAAGGAGGGTCTTCGCCAACACCTATTCGGCCTCCTCAGAGAGCAAGGCAGCGGTGTAGCCTTTGTAAAATTGTAGGACATAAGAGAAATAGGTGCCCAGAGAGGTGTGAATAGCTTCATTTTCAATTATAAGACGTTGTGGTGCTGAAATATACAATTTAACGCTAGTAATAATTGGTGGGTGGCCAGCTCGCTTACCTGACCAGCTCGCATGCCGAACACATATGTTATTCGCAGTTTTTCCAACTAACTGCCTTGACCGCCACCACGAGACAAACACTCACGGCACAAAATCGTTCTAAATCTGCCTTTCTCCACCCCAGAATTCATCCGCGACAAATTCTGAGCAAGTACATGACTGAGGCCTAGATTGCTGATGACGCAAAATACAGCCCGTATTCCGTCACCACTAGGACTGTAGGCGGGGCAGGGCGGTAATACCCTGATATTGACTGGCTGTAGGCGGGCGCGTAGACATTTTCCTTGGATAGCGCAGTAGATCTAGACCCGACACCAGGCTGAGATGGGCCACCGATAATAGGGCCCGACATCCATTCTTCTGCCCGAGAATTCGACATCCTGTCGTATATTGACAATGACTTCTATATCGTTTGGTGGCGAAAATTCGGGGATCCAAGTAGGGATCAACCACGGGCCGATATACCCTCCAGCGAGTGGGTCCTAACAGCCAAGAAATCATGCCTAGCTCGGACTAATAAATGATGGCTTCCACTCCTAGACCAACCAGAACCCCGCCTAAAGCCTGTGTCAACCGTGCCGTTCCCGCATGATCCAGACTTTGCCAGCCGCGATTCGATCCCGGGGTCCAGAATAGTTCTCGTCGGTCTAGGGGGCGTTGGGTTAGGTCAATCCAGCCCTTGGCTCCCGTTGGCTGACTTTGTAACAAAAATCTCGACTTGCCATCGAATACTGCCGCTAAGTCCGACAGCAAGCGTCCGACACCTGGGTTTTCTGGGTTCATGCGAGTAATGCGGCCCACCAAGCAGAAGCAGTGGAAAAAATAGAGAATCACTTGAGGAGTGGCAGGGTGTTAGTAAATGCACGGACCGAGGTAGTGAGCGTGAAACCAATCACGTTTAATAAACACTGTTCCTCTCTTACTAGCAGAGAGGCTGAAAATGAAGCTATTCTTAGCATACAGAAACTCCAGCCTCTTCCGCTGGATTTGAGATGGGATTATCTTAGACGGAGAGATAGGCTTTGCTAGGATTCTAGTGACACGATTTATAGATGAATATGTTTTCAAAGACAGTAGGAAGAGTTTCTCAACGAGCACATCCGGCCTATTTGAAACTCGGCCCCCTAATGGCCCCATCTCACGCTAGCCATAGAGGTAGAGCCTAGCGGTCAGGCGGTGAAAAGAAATGATCCCACCCTGTTCAGGGGGATGCACCAGAACATATATTTGCATCCAAGTTTTTCTGAAGCCACTCACTCTCTCTCTCGTACGTGCTTGTCACGTCTGGGAGTTGCAATGAGTTCTTCCAGCCCTCCTACGCTGACCACAACCTTTACACCACCACCAGCATGTACTACCGATACGTGGATGATTGAGAATCTGTCAGGTACCGATTACTACACGACAACTGTAACGACGGGCCTCACTGGCTGGTGGCTCAACCTTGGCCCGACGGACTGGAGTACTTGCTTCCCTTCAGGCTATGCGCAGGCGACTGATTTTTACTACTCTCCTGGTATTTGTCCATCAGGCTATTGGACAGCCTTCCAGTCGGCCTATACTTCTAGTGGTGAGGCTGCTGAAACCCGTGCCACCTGCTGTCCAATGTGAGTGCAAGCATCCTTGATAGTTTTTATCATAGATTATGGACTTGTATTAACTTTATATTCTCCGTTTAGTAACTACAGCGTCCAGACTCGAAGCGATCTGCTTTGGTTTACCACGAACCAATGTACCTCTCGACACACCGAGCTGAGCGTTTGGACCTACACTCAAGGAGGAGTAGTTTCTAGCTTGACGACCACGGCAGACGGTATCAACGCCAAAGGGGTCTCTATTCGCTGGCGTGCCTCGGACCTTGTTACCGCCACTGCGACGAGCGTATCGCAAACCACAACTAGCACAGGAATCCGTGGTCCCACAGCAACACCAACATCAACAGCCCAGGAAACAAATTCATCTAACAGCGGGCTTTCGACAGGAGCCAAAGCAGGCATCGGTGTCGGTGTATCTTCAGGCGCCCTTCTCATATTTGCGGTGATAGTTCTGATATGGATGTTACGGCGGAAAGGCAAGAAAGAGGACCCTTCTCCCGACGCAACAGAGCCTACACACTACAACAGATATATGCCGCCCATAGAACTTGAAGATAACGAAGCACCATACGGATACACGGAAGCCAAGTACAGGGACTTAAGTAGGTCAAGGCCACTTCCTGAGCTCGACTCAGCCCCAGAACGCATTGCTACGGAGCTGCCCGCGCGATAATGTACATAGTTGCTAGATTTTAACGGGACTTATAATATGTAGATCCCATGCGAGCTCAAGCCGCTCGCACTTGCGCCTTTGAGTGCAATTAATGAGATTATTCATATTGCTTTTTTATCTTTATGATTTTCACTTTATCAAAACTCTTACACTACGTCTGTGAATTTCTAAATTCTCCGTTAATACTTACGTTTACATCCGATTCTAGCCTACAACCAAATCCTGGAGTGGGCGGGTGCCTATTAAGGCGGCACACCTACATTCAGCTACCGAATTGGTGTGGCAGATCGACTTGCGTCCATGACCAATCGGGGGAAAAGAAAAGAGAGCTAGAGCAAGTGCAACGCAAAGCGCTCGATTTAAAGAACATGAGGAAACAAAAAAACGTCAACGAGAAGTTGACTGGTTACATCTTTTACCGACTTTACTATCGACAATGCCTAAAGCATAGATATCGGCGATGACTTGGACGAAAGTATCGAAAGCTTCGTGAAACATAAGTTATCAGAGCCTTCAAATCCTATCGAAATCCCCAAATACAGCTTGAAGTCAAGAACCACAATCAAACAGAGTCTTCGCCTCCGTCCATGCCGGTGATATATCTCCCTAGGAATCTAGAATGCAACTTGTTCAGTTCCGGGCAACAGCGGGGTAGGTTGCGGATGACTGTTTGAAGCAGGACAATAATAAACTACGCAGCGATCATCAATCGTTCGAGATCTATGTGACTTATCGGGACTGTCAACAAGACGTGTAGACCCACTGCTGGAATAACGTGATCCATGGCGCCGCGCGGGCGGCACGGTGGCGCGAGCGACCCGCTGCGAGGAAAGTCTCCGCAACCTTGCCGACGGTGCTAAGATTCCCGGGCGCCAGGGGCGCCAGGACCGCAACGCTAATATATTCTATATCGTCGGGAACTGGTAGCAAGATGGAAATATCGAAAGATGGATTCTTGTCCTTGATAATGTCGATGATGATGAGCTCCTTCGCAAAACGTTAGCTACTCGGATGGAGGCCTAAGCAAACGCCTAGAAGCAAAGCCCCACGCAGCCACCGCTAAGGTACCTTACTCAAAGCTCGAATGGCTCTATCATTATCACGAGCCGGAATAAAGCAGTAGCATTAGAAATTGCCGGCCATAAGAAAAATCTGATCAATGTGCAACCAATGAATATGGCCGAGGCGTTAGTTCTAATAGAGGCTAGATCCATGTGAGGGAGGACTTGGTTCAGTTAGTGGAGGAACTTGAGTTCATGCCACTCGCGATTGTGTAAGCGGCTAGCTACATTATTCGACGGATCAAGCAGTCTGCCGCTGACTTGCTTTCTCTTATGAGCTTTCTCGACTGACAGGGCATCCCAGAGCATCTACTGTGGGTTCAAGGTGTCCAAAAAGATCACGCAAATATACGTTCTTCGGGGGAAACTGTGGACAGCTCTGGTGAAGAGGATACAGATAGTTCGTCTGAATGCGACCTAGATAACGATTTTGAGAGCGATATTGCGACCCTCAGAGACTATACGTTCATCGCTACTAGTGAAAATAGCATGGTGTTCACGATGTATCGACTAGTGCAACTTAAGGTACGCACATGGTTGAAAACATATGGTCTAGAGGATGAGTGGAAAGAAAGATTTATTAACAATCTACGTGCTGACTTCCCAACCGGTGAATATGAAAATTGGGAGAGATGCCGATCACTCTTCCCGCATGTTAGATTAGCGGTGTCACATCGACCGAAATCACAAGGCTCTCTACGGAGCTAGGCTGCGATACTTACAGGGGGGCATGGTTACGCGCGAGAATGTGGCAATATCTCGGATCCACGGGAAATGGCATATATGTCGAGAAAGGAGAGAATGGAGATTGGCGGCGCGGAAGATGGAGAAGCCCTTGATAGCACCGCGATGTTAGCATACGTATACTCACTCGAAGGCCGATGGAAGGAGGCGGAGAAGCTCGAAGTGCAGGTCATGGAAACGAGAAGGATGAAGCTCGGCGCGGACCATCATGACACGCTGGCGAGCATGGCCAACCTTGCATCGATGTTCTGGAAGAAAGGCCGATGGGAGGAGGCGGAGCAGCTCTAGGTGCAGGTTATAGACACGATTAAGACGAAGCTCGGCGCTGACCATCCTGACACGCTGACAATCATGGCCAACCTTGGATCGACGTTTTTGAATCAGGGACGATGGGAAGAGGCGGAGAAGCTCCAAGTGCAGGTCATAGAAAGGAGAAGGATGAAGCTCGGCGCGGACCATCCTAAGACGCTGGCGACAATGGCCAACCTCGCATCGACGATCTAGAGTCAAGGCCGATAGGAGGAGGCGGAGAAGCTCAAAGTCCAGGTCATGGAGACGAGCAAGACGAAGCTCGGCACGGAACATCCTAGCACACTGGCGAGCATGGCCAACCTTGCTTTTACCTAGGAATCTACAGGTCGTCATGCGAAAGCAATTGATTTGCTTTGAACCTGCGTGGTCAAGCAGCAACGAATTTTGGGCCCCACTCATCCTCACACTGTCTCCAATAACAACACGCTGCTAGACTGGGAAAATGTGGAGCCATGATTCATTCATTCTTACTCTGTTTATCTCATGTTCGCCTAGCCATATTTGTTGTCGAATTTTGGTTATGATTCACAATCTACCTAACAAGTTTCCATTCGACAATCCATTGTTCCTATACGTGTGAAGTACACTTGCTGTATTAACGTTATTTTGGCCCGAAACGAACGAAGTGAGAGGAAGGGAATAGTCAACACGGATGTGCGTGTGCGCAAGACGTTGCAAAAAGAGGTGGCTTGACTACGTATGGGCTGTTTTGCCACGCACGTCGCTCATTCGCTCTTCCTGCCTCCTGGTACCTGCATTATTGTCGCTTTAATTGGATTAGATCGTCCTGGCTTAGGGTTGTAGGGTTTTGTCTGCATATTTCTGCTCGTTAAGTTGCTATGATTGCTTTGTCATCTGCTTATTGTCCTTCGTTTTATTGCAACGTGGTGCTGTCTATTACCGCCACGATTCCCAGTCAGTATGTTATCTCCTGTGTTTGCCCCTCTTGTCACTTTGTGCCCTTGTTTTGAAATGTTGTCTAACCGGCCTTGCTCTGGCTGTGGCCGCCAAGTTCGTCTATCTACCTCCGTTCAACCACCAAGATGCCCTGCTGATCGATTTTCTTTTTTGTCTCCTGTGCTCGAAACACGTCCCTGCTTGCGCTGCTATGTTCCGATTCTTACAAGCTCGTCGGATGTTCGCTACGCGCGTTGTGAAGCTGTATTGTCTTTAAATCCGTCTTATTCTCCTTGTTATGATTGTCGGATTCCGTTTCCCGCTCGGCCTAGTGTTATGCGCTGTCTCGATTGTAGGTGTAGAAGGACGAGCATTATGCAGCGACCTAGCAATTTTCGCCACTCTCATAGAACTTCTTTCGATCTAAGTGTGAACTCGTTTAAGATACTAAATACGCCCTCAAATCACCGGTAGCGAAAGCGTCGGATACCTCTCCCTTAGACTCTACTACCTCCGACTCCTACTCTAGATATAATAGAGTCTAAAGATACGTCTTTCGTTATCAACCGAGCAGTAAGCTTCCTACTCAAGGAACATGACTCTCGCGTATTTGCCTCGAGCCTATCCCACCCACCCAACCCCCCCCACGGCAAGCTTATTCTGAATACTGACATACATCAAGTTCTAGATGGGATTCTTTACTAACGCCATCACAAGGTTTTCTAGACCGTTATGGCTATAATAGTGGCTTTTGGAACCTATGCTGAGGATGTATACCGCACTACTACGCGGTTCTGCTCTAAAGTTCTCCGCCGAGAATAAGGTTAATATCACCCTGTGTTAGCACTACCCTAACGCCCTTAAAGACCTCACTCTCACTAAAGAGTGTCTTATTGCTAAATCTCACCCCGTTGGTGTGACCGTGAAGTTACGGCCTAGGGGCCGAATGTCGCCAACAAACTACCATACGCTACGTGGCTATTTTATAATCATACCATAAGATCCAAAACCTCTCCTTCAAATATTACCTAGTCCTGATCTACAGTTCACTAAGCTTATAAAAGTCTTTTAGCTCGGGAATCGTGAGCCAACCGATGAAGATCTTCGCCCTGTCCTAGTTATACGCAAATGCAAGGTCCTCGCCGCTCTACAATACCTTATATAACACAATCCTATCCACAGAGACGTCACTGTTGCACATTCCACCATTTCTAACTAGCCTAACGAATTCATACCATCTGATTTACAGTAGCAAGTAATAAGCTTAGATGAAACGGACCACAACGAGCGAGTCGGCTATAGCGTCAATTTACAAGAAAGCAATTTTAAGAATAACTAGTAAGCCGCAGAGGACGGCTTAGACTATTTAACCGAAAAATCCCTTCTAGCTACTACTTCTGTTACCGTTAATATTAACGGAGAGCGTCAGAACCCTAACCTACGCCTACTTAACACAATGTACACTTTAACTGACAATTCATCCCTAGTTATGCAGCCGCAATTTACTCCCGCTACTCATATGGGCTAGACTACCACGTCGTATGATACCTTTCAACGTCCTCCTATGATTAAATATGGTGTTCGAGGGCAGGCGTGCTGCTTAACTAATGGTAGGACCCTTATTATTTTACATCTACTTTCCCTACACTCTTTCCCATAGGCACAGGGGGTCATCTAGAGGACCGAGTTGTTCCTATATCGCTCGCTGCTTTCGCGAACTAGGCACTACGCCATCATGGCCGAAGGTCTGTCTATCTACCTAGTCGCGTAGCTTTCTAGCTAATTGATCTAGATTTTGCCTATATAGGACTTTCACGTATATACTATATGATGTTATCTAGCTACGCAATTCGTGTCTTAGTAACTCATTGCTTATTAAACGGTCCCAGTGGTCGTCTATAACCCGGGATCTTAACTCATTAAGTAGTGATCGCCTACGGAAGGCCGCCGAAGAACTCGCTGCAAACCGAAAATCAATAGATTCGCTTATCTAACGACTACTCAAAAATAGTACTTCTATCGGGGTTTATGTACCTAGGTCCTTCTTCTAAAAACTATAGATACGCGCCGAGCTTCAAGGTCTACTAGTACCCGAAGGAATGCCTACTTTCTAGCTGACAATCAACCCGTCTGATCTTCAAAATCTCCTGGTTCTTGTTCTAGCTAGGCTGTAGTGCTCGACTGACGCTTTAGCTAATATATCTTCGTCTATTAGGTATGTGACGGCGACGTCTGACCCTATGGCTATCGCGAGATTCTTCTATTACATATGCAAGGCAGTCCTTAACGATCTTTTAGGTAGCTAACATGATGATATAGGAATCCTTAGAGATATATCTAATCTTTTCGGTGTTATAGAGAACAATAACCGAGGAATGCTGCATCTTCACACTTTGGTTTAGATACGGGGAAATCTTGGTTTTAGCTAGCTACGAGACCGTATCCTTATAGATAGTCATTTCGTAGATCGGATAATCAAATTCTTAGAGTCAGTTGTTACGGACCTACCAGGCACCAATCGATTATGGGGCCGCAACTTACTGATTGGCCACCGAGAGCCAACCGATCTATCTGTCATCGGATCACGTGCAGTACCTTATACTCTGGGCAACCCAGGTATTCAAGGAAAAGAGAAACGTGATCATGCTCAGTGAATGCTCAGTGAGCAAGAGCATGATCTACACTGAGCGGACCCACCCGGCAGACTTTATCCTGTACATATGTGACTGTACATGATGGACAAATGCTACACGCCAAGAAACCACTTTCGGCCTCTCGCTCACCATCTCATTGTATACCGCAATGACCAATGAGACGGCAAACACGTGACCATGCAAGTAGTAGAAAGGTCGACAGTCGACAAGTAGAACAGTTCTACTGTTCTACTTTGTTCTACTTTCTACTATTCTACCATGGAAGGACTCAGGATAGATAAGGACACTCATTCATGAATCTAGTTTAGTTCTTCATGTTCAATCATCCATTGTTACTTGTGTCTACTGTTCAGAACCTTTGATGACTCGTACAACTTGATTATAACTTGACAACACTACGAATAGACCTATACTCCTGTATTGGTTAGTTCGGCGCTCTACCTGGCATCGCTCCTCGATAATCTCAAAAGGACTTAGTCCGTATAAGGCCTGTTAGGCAACGGTACCGTTGAGAGACAGATCGTTGACATTGGAAGCAAGGAAGCATTCAGGCAAGTATAACCCAGGAACCTTCTAACATAGCGACGACCCGTTAGTCGTGTGTAGCATCAGTCATCATGAATAGCATACATAGACTAGATATCATCCTTAGAGAAACTATCTTAAGCACGCCGCCTTTACCGACCGCCTAAGAGTTAGACAGCGAATTCGTCTATAAACTTTCCCTTAACAGCGACGCTATTGCTTAGACTGTTGCAAGACATGAGCTTTATTTCCACGATGGAGCAAATGCAACAGACAGGATACCTGCAGGAGACCCGGAGAGGCAGCAAGGATCATCCCAACTCGGGTCCGAGGACAACAGACAGAATTTCATATTGGCATCGACTACAGGTCTGAGCTGTTCCAGACACGCGTGGGCTCAGATCATGTCATTGAGCACGTTGCTTTTGATCACCCTACCCCTGACAAGACTGGTCTTTCGACATTCGTCACCAACAACACAATCGAGTCGCCTCATTTCAATCCATATCATATAACTCTGCCGGAAAATGTAGTGTTTTCCGTCTCGCGGCTTCTCGAAGGAATTTCTCATGTTCTCGAGGGCAGGCCACAAGACCTCATTTCCAGCATACGTTTCGGAACAAACTTCGTGACAAAAAGTGTGTATGGCATGTTCCATTGCATTGGTGAAAAGACGTATCTCGATGATCTGTGGTATCGGCTGTGGTTCCAGCAATATGGGCAGCCGCTGTTTGAAGCCGCGGTCCGATCAGTCAAAGAGGGGAAGAAGATTTCCGACACACCAATTGATGGACGAAAGTGGGAGGTCGCCCATGGATATCCGAAGACTCCTGAGATGGACTTGCAGGCTGGTGGTGTATAGGCCGATTTCGATGGTGAATGGCTAAGCTGGGAAGAGCTGTGTCAGCCCTTTGAGGGGGATCTTTTTGGTGACAGAAAATGACTTTAATTTCTTGCCTGGGGCTGTATTTTTATGTTGTTATTATGAAGGTCTATTTCCGGAAATAGCCATACACTCTCGAGTCACCTTTTAGGGACTAATTTTCCTATTGCAATCTATCCACCTTGGTAGACTTAAAGCAGCTTGAGATTCGTAGGATTTGGTATGAGACGGTCCGTATTCAATTGCTAAATCTCTCCAACAAAGGTATTTACATATGGTCTTATATGAGAATGGTCGTGAACAACACCAGAATATAAACTACAATGCTCAATGCTCAAACAATCCGCCAACTCCTAGTAATCAAAATTTCAATCTTCGGGGTCCCGTTTCTGTGGTTTCTTCATTGATTTCCATTGAACAAGCCCAGCGCCGACGAAGGATAGTAATGCAGCAATTACAGACACGTAGAATGTCTGGGTGACAGCAATATTGTAAGCATAGAGCACAGATGGAAGAACCTCTTTGGATAGACGTTGCGACAGGTTGGCTGCGCCGCCTTCTATCAACGAACTTGGGTTGACTTTCGGGGCATATGTGGAAATGCTTGCCACAAGACGATTTTCGAACACAGTCTGAGCAACTGAGATGAATATCGCACCACTCAGACTCTGTGCAAAAGTAATGATGGCAATTCCAGTTGGTATATCATCCAAGGACAATACAGTCTGGAGAGCATTGATGCACTGTTGGAAACCGAGTCCTGCGCCGACTCCAATGATCACTTGATAGCCAATCCATTTCGCATGTCCGGTATGAATCTCAAAGGTCGTGCATAGGCCAGAGCCAATTGTGAGAAATACGCTTCCCACAAACATTAGGGGCGTATAGTACCCAATAATGTTTACCAGGAGACCTCCTAAAGCGGAACAAACAATCATCGCCATGACCATCGGAAGATTGTTCATTCCAGACTCGGATGCGGAATCTTCCTTGATTGCTTGGAACCAAATGGGGAGCTAGAGCAATATTAGCGGAGAAAGTAGAAGAAAGTTCTCAGGACTCACATAGTATCCAAACACAAAAAAGGATCCCCCAAGGAAGGTGGCGTGTATCACTGCACCAAGCACATCGCGATTCTTGAGTAGACGCGGCGGTACCGTAGCTTCATCCTGTTTCCAAATCTGGATGTAGCACCACAAGGAACCGAAGACGCCAAATAGGGCAAAGAGCGCAATTATCCGTGCATTATCCCAATCATATTTGGTCCCAGCCCATTGCAAGCCCAGTAGTATTGAGACTATTGCGGGTATGAAGGCAAGGATACCAAGTGGGTCCATTCTTTTCAGTTGCCCAAGTGTGTCGAGCTTGGGCTTTATCTTCATCGAATCTTTGAAGCAAAAGATTATCACAAGCCCAGTGAGGGCACCGAAAGGTATGTTTATCCAGAAGCACCATCTCCAACTGACATGGTCAGTCAATACTCCACCTAGCCTGTCGCAAAGTTAGCTGTCGCTCTGAGAATATCTTCTCAGGATAATCTCTTACAGAGGCCCTGTAATGGTTGCGATTCCACTGGTGCTGCCGATGATGCCATAATAAAGTGCACGACGGTGAAGGGGCACGCTGTTCGCAAGTACCAGCAAAGCACCCGGGGACAGGCCGCCTGACCCAACACCAGCGATTGCCCTCCCTATAATTAAGCCTTTCGAAGTTGGAGTCACTGCGCATATCAAGGATCCAATCTCGAACAAGGCCAGGGCGATCATATATGTCCATTTGGTGGAATAATAGGTGTAGATCTTGCCAAACGGGAGGGTGACAGCACATGTCGTCACGAGGTAAGCGCTAGCATACCAGGATATGTCGCTTATTGAGTTGAATTGCTCGGTAATTTTGGGGACAGCGGTTGAGAGGATTGTATTGTCCTAGATGGGAAAAATCGATGTTAGAGAGGATAAGAGCCATAACTGCTGGACAAACGAAATGTCCCGTGCCAAGTCTTACCAGGGCAATGCAGAAAGACTGGAAACACAGTCCTATTAGGATTGGAGCAAGTTTCGATGTCGGTGGATACTCCTGTTTCTCGTCGTCGATGCTGTGGTCACTCCCTGACTCGTTCAACGGGATGTCATCTCGGTCCGAACAGACTTCATCCCGACAGTCTCTGAAGGTTAAACTGTCTGCCATGAAACGAAATTTTGTTTCCCCCAGTTCTTGTCCAAACTGTGGGAGCTCATGAAAATTTGCTTGTTGTGAAGCATTCGATCCGAAATGCAGTTTGCAGGGTGTCCGTTGCTGCAAAGTAAAATCTGCGGCTCATTAATCGGACGACATATATAGGCTTTCTGTAGGCCAGCTAACTGCATGTCTACTGCTGGCTGTAACCCATCAAATTATGCAAGGGATACAGCTTTATTTGTGCTTGGGATCTTTTTTTCCCGGCATTCTTTCCAGGCTACTCGGTATGCTGTAGATTCTATCACGAAATGCCCCAACACTCAGGGTATGTCTCTTCGTTTAAGCTTGCATGTAGAAGTTGCACAACTCCATAGGTCAGTTTACTTTAAATTGTCAGTCAGCTTAAAGCGCAGACAACTCAACTTTGTTCAATGTCATGCCGATCACATCGAACTTTATCAACATCAAACCCCTGCATTCCAGAGGCACTGCAACCTCGCATGAGACTGGGTATATGCTATACTCCCCATTTATGGTGGATTGAAAGGTTATTAAATTTGTTAGAACCGGTACTATCATTGAAGGCGCTTCGTCATTAAGATTGGATACACCTATGTCATCAAGCTCCAAAGCAATCAGAAGCATACAGGTCACGATCCGCACTAATTGTTCTTAAGCTATACAGTGATTGTTTTATTTACGCCGCAGACATCCGGAATAAGTCATATCAACACGTTGGCTTGGTCGCAATGCGACCTTGGGGACTCATGATCTGAGCCGATGTGCTACCCCAAGATAGTCAACAATATAATTACAATCTAACATTACTCTCAGGATACGCTGAGAGCAAGCTTATCTGTAAATTCTTTCTGCAGTCAGTCCATGTTATTATTATAATGACCTTAATTGATGTTTTACGCATGAGCAAAAGCGCAGTGATGCAGGGACCCGCTCACGCTATGTGTGCCCAGGTTATGTACTACCAAGATTCCAGCCGCCCGGAAGGGGTTCCGGCCAGGTCACACTTCGCTTGTAGGAAAGCTTCATATGAATCAAGTGATGGATGACATTCGAAGGGGTGGAAGCCAGGAAGTTGTTAGTCGGAGAATAGTGTAGATAGAATACAACAATTAATAAGGCCATCTAACAACCCCAATACGGGACGCTTAAGGTTCATATACGTTAGCAGCAGGAAGTTTCTGCACGAATCTAGTAGATGAGCTTTAACCCGCTAGCAAACATGATCATATTGACCACGCTTCGAAGCATATGTGGTCTCACTGAGGGTACTAAAGTTTGGAATGCTAAGGAATTCACCTTGAGTGCTGATGGCAGCATATTGAACTCGGCAAATACATCTGACTACCGTGGGACTCGGCAATAGCAAGTATTTTCCGATACCTAGGCTTTTCCTCAAGGGATGAAGGGGGCGCAAGAACAGATCCTTGGGACCGGCAAATCACTGGGGGATCCTCCTTAATGAACAATTGACGACGTAAGTGAGAAATATCCCGAGGAATGTACATGAGATCATTTCCAGGTGATCTTGGCAGATCTGGAAGGTTTTATCGTGCATGTAGACCCGCGGTTGTAAGGGTCATGGGAACGAAATCAAAACTTGTATAGGGAAAAATCAAGGAAATACAATAGAACACAACGAGCTTAAAATAAAGAGAAAAGGAGCACTAACCAGAAACTGCTCTGGATCTAGTAAAGAGCGATCTGCCTGCATTATTATTAGGGCATCACTAAAAGGACCCCCATTCTAGTCGTTTGGACCCTACTACGCTCACTAAGCCTAATTAGGCTAGCGACAGTAATTGTATTTCCAATGCATTAATCGGTAAAAATGCGCCAATTTCTTGGCAATGCTAATGCCCCGAGAATCGGCGGTCATGGATCCGAGGTACTTCTATATACTATGCAGCCCCCTAGTAAAATTAAGTCACCTTCGATGTAGAAGGAAATGATCTCTTTGAGGCTCGAGAAAGGACAAGAGAATGTTTGGGTGGATCTAGATAAGACTATTTGGTGCTCTTCGAGAAGATATAAACAATAAAAACAGTGAAAGTAAAGCGAGGAGGTGCAACCATATGCTTGCTACTCATATAACTAAAGGGTTATCACATAAGAAGGATAAAAATTATGTCCACTTTGCTCTAATGGCATTCTTATTTACCAAATCGACGTTGTAAACGCCCAAAGAAGCTCTAACCTGTAAGAACCAATCTTGATCCGGGACTGGCTACCATTCTCTGAAGGAAACCAATTAGCAGTCGACATCAAGATCTCCGGATTGAGTGCAGAGAGGTCAAAGTCATGGTCTGCAAACCATCCGGATGTTTGGGTATTCGAGTTGCCAAAAATCTAAGACTCATCCTGACCAGAATCATGCAAACATGCATCTAGCCTGACTGCATGAGGCTGTGATCTTGGAGTCGGGAAACCAGCTACTCCACCGTCCGACTTCGCTTGGCTCGGTTCTTCGACGTTTGCACCGAGCACGGTCGGGTGCTGCGCCGGATGGGCAGAATTGGATGCCACCTGAAAGTGCTATCCATATGTATACATCTATTGAATTGTGGAGAGCCGATTTGTTGGTGGTGGGGGCTCATGAGCGCCCATTGAATAGTTGTGGCTGGATGGAGATACTTGCTGATCGTGGGGATTGTGTGGTGTGTGTATGGCATCACCTTCTGTGCTGTGGGTCGCACCAATTAGAGTGATACTAGAAGCTTTATGGCGTCTTGAATGTCGTAGAAGAGAATCACTGAAACTCAATTAGTAACAGACTAGGTAGAGTTATACGTGGTACTTACTGGTGATCAAAGGTTTGTCTACAGATCGTGCAGACAAATGGTTTCTCCTTGGCGTGATGAGTTCTAACATGCCGCGTCAAATGGTTATCCTTGGCAAAGGACTTTAAACAAAAAGAACAAATCACGTTGGCGTGGTCGACGTTTAGTCATGATGTGGGGAGATGAAGAAGAGAAGTGGCGGGACGAGTCTGGGACTTAACGCCAGCAAGTATGAGAGCCGCCGTACAACCTCACCATGTTTTTGAAGTCTCTTAAACTAAAGTTCTATAACAAGGACTGGAAAATAATGAAGTTAGTAGAATTCTGAGGAAGCATGGTCCTTTTTTTTTTTTTTTTTTTTTTCCCTTTTCCCTTTCTTTTTCTTCCTTTCTCTTTTCTTCGGTCGATGCCCGAGGTCTACTGTTGACGCATCTCGGAATTTCTTCACCTGGGAAATGCTTCATTCTACACATTGAACTCCTAAAGCCAACCAAAATTCCTGCTAAGCGCCAATCCTAGCAGATTCGGGGAGTTTGACCGATCGAAGATCTCAGGTCCCGCGTGTCCCGCATTTTCGTGGGATGAAAAACATGAGCCAACTACCTAGGTAAGAATGATGTTAGTAGGAACAATAGCCTGGTTATTGGAGCAAAGCACGTGCCATTTTTGGCTTAGTGCCTCGTTAGAACTGTCATACTATACTCCGTCCTCAAGATACATTTGACCAATGAAACGTGTGCCCCAAATTGAAATAATTCGATTCAATCTTAATTAAATATGAACAGACTGAAGTTAGTTTCTGCGATAATAAACATGAAATAACAGACTTCCGCGTAAAGAGAATTCCGACTCCTGAGTAGTAATCCAGCTTATTCCGAATAATCGTTACAGCTCATGCCTTTTCTCGGGGAATGGATATCCAACGGCGGTCCAAGCTTCCCTGACTTTATCCACATGCTCGCCAGCACTCTCAATTGTAAGATCGGCGAACTGTTTGAATGTAGCTTTACCATCTGTGGGAAGCTTACCGCTGCTCAGAGCGCGGTACCAAATAGGACCGGCACCTTCCCAAGCATATCCTCCAATATTGGTAGCAGCTAGGAAGAAAACGCGATTTGGGATGCCAGAGTTGATGTGAACACCGCCACTGTCCTCTTTCAAGTCGAGTCTCTTCTAATCCCTCCAATGCGCAGGCTGCGGGTCTTTCCCCACTTGACCATCATCATAAGCGGTCCCAGGATTTGCCATATCCCGGAGAGCCCTGCCTTTGACCACTTGGCACCCAGATCCCTTCCCCAATCAGCCAGTTGGCTTGGTAAACAGTCTGGGGGCTGCCTTCACCCCATTGCTTAATCATGAGACCAAAGGCGTCTGCAAAAGACTCATGGAGAGCACCACTCTGGTACGTGTATGGAAGTGAACTCGTATACTCCACCACGCCATGGCTAAACTCGTGACCGATTACATCGAGCTCATCCGTGAAGCCACGGAAGACAATATCGTCTCCGTCACCAAATACAAGCTCTTCACCGTCCCAGTAGGCGTTATAGAGGTCTTCAGCATGCACAAACCCATCAAGGTTAAACCCCGCATCATTGATAGAGTTTCGCTGGAAGAAATTGAAGTAGAAGTCATAAGACTTTCCAAGGCTAACATAGCACTGGTTTGCGTTTTGGGTTGGATCAGCGTTTTGCGAAAGGAGGTCGCCACCTTCTCGGATCAAAACCTTGTCACGGCGAAAAGGATGATCGTTTTTGATGGTACGCAACGTAGACCGTACGGTGTAATTGACATACACGACCTGCCGCTATTCGATATTTAGTTCGATGTTCAAGTGTGTGGCGGGCTGCCTCGCGCTGCTGTTCTGTCCCAGCATTCCGAGCTATTGATTCAAACCTTGGAAAGTTTGTTGCTGCGGAGGCGCTACGATAGTCTGCCCGTGATTTTCAGGGGCATCCCGAAGATGCTTTGTTTTTTTCAATAGTGGATTGGCACCGATTGATAATGTCCTGTGGCGCCACTCCTTTTTCAATAATGCCCTCGAGGACATATTGCGGCAAAATGGCACATAAAGGAGCCATGCTCAGGACCTGGCAGGTATATCGGTCGATACCCTTGGCTGACTTTGAATAATAAAGAAGCTGACTGGTGAGATTGGAGTAGTTGCTTATGATAATTCTCCAGGATGTGTCCAAAGTCTTCCATTCCCCCAGAAGGCTATCGCTTTATATACATAAATGCGGATGTAGACTTCACACGGTAACATGACCACCTAGCCCATTTTCCTTTGCTTCATTGTTGAGGATCTAGATCTTGCCCTCCGTCATTGTTCAAGTCATTATTTGTACAGATAGTGTAAATGTGACCAGTAGACTGCTAGCTATCTTATGGCTAGATAGTTCTGAATTCCATCCAGATTATCCTGCTTCCCATGACTTCCAATGCAATATCCCTAGCAACTGAGCTACCGCTTCTCTCTCAGTTTTAGAACAAGGATCCCATTTATGTGCCCATGGGCTAGTGCGCTCCACGTCGTCTTTCTGCGTAGAGCAAGCTAGAACACATTCATTACAGGAGCACTTAGGTTTACCGTTCATAGAATATCAAAACGCGGCTCGGACGTATTGACCATGGTTGTAAGGGGGCTCGAAGAAACCTCGTATAGGACATTGCTGAGACTAATTTACCTCGTACTCCCTAGCACAGTTCAGCACAGATAATGAGCGACATGAGAAATCTTAGCTTGTGACAGGATTAGTGAAGCTTTGACTACGATAATGTATGTAACAAACCAACCAAGGCTCGGATGAGCCGGTAAAACTCTAATTTCAGTCGCGTTGTCCAGACGGCAGATCATGCCGCATGCGGCCGCGTTAGTCGTGTGGTCTCCCACAAAAGGCATTACTTTTAGGCTTGCTAGCGAAGACCATAAGGATTCATCTTGTGGTTGTCTAGTAAAATCAAACTTTTAGGTTGACGGTGGCCACTGTAAAAGGTGTTTTTCCTTGTTCCAAAGAATCGGTACTTTTTCTGGTTCAAAAATAAACGGCCAGAAACACTGAGAGACTGTGAGTTCAACCCGCAAATAAAATGACGTCCGATGCGCACGGACTAGGAGCGCGCTTCTCCAAAGATAAATCCAATTTTGTTAGTGTGGTTGTATCGAATTCCTAGCCAGAGCAATTCACGCACAGTTTGTAATAATCCACTATAGACAGACACAATAGTGATATATTTGGGCACCCTAACCAACCCTTAAGCAGCAGGCAATCCAATACCCTTTGGATTACTAATTCTATTGCGGTGCGGAAGCAAAAATACAGGCATGTTAACACAAAGGGACAAATTAATCTGACTTTTGCCACTGAGATAAATTGAGGTAAATTTAGTAATGAGCGCCCAAAGCAGATTTCCGCCGCCAGTTTATGTCGATCATCCGAGCCCGCAACCTTGTACTGACTTCGTCTGATGTTCGGTTATCCGAGGTTTCTCCTCACTGTCAAAGCCTGGCATTTACCCAATCGGTATCAACTGGTCACAAGCTCAGAATTAGGTTATGCTAACAAAGATCAGATACCCGGAACAGCGTATTCGGTTACGGGACGTCAAAGTCTATTCTTACTTCTATAATTGCGCCAAGCGAAAGTGAATTTGTGCTTGAAATTAACCAAAAGTTTGCTATGGGATGACCGTTTATAGATATCGAGTTCTAGACTGAAAGAAAAATCCGATAAAGTGTTCCAAATACTATATTAGCATAGTCTTGAAACGACTGCTGTGGAAGTCCATAAGTTTAAGATTATTTGATAATTCGCAGATTTACGCGTACATAAACCGTGCTCTATCATAATGATAGTGAACTTGTCATATTGAGACTCAGTGCAGCATTATTTCATGGCACGGGTTCTCAATCGGAACATATTAAATGAGGTATATGGCGGGAGATTGGATGATGTCTAAAAATTGAGGTGTCGTGCGTGGGTGACGAAAGTGCCCCCGGAATACGAAATCATATCATCATAAATTTTGGCGACAAGGATTCTAGATGATTTGTTCCGCTGAAAACTGCATTCTACGTAGAACTGGTACTGTTTGCTTCCTCGCTATAAAAGCTTTTAGGTAGACCGGAGTACTAAGACTGGGTCCAATAGCAATCTTCAAGCACAATCTTGGTCTGCTCGTGTAGTTACAATTCTTTTATTACCCGGATCGCTTCGTCCACGCCCTGACCCAAAGCTTTTAGCAACCATACATCTCTTCCCGAGTTGATAATTTAATATGACTTCCACGATCGTCTCTCCAGCAGAGACAGTGACAAATATGACGCCCAACTACGAGGTCAGGCTCTTGCTCGACCCGGATGCGGTGCTCAGCTCTAAACTCGAGGTAGCAGACACTGTCCTATCGACTTTTCATGTGGCCTCAACCACCAAGATGAATGTCCAGTTCCTCGACACGTGCTCCAAGGATATCTATACAGCCGGCTGGAGCGCCCGTATACGCAAGGCCGAAAATGATGACTTGGAGCTGACGTATAAAAAGCGGTATGCCATCTCGGGTGGCAAAATTGACGCCGCTCTTACTACGGCTAATGAAGATGATTTTGACGGCGGTGATAAAAAATATGAAGCGCAAGTTGAATGGGGATATCAGAAGCAGACGCTTTCTATCAGCCGCAAGGAAAATATACAGAATTCTAGGGACAGCGGAACCGATTTGCCAGGAGAACGCAAGTCGCGTAAATTGCTGATCGACGAAGCACCGAATAAGTTTGACAACTGGTATCCCAACAAATGGGGTACCAGCGCATTGGCGATCTCACGCATTTTTGGTCCTGTCCTCGTCACGCGCTTCGTTGGCAAGTGGAACGACCTGCCGCTAAATCTTGAGGTATGGCCCTTGCTCAATTCCGATCGTACGGGCATTGAGTACATCATCGAGGCGTCTTTCAAGACGGACAGCCGCACGACAGCCTCGGTTGAAGGAGGCAACTTGGTCGCCTACTTGCAAAACAAGAATTGGTTTCTCGCACAGGACTCGCTGAAGACGCAGCTTATTATGAAGCGCTACGGACGTGCAAAATTTGGTTGATCTACGGGTGGTTCTTGGTAAGGTTTTGAAGGTTTCTTAAGTAGAAACACATGTATTGTTGGTTGTATATGTATTCTGTTTGCCAGACAATTTGCACCCACTGAATTTTACATTCTAAGAACTTGAATTTCATTACATTAACCACGATTACCGCGTTGATGTAGTTCCCGATATAAGAAATTCAGCCTATAAGACCGTGCCCAGGACCCGCAATTGCTATTTTGACATGACTTAACTTCAGCTTCAGATTTGCAGTCAAGCATTGTAAGAGCTGAATTGTGGAATTCACAAGACCTCAAATCGATTCTAAATAAACGAAAGAGCCGATAGTCAGTGGTTGACCGCTATGAGGGGACCGTCTATAATGTGCTAAGAAATGTCCTGAATACACTTTCTCGACCGGTAACCGACGGGGCTGGTGACTAACCGTCACTCATCACCTGGGCAAGGGCCAGCCCCTGAGGACGCATGAGAGCTTCTGTGTAGATAGCCCAGAATCATGGATAGGTATTGCTGGAGTAGTGGTTGGGCAAGGTCTACTGTTGAGGCAACGAATTTCTCTGTGGAAGTGCCCGAAAGTAAACAAAAATTCCAGCTCAACGCTAATTTTGCTCGCAGATTCGGATATTTTAGCCAATGCACGATCTCAGATCTTGCCTTTCCCGCAATTTTCAAACAACCCCTGAGAAGCTAAGCTCAAAAGACGAAGGATCTGTCACGAGAAGAAGCGAAAGTAACAGGGGCGTCAAAGTAGCGACTATCGCCCAAGCTTCTCGCCTGAAGATTCGCCGAGTGAACTTCATTGAAGATATGGATTCAATGTAGCTTGTGTCCACCTTGCCACTGGATGAATTCTGGATTAATGCCGGATTACAGTAATACTGAAAGCTCGAGAGAATAATTTGCCAGTGACCCAACCGCAATCTTCCAATTGCCATGCCTGTATCGTTTAAGCTTGACATGACCATGGAAATTGCCATGCTAGACCGGCGAAATGAGTAATGTAAGAAACATATCTACAAGCTCATTAACCAGATTGTCCACCCTAACGACTCTCGCACACACATTCTCTCTCTCCTTCCCCGCCACTAATTATCCTAGAGTGCCTCGCGTAATTCGAAATGGCAACAAGCGATTAGATAGGGCGAATATGTGTCAGCTTTTATTCATTTTACTTAAATATCATGCGGAATCTCTTGCCGACCCTTCTACAGCCGGCTTGGGCTGTAGGACTAGCTAGGTAGCCGGGAACAGCAGCGACCAAGGAGTCGCTGTTGCTCACCACGGCCGGGCTACGTATCAGAGTTTACGAGCATTGGAGGGTTCACGCCTGCGTCTCGTTGACGAGTGGGAACACGTTCATGCTATCTTCAATCATTCATAACTGAAAAGAGACATGGTAGAAGTCGTGAAACTGGAAAATATCGGCGGATCTACGTTGGTACTGTATCCCTAATCTGTCGTTCCTCACTTAAAAGCTCGCAAGAGGATGAAGATTGTAGTCGGCGGCACGGCCCATACTTGGCGGCGTAAGGAAGTTGATTGTACGCTCTTCTGAGTTCGCTCGTTGTCCCAAAGTATCGTATGGTTGTATGATAGATTGAATGTTGAGATTGAGTGCGAAACCAAAGTTTTTTTTCTCTTTCCATTTCCCTTTACGCTGTCTAATTCACAGTCAACAAAGGGCCTGAAAGTTACTCTGAAACCGGGTGCGACTATCTGATGGTTGGAAATTCATATGACGGTGTAAAGACGCAACGATCGAGAGACATGATAAATGCTGAGTTTATGAATAGGTTGGGCAAAAATCGCACTTGAACGGTTGATAAGGAGCCCGTTCAAATTGAGGACTGGGTGTTCGTCAGGTCTAAACCATTAGAAGCTGGAGGGCCACTGGGCCTCACGTATCTAGGCTATACCACGTGGCCATCATCGAATGACTCTCTGTCTATAAAACTGCTGAGATCACGTGACCTTATATGGTCCTGAGAGTACTTAGATAGTCCTCGAGGGGTCGGAGCTTCTCTCCTTCCCCGTCCGCCTCTCAACCAATAAATCCATCATTTATAGCTTGTTTCTTTCCCCTGTCAAGAATATTGCTGGACTCGCCGGCCGACCTGGGTCACTCCTTGGGATGACCCGCATGGATCCTAGAGCCGCGTCCACAGCACCCGTAAGATGCAACAAACAGGAAGAAAAGGCTATTCAACGGAAGAGTGATTCTAAGAGAAAGAGAATAATCGTACAGTCATTCTCGAAATCGCCTTGACCAATTTACACTGAGAAACTCTTTCCTGGCCCCACCGTCAAGGCCTTAGCGCAGATCAATTATTGAGCGGGCCGCATTACATTGAGGGACTGGGTAAAACAGCTATGTATGTTACAGTACCTAACGACATTAATTACATGATGCGAATGAGCGTAGAATTCCATAGAACACTGTAAGTTAATGGATCTCTGCAAATCATGTGCTTAAGGTAGAGTTCCTGGCCGGACAATCTGCCAGTTGGCTCCTACTTTCCTTGCCAAGCTGCACCAAGTGTCGATCTTTCGCATACACGCTGGAGCCTTTGCACATGATTCTGAATACAACGGGCTGGGAAAAGCCCTGCTTAACTCTGCACATGGCCTAATTTGTCTCCAATTGACAATATCCTCGTGTTCTGTACTACACACATCATTCTATCGATCACTTGTCAACTTAAAGTCGACCTCCGATATCAAAATCAATTAAGTATATACTCATGTCATGTTATGTTTATATATTAAACTTTCAGATTGTTCTGTTTTTCTCTCAGTTCAACCTTATACCGTACCTCATACAGCCAGCCCATCGGATCCTTCGGTTTCTTGCCTGTCTTCCTACGATGAATTAGCCGCGATCTCAACGCATTTGTCACTATGATCAGATTGACTAACGCTTTCGAATCGCCTCCAAGGGGCATATACGTGGTCGCAAAATCTCTTAACCACCGCCACCACCAGCGAGCTCCCAGCCCTAGCTGACCTGTCCAATAACTCTGCTTGGTCATGCTCTTCGACCTTGGAACCCTAGCTTGGGCATACGCCTCAATCGCTCTAGAGAAATCTAAGCTGCCATTCTCTAACGAGGGCGGGTTATTCAGTAGTTCATTAGCCAAAACGGTGGCGTCTTCGATGGCGAATCCCGCTCCTGTGAATGTGTCAATCACTATCACTCTCCTCTTCAAAGACGAAACTTAGTGAAAGCAAAAATAAGGTAAGACTAACCTTGGCCGCTCGTCGGCAGCATCAATCGTGAAGCGTCTCCGATCACAACGATGTTCTTCCCACCAATCTCACTCTCCTCCCAAGCATGATACCACAGAGGGGCTCTAACAATCCTCTCACTCCTCTTATACAACTCCTCAAAGTTCCCCGCAATAGGATGAAAGGCATTCTCGTGCCTCTTCAGAATCCCCCGCGTCTCTTGCAGGTCATATCCACCTAGTATTAAGTCCGCACCATAGAGCTTATCCACTTTCTGTTTCTGCAGGTGCTCAGCAGCTGTCATCCTCTTAGGAGGAAGGTTGGAAGGGAAAGAAATAGACCAGAACTGCCTGCCGCCAGGCAGAGCCCATGTTGATGCGGTGCCTGAGTCGAGGAGAACCCAATGAGTGTCTCCGTCTTGCACATCTTCCTCACATTCAGTCGAGCGGGCCCTGTCCATGGGTTTGGAAACACCGTAAATCCCATCCGCGTATGCAAACTCGGGCTTCCATCTATCAGCACCGTGCCCACCGTCTGCTGCTGCTGCTGTCGCCATAATATGCCTTCTCACAACCGACCATCCCCCATCCGCACCAACAACAAGATTCGCTTCGACCTGCATCCCTCCCTCAAAGCACACCTTAACACCCCCTCCAGTGGCACCCTTCACATCAGTAACCTTCCTCTCCCAAATCACTTCCCCGCCTAACTCCTGCACCCTATCAAGAACCACGCGCTGCAGCCCCGCCCTCTCCACAACCCGGAGGTTCGTCCCCAAGTCCTCCTGCCAGTTCGGATTGTTCAACTGTTGGCAGTATTTATGCTTCCCGGTGTCCCAGGCGCGCCAGATCTTGATTCGTGCCGTTTCAGAGCTAATAGAGTCCAGCGAGTCCCGCAGCCCCAGGACATACAGAGGGTAGAGGGCGTTGGAGGTCAGGGCAACAGCGGCGCCAGCTGTATACGTCGCAGCGCTAGGAGCGTGGGTGGATTCGTCTTCTCCGTGGCTCTTTGAGTCAGGGAATGCGCTTGGTTTGGGGCGCGCAAGGCGCTCGTATATCACGGGTTTGTAGCGCTCCTTGAGGACGGGGTTAGAGAGTATTGTCAGGGCGAGGACAGGACCCGCGACGCCACCGCCGATGATGGCTATGGTATACGGAGCTGGTCTGTCGGCCATGGGTTGATACTTAGGTATCCAAAAAATCACATCAACTTAGATCGAAGAATTATTTGGCCCCGTATAAATAGTTTCTCCCAAGGTTGAGGTACGTAATTTGCTGCATTTATTAAGGTATGGGACGGCACAGAACGTTGGTTGCCTATGATGGTCACGTGATTACCCCGAAACGCACCCCCATGCCTACCGAACTACATTAGATGCTTCCGCAAGAACAATTAGACCAAGACACAGTACCATACACGGCGTATATTACGGTGTCCCTCAATTCAATGCCAGCCGCTCAATGATTGATCTGCACTAAGGCCCTGGCGGTGGGGCTAGAAAAGAGTGATTAAGTGTATGTTGGTCAAGGCGATTTCGAGAATGACTATAGACACCCATCTGCAAGTCAATACCTACATGTAACCCGGTCGCACTCAGCCTCCTGGCAGCAGCGGCCATGCATGGAGTACGGATCCTGTCAAGATCGGCAAAATGCTTGTTGATCACTTTTGACAGCGTGGAAAGACCGATGCTTTGTTTTGAGGCTATTATCATTGAATAGGAATAGTTCCATCGCATCTGCATTCCCGAAAAGATTGGATCCGCCTTTGCAGGCCTGGAGCATGTACTCTATTTCGCCCCTCGACCCCACGAAACACAGACAAGCGATCGATGGATATCCGGAAGAATAGCACTGCCGTCGATGACACGCCCGATTGTAAATCTAACGCACAAAATAGTCTTTGCCAAGCTCATGCCGTGTCCCTTCGCGACGGAAACACGCGACAGGGGCCAGAGTGCCTCGGAAGACAGTGCTCGGGATGATCTACACGCCATGGCTGTTTAGAAACTTTGCGAAGGCTGTCTGACTTCAGCGGCGGCCGGGAGGCGCCACGCGTAGCTGCTGACCGTCGACGCAAGGGCCGCAATTCTCGATCAGGATTTGGAACCCGGGGCTCGGAGAATCTGGCCATGCAGCCCAGGCGACCAAGTCGCGAGGACGCGACACAACGCGGGTTAAACCGGAACTGCCTAAAGGGGCAGGTTGCATTGTGCATCCCCCAGGATTCGCTATGGAGGAAAAGAGAAACACAACAGGGTAAACTGGGCAGAGGTGGTTATTGGCTGATCCTATCCGTAGTGGAGACCGTGGCTGCGTTTAGTGCGAATTTTCCAGAAGCGAGTTGCGCCTTTTCAGTTGCAGACACCGAAGTCCAAGTCTGATAGGTTATGAACAAAGAAAGAAAAGAAAGGAAAGAACAGGGCGGTTACCCCTGGTACCTAAGCGTCTTCAACTATGGCACGGAGATGTTCTAATATGCGACCAAAGAGAAGTACGTGATTGCCAAGATGTTCCAGCGCCATTTTGGCCCCCGGTTGACCGGATCTGGAGCAAATTGGCTACCATCCTGGTTTCATGGCGCATATGGTCGAACACTAATCCTTCGAGGGATCAATTGAAATTTATTCGGTCTACAAGCTAAAATTGGCATAACATTGGCACAATATTGGCATGGACAAGCCTCAAAGCCAAGCGTGAATCCCAGTTCTACCTGAAGCCCAAACATTAAGACCTCACAACCCCAGATTACAACTCCAGACCCATTCTTTTTCTCTGGGGTCGCGGGGAGTTTCCACCTGTACAACTGAAAGGCGATCGGCGGGGCTGAACTTGAACAGGTCCAGCCGAGTGCGCAGCTAACTCAGTCTGGAGAAGCCGAAGCCGTCGCCCGATGCCTTTGCCCGATGTTCACGATGCTGATTGGTCTCTCTGACTCGCGTGGGCAATCTCGCCCCAGGCCTGTTCCATGCAATCTGGGGCCGTTGTAGCCTGTCCGTGCAAACCTGGAGACTCGGGATGAGAGCCCCCTCTCGGGCCCGTTGGTCACATCAGGAGAGGGTGGAGCCTGTTAACTCATTCTCCGAATCATATCTTGTTTGCTTTGTTCCAGCGGCTCGGAAGCAAGAGAAAGCCATAATAGGACCCCCGGTCTGGAGGTCAAGGCACCCCCGGACGAGTCCTCTTAAACCTGTCGAGTTCCGCGCGTTGATCTTCTTTCTGTCCTCTTGATCTTCGCGATCTTCTCTAACTTGTTTTCACTCTCTTTTTCCGACTGTTTCAGTCTTGTGTCGTTTTGGGGCTCTCTCAGCACAAAAGGCTTCTCATTTAACCGTGCCTAAAATGCAGACCAAGCGGTTCTTGGGCCTTAATGGCACCAAACTCCAGATTGCCATTGGCTTTCTGGCGGGCATGGACTTTCTGCTCTTCGGCTACGACCAAGGTGTAACTGGCGGCTTGCTTACGCTCACATCTTTCAACAAGTATTTCCCTTCCATCAACACATTGGACTCATACACCGAAGGTTGGACTCAGGCAGAGAAGAACAACCAATCAACGCGTCAAGGTATCACAGTTGCAGCATACAACTTGGGATGTTTCGCCGGCTCAATTCCCACGATTTGGATTGGTAACATCCTGGGTCGCCGTAAGGCTATCTTTTGGGATCTTTCATCATGTGTATTGGCGCTATTCTTCAATGTACTTCTTACGGGTTGGCTCAGCTGGTCGTCGGCCGATTGGTCACTGGGTTCGGTAGGTGTCAGCAAGGCAAAAGACTGGCAAACCTTTTCTAACAATAGACGACAGGCAATGGCATCAATACTTCAACAGTCCCTACATGGCAATCCGGTAAGTCGATTCGAATCATGACTGCCACAGTTGATCTATGCACCGCTGCGGTACTCGACCAGTGCGGGCTTGTGGACAGTTCAATTGGGGATAGAAAACGAGAGGCTAATGTTTATCAGAATGCTGCAAATCTCACCGACGCGGCCAGATGGTCATGATCGAGGGTGCCATGATCACTTGCGGTATTACTATCAGTTACTGGATTGATTTCGGTCTGATGTTTGCCGACCCCAACGAAGTTGCCTGGCGATTCCCGTTGGCGTTTCAGATCTTCTTCGCGGCCATTATCTTGGGATTCGTCATGTTCTTGCCTGAATCGCCCCGTTGGCTCATCTTGAAGGGTCGCGAGGAGGAAGCAAAGGAAGTTCTGGCATGCCTGATGGGTGATGAGACTGATGAACTGTTCATCGACACTGAGTTCACCGCTATTAAGGCTACCGTTCTGGAGATGGCAAAGGGATCGTTCCGGGATATGTTCACTATGGGCGAGGACCGTCATTTCCACCGTACCATGTTGGCCTACGTCAACCAAATGTTCCAGCAGATCTCTGGTATCAACTTGATCACCTACTATATCCCAACTCTTCTGGAATCCAATGTCGGACTGGATGCCACAACTTCACGTCTTATCGCTGCCTGCAACGGAACCGAATATTTCATTGCCTCTTGGATCGCCGTGTTCACCGTCGAGAAGTTTGGACGCCGATCACTCATGCTGTTTGGTGCAGTCGGGATGTCCCTTTCCATGGCGGTCCTTGCCATCTCCGACAGTATTTCCTCGACCCACAAGCAAACCCCTACCGGTGTCAAGGCTGGCGTTGCCCAAACGGTCTTCTTGTTTGTGTTCAATACCTTCTTTGCCATTGGCTGGCTCGGTATGACTTGGCTCTATCCTGCCGAGATTGTCCCATTGAAGATTCGTGCCCCAGCCAACGCCTTGTCTACTTCTTCCAACTGGATTTGGAACTTCATGGTTGTCATGATTACCCCTGTGGCTTTCCAGAGCATTGGCTACAAGACCTACGTCATCTTCGCCGTAATGTGAGTTTGATATATTGATCTTACTCGATTGATGCTAACTCGTTTTAGTAACGCTGCCATCGTACCTGTCGTCTATTTCTTCTTCCCGGAGACCACTATGCGTTCGTTGGAAGAGATGGACCGCATCTTCCGCAAGACTACAAACGTTTTCAACGTGGTTTCGGTTGCCCGGACTGAGCCCCATATGTATGGTCCTAATGGTGAACTATTGCGTACTCTGGATGATGTCGAGGATGATGCTGTCCGTCGCGCCAGTATTCTGAACAAGGAGAGCAAGGCTCACGCCCAGACTCATACGCAACATACAGAGAAGTACAGTGACGGAAACACAAGTGAGGAGAGATCTGTTTGATCCTAATCTCGTTCTTCTGTCGACTTGGATTCATCTTGCGGAGGACCGAAGTCAGGTCACGGAGCGAAGCTACCGCGCCTTGGTCTGACTGAACTCTCCAAGCCATGTTTATTCTGATTTTGATTTTCTGCGAACAGTCGTTTATCGATCTTTCTGCATAAGAAAGGTCCAATACCCATGTTAGACTGTTAGTTCTTAAATACTATTGTAACCATTTTCAATGAACCCATTTTTGCGATAAATGCAAAGTTTCAAGTTTATTCTTGGTGTGATAGTTAAATCAAGAATTCCATAACTTTGCGGAGGCCCAGATTCGGTTCTAAATTGAAATGCAACGGCATTCGCTACAAATAAACCAAGCTATTGCAGAATTTAATGTACATTTTGCCGTAAACTAGATCGTATGGAATATGCATGGTTCAAAATCATTCATCTTCATCGCCAAATAGCGAATAAAATATCACATGACCATAGTTCTACGCTAACACACTGCCACTTATACCCCACCCGCATGTTCTTGAGTTCCAAAATTTGTTGTGCTATCATGACATCTACGGTATCTTTTCAAAATCCCAATTTTGGAATGCAAACTGGAAGTAATAATGGCACGATTAATGCTCATTTTCTCCATGCAGGTAGATTTTGACGGCTTTGGAGTTGGTGAAACTTCGCTGACCAAGTTCAGATCCTCTGGACAGGCTACCAATTGCGTATGGGGCGGGGTTTGATTCTTATACGAACCAGCATCAAGATGAATGTCTTCCAGGCACTAGGAGCGAGCTTCTCAATGAGATTGCAGAATGGGCCATGTCACCGGAGAGGAAATGTATCTCTGGTTAAATGGCATGGCCGGGACCGGGAAATTGACGATTTCTCGCACTGTGGTTAGACATTTCGAAGAAGAGAAGATACTAAGAGCAAGCTTCTTCTTTAAGAGAGGACAAGGGGATAGAGGGAATGCGATAAAGCTTTTTCCGACGATTGCAAGACAGTTAGCGAAGGCCGTTCCCCGACTGATTCCCGGTATCAACAAAGCAATCGACAATAACTCTGATATCGGAAATAAAGGACTGAAGGAGCAGTTTGACAAAATACTCCTTCAACCTCTGCTAGACTTGGATTCACTGCTCTGTCGATCCCAAACCTGGTTATAATCATGGACGCGCTAGACGAATGTGATACAGACCTTGACATACGGCTTACACTCCAATTGCTGCCACAGTTACGAAATTCGAAGGCTATACGTTTGCGAGTTTTGCTGACTAGCAGGCCTGAATTACCCATCCGACTCGGATTCAAAAAGCTTGCAACCCAAGATCATGAAGACTTAGTTCTCCACGAAATCCCCAAGGAAGTTATTGAGCATGATTTATCATTATTTTTGAACTATCGACTATCAGAAATAAGGAAAGAGCGAGAGCCTCCCTTGCCTATCAACTGGCCTGGGGCCGAAAATATCCGAAAGCTAGTGGCATTATCTGCTCCGCTATTTATCTTCGCCGCTACAATATGCCGCATATTTGAGGATCCTGATTGGGACCCAGTGGACAGTCTTCCTGAGATCCTCACTCATCAAAACGATGAATTGAAACTGGATGGAACATATCTTCCTATGCTTGATCGGCTCCTTGATAGGCAAACCGAAAAGAAGAGAAAGGAGCTGGTTCAAGAATTTCACCAAGTGGTCGGTGCAATTGTGATACTAGAGAGCCCACTTTCAGTCACCTCTCTTTCAAAACTCATCGGCCTCTCAGAAAGACTGATTCATCTCAGACTCAACCCGCTATACTCAGTTCTAAGTGTACCAAATGATGTGGCCTTACCGGGTCAACTCCTCCACCTATCATTTCGAGACTTTCTTCTTGATCCAGCAACATGTGAGAAGACCCCATTATGGGTGGACGAAATGGAAACGCACTACATGTTGGCCACTCAATGCCTCCACGTGTGTCAGAACCTAAAAAAGAATCTATGCGGTCTACGAAGTGATGGAACAAACCGGGTGGAAATTGATCAGCAGACTATCAATGAATGTCTTCCTCCAGAATTGCAATATGCCTGTCGTTATTGGGCACATCACCTAGTGCGGAGCAAGGACCACCATGCTGTGATGCAAAAAGCAGTGTTATTCCTTCAGGTACATTGCTTACACTGGATGGAAGCAATGAGCATTCTTGGTCGTCTCTCTGATGTTTTAGAGACCATCTGTCTTTTGCAGAAAGCCACACATGTAAGCTCCAATAGGAAATACTATAAGGCGTTTAGGCTAACAGATATAGGGGAACACGGATACTGCCCTGTCCGAGATTCTTTTGATGCGAAGCGCTTTCTCCTGAAGAACCGCCAGATAGCCAATGATGCACCCCTTCAACTTTACTGCTCGGGCCTTATGTTTACACCACGAACAGCGGTATTCCGTAAGCTTTTTGTAGCAGAGCTTCCTAGGTGGGTATGTCAGGTTCCCCAGGTTGACGAAACGTGGGATTCAGAACTGCAGACTCTCGAGGGCCATTCGGGTACGGTTCAGTCGGTGGCATTCTCACCTGACGGCCGGCTGCTGGCGTCCGGCTCCGAGGATGGCACAGTCCGGCTCTGGGATACGGCGACTGGCGCCCTACAACAGTCACTCGAGGGTTTTTCGAGTGGGGTTTGGTCGGTGGCTTTCTCGCCCGACGGCCAGCTACTAGCGTTCAGCTCCGAGGATGAGACAGTCCGACTCTGGGACATAGCCACGGGCGCTCTGCAGCAGATTCTCGAAGGCCATTCAATGGGGGTTTACTCGGTGGCCTTCTCCCCAGACGGCCGGCTGCTAGCGTCCGGCTCGAGTGATCGAACGGTGCAGCTCTGGGACACAACGACGGGCGCCCTACAGCAGACTCTTAAGGGGCATTTAGATTTGGTTAATTTAGTGGCATTCTCGCACGACGGCGGGTTGCTAGCGTCAGGCTCTTGGGACACCACGGCTTGGTCCTGGGGTACGGCAGCAGGCGCGCTCCAGCAAAACCTCAAAGGTCATTCGTATCTCGTTGATTCTGTGGCTTTCCTGTCTGATGGCCAGCTGCTAACGTCCCACCCCCGCGATAAAACAGTCCAGCTCTGGGATACAATGACGGGCGCCCTACAGCATACTCTCGAGAGCCATTCGGGCTCAGTTAACTCGTTGGCATTCTCGCCCAATGGCCGGCTGCTGGCGTCTGGCTCTTTCGATAACACAGTCCGGCTCTGGGACACGGCGACAGGTGCCCTACAGACACTTGAGGGCCAGTCACATTGGGTTTGGTCGGTAGCATTTTCACCAGACGGCCGGCTACTAGCGTCTGGCTCTCGTGATAGAACAGTGCGGCTCTGGGCCCCGGCCACGGGCACTCTGCAGCACACTCTCGAAGGCCATTCAGATTCGGTTGACTCGGTTAAATTCTCACCCGATGGCTATCAGCTAGTATCAAGCTCTAGTGATAAGACAGTGCGGCTCTGGGATACGGTGACAGGTGGGCTACAGCAGACCCTCGAGAGCCATTTAGGTCCCGTTTACTCGGTGGCGTTCTCTCTAGACGGCAGGCTACTAGCGTCTGCTTCCCGTGATAGAACAGTGCGGTTTTGGGACACGGCGACGGGCGCTCTACAGCAGACCCTCGAGAGCCATTCAGCTCCGGTTTACTCGGTAGCATTTTCGATAAACAGCCAACTGCTAGCGTCCGGCTCCCGTGATAGAACAGTGCGGCTTTGGGACACGGCGACGGGCACTTCGCAGCACTGTCTCGAAGGCCATTCAGATTCAGTGGACTTGGTGGCATTCTCGCCAGACGGTCTGGTGCTGGCGTCTAGCTCTAATGATAAAATAGTGCGGCTCTGGGACACTGCCACAGGCACCCTACAGCAAACCTGGGTTTCTGATGGAACGGTCACTAACCTTGAGTGCTTTCAACCCGATTTATGTGTATGCACCGACTTACACGCCCTTGGTATTCAGACCAAGTGTGACAGTTCTTGGACCAAGGTGAATCCAGAGATATCCATCGAGCACGGGCAGTGGGTTAAATTGAATGGCGAGAAGGTACTCTGGCTCCCTCCAGAATATCGGCCCAGTCATTATGCGATTAATGGCAGTATACTTGCCCTAGCACACGTGTCAGGGCGGATTTCCTTCATAGCATTTCGTGTATAGCAAGTATCGAAGTTTTCGATTCCATTCCTTTCTCCTTTTTTCTATCTGTTTAGAAAAGAACTGCTTAGGAGAAGAGTAATTTTTTATCTGGCTTAGTTCTTTATACCTTTGTAAGGTCCACAAAATCCCAAATCATATCCAGTCGTACAGTAACCAGTCCATCCCGTTATACATGTAGTTTGCCACAGTTCCAAATCATTTAGTCAGCGACTAGATTGGAAGAGTTTTCCTAGGCACAGATCGTGAGGTAGAGAGGGATTAAGCATACTGCGGTCCACTGACAATGAGATAAACAAGGATATTCTTGGCAAGGTGGCCGGCAAATTCACCAAGCTCGGAGAGGCACAGGTCGCCATGCTCTTCCTAAGCTTTTCAACCTATGCCCATAGATGAACCGAATGAAGTGAACCCACATGGTCGCACAGCATGCGAGATTTCCGAAGAAGCTTCGGATGCAGCTATACAGAGCAACTTTGGAAATAACAAGCGTAAGATTCCCAAATGACGTGGCTTCTGTGGAGCGTATCTGAAATCTAGTTGCAGTGTTTCATTATGACCGTCGATGGACTGCCGAGCAAAAGGCCTGCCTGCCCTGATGCTTTTAAATCACGGGCACATCTTTCGGAAGAAGAAATTGAGTTCTGGTTCAAGCAAGACTTTGGTCATTCCCGAACTTTTGCGTCGATCCAGGCCAAATTATATGAAGTAGGTGCCGGGAAGCTCCGCAGGAAAAAGAAGAACATCGTCAAAACAAGATCGCAGTCGAGATCAGCCCTGCTCCGGCGATGGACCCGTCCCAACCGTCAATTCTGTGAACAAGAAGTCTTTGATGAAAAAGAGTCCATTCATACAAAGACACTAAACTAGAGAGAGAAAGAAAAGCAAGAAGTGGTATTGATCAAAGCCACGACAACTTCTCCATGTTTTCGATGCAATACGGCATTCATAACCACGTGATTTGGGGCATATTCTTCTTAAGACACCGGCGGATGTGCACGCTTCTTCAACCCCTGATAAGGGATCGCGATCGACAGTAAGCGGTACCTGCACGCATATCACTACTGCAGTACCTACGAATACATTACGCGTAGTGAGTATCAACATAAACGGATGCCCAGCCATCTCCTTGAATGCCAACGTTACAGAAGAATCGCTGTTGATATTCAAGAACGGCACGGAGATAGGAAGACACCCTGGCACTACGCCTGATCAATTAGAACACGTCGTATCTAAGACTTTATGTGGGCTGGAAAACTTTTCAGAAATTGCCTGCTTGTGATATCGAACAACTGAAAAGGATGTCTGATCTATCAGGCACGGAGAGGGAACCTCTATGGATCAATCAGTGAAGTGAGTACGCCCTATCGACGACAAGGAGGGGCTCAATTTCCGCCGTCAACAGGCAGGCCTGGAATACGGCCATTGCGGAAAAGATCCACGAAGATATGATGGTCTCGCCGCGTCTGGGCACTGTACTCATGCGCAAATTCAACAAGGACATCCACAAAGCGGTCCCCATCGGCCATTATAGCTGCATCAATGGCTTCCTCAGGAGAGAAGGGCACTAGTTGCGAGTGTCTGCTGTCATCGTCTCCGGCCCCGTGCATCATGGCGGTGGCCGTACCCAGGTCGGCAACCACTGCCGCCATCTCCTCCATGTCGTTGATATCTGACCAGTCCAGGTCCACTGCATACGGGGAAACCTCCGCGACCAGCTGGCCTACACCATCTATCTCAGTCCAGCCGAGCCATACGTCCGCATGCGCCTGCAGAGCGCGCTGCGAGATGACAGTACGGTGACCCTCGTGGTGGAAGTAAGCGTGGGCTGCGCTATTTTCGACGTGCCGGGAGACAGCTGCAGCCGCGGACTGCTTCATGTAGATCACAACGTCGTTCTCTAGCGCCTCGCTCTTGCCTTCCAGCAGGATGTTGTATGATGGGAGACCTGCAGAGCCGATACCCACACCCCGACGACCCACCACATCCTTGATGCGGTACATGCCGGCGCAGTCCTCTCTTCTCTCGGGAAGTGTCTCGAGATAGTGGTTAAACGCCTCCACGACTTTCTCTCGTGTGGCAGAATCCAGCTTAAATGCGCCACCGCCTGAGGTGAAACGCCGCTCGGAATCATGGATTTCCGTCATCGAGCAGAGCAATCCGACACGTGTTTGCGTACGGGCTAAGCGCAAGGCGTCCAGCAACGGGCCCTTGGCGGTGTCTAGGGTAAAGCGTGGCACCTCGTCTTGCTTTGTGCAAGTGGCTAGGGTATGAATCCGCTCGCGGTATGCTGCGGCATATACCCTCACGAGTCGGGTGATCTGCTTGTCACTGAGAGCTTTCGCATAACCAACTAGGGCGATTGAGCCTACGAATCTCTTGATGTCCCAGGTGAAGGGGCCAACATAGGCCTCGTCAAAATCGTTGACGTTGAAGATCAGACGACCCTGAGAATCCATGTAGGTGCCGAAGTTCTCTGCGTGCAAATCGCCATGGATCCAGATTCGCTTTGTTTTATCGTCTAAGAAGGGACCGACATGCTGCTCCTGCTCGAGGTCATGGTAGAATAGACAAGCGCTACCGCGATAGAAGGCAAACGCCGAGGCAGCCATCTTGCGGAATTTGACCTGGAATGCAGCAGGGTCCCTGGCGAGAAGGTCTCCAAACGTCCTGTTAAAAACATTGAGAATTTCCTCGCCACGCTGCTCGATGCTGGGTTGATGTTTCGTCATTGTGAGGCAGTTACTTTTGATAGTATTCTTGTTATCACCCAAAAAAAAAAAAAGGTTACTGAGCCAGAATTGTAACTTAAGGAGAAGAAGCTTTATACCACCAGAAAAGTGGGACAAACGGCACTCCGTGGCAGTGCAGACTCTCATCATTTCGCTATTTTCTTGGCCAAACACTAAACTGCGCGGGGCTTTAGTGTGTCAGAAATAGCTTACTACTTTAGTGGTCTATTACCTACTACTCGGCCCAACGAGCCCAACACAACACAGCAATAATGTTTACCTGCAGGTCCAAATTCGAGGTAGTCTATGCCTCTTCAGGGAGGTGCTTGCATTAATGGCTACATGATGCATTACATTGATTTTGTCACCGACATTCACTGCAAAAGGTCTCACTGAAGCTGAAGAATTTAGAACCTATCCTCATGCTTAGTGAGTTCATTTTTGGCCCTTAGATCTACTTGTAGATCTCTCGAAAGATACATAAGTCGAACTATCGACGCTGTAGATCATTATTGCTGAAGTTTTGGTATGGAACTGAGTCCATATGTGGTTTCTGCTTGTCATGAATTTGCGAACAATGACTACTTGATTCCCATAAGGTATGTCTTACTGCCACTAATACCTAAGGCCTCACTACGACCACCACCCACCTATATAGAGGCAATATAGAATAGTCTACTATTACTATGTATAAATCGAAATGCAAGGAATAGATGATTTATAGTCGACGGCCGCAAGAAAGAAAGATCTGGCAAAACAAATTGGTATTGTATTGGTTGGCTGACAGAGACCGACAGAGAAAGGGAGAGCGGGGCTCAGAGAAACCACCTAAATGCAGGCCTGCAGTGATGCCTGACAACACTACTGTTTACACTTTGCCTATCGGGGAAATGTCTCTGCTAGGTGATTACTTGGCTGTCGCTAATGAGAAAGAGCTGCAATTTGTCGGTAAGCTGAACTCACGGTTTGCACTGATCCTTTCTATTCCAAGTTCCACCTTCCATGACCACTCAACAACGCCAGACACTAGAGGGGAGCGTGACCTAGGCCAGAAATTACTATTGCAGCAGCTGAACGAAGAGTTGTGGATTACTGCAACGGCTGACCGGCCGGTGACCTATTCTGGAATTTAATTAGGTTAAAATGTGAGGTGCGTACACTGATGAGGGCGGTAAGGATAATGCAGCACGGCCACCTCCACCGAACATGGAATGTTGATCAATGCGGCTTACTTCGCATGAGCCATCTTCAGCCATACAAGGCAGGGCGCGGAACAAATGCAGCTTTCATGGCTAATTGGGTGGCCATGGTTCGCCAGCGCCGACGCATGTCTCAAGCCATATCGTAAAAGTTGAGACCCAAGGAGTGACTAGGCTAAACTATAGGGAAAAGAAAATGCTCTATAGATCATGTGTAGCTCGAATTTGGTGGCTTGGCTGAAATCTAGAGGAGCGGGGATTCAATCATGGACTTATTGCGAATCTATTTTCCTTGGCTACTGTGCCCAAGCTCACTGTCCAAGCGTTTCTGTCGGGGCATCGCATATGATTGATGACGGAGGTTGCCAGACTTATAGCTTCTCTATGCCTAGCTCTCTCTTCTTTTCTATATCGGTCTTAGTCACCTAATACCATACCATATCGTTTTGCCTAGTCTTTTTTACTTGCTATCGATACGTTATAAATCCCTTTCTCTTTACTTTAAAGCGTCTTTTACCTAATCGGTTAATCCGGTAAAGACACGGTTTATATGTGTAGATCGTGTCCTACTACCCTGCTTCGCGAATTAGTCAGGTTCGTTCTAGGTAGGCCTTGACAAGTGCTGCAGCACTAGGGCTTGCCAGCACCAACCCTGAATTTCTGGATTCATTGGAATCCATCAACGAAGAGAACGAGAAGTATACCATGCATAATTCTCTGGCGGGAACTTAGTAACTAAGAGAAGTGTTACGGAACTAGCGGTAACTTCGAAGGATACAATGGCGAAACAAGCCAGACGGATAGGAATAAGTGTTGGAAAAAGGCGCTGTGATGGGAATATCCGTGAGTGTTCTGGGCGACGGGTCAGGGAAAAGGCAACGTGCAGAAAGCCCTGCGAAGTTAAGTCCTCGGCATGTCTGTTAGCTGGCTCCCTGGAACCCCGCAATTGATCAAGTCATACTTCATTGATGGAGGTGGAAATAGCAAGTGGGCGCGGTTTTATGTCGCGGATATCGTCCTCGCGTTGATCGCTGGACTAATGCGGGGATTAGGGATCCCCGGTAGTCACCTCCTGAGTCTAGGTTTGTCTGATGGTGTGGTGAGCGGAGACCGCCGATAAATTCTATTTTGTCTAAACATGCGCGGAAGGCTGATCGCGTCCTTGTGATACAAACTATGCAACCTCGAAGGACTCTAAGATATTACGAATTGTGTCGATAGGAGGGATTGGAAAGCAATAGCAATGATTGAAAGCCGGCCCAATTGATGCTAAACTATCAAGGGCAAATACAAGTCTTCAACTGCAAGTAACCGAAATGATAATATCAAGACTTTGTTCAATCTGGTATTAAATGCACATCCCATTCTCATTAATTTCAGTTATCAGCGAAGAGGTTTCCGTTCATGTATTTAAGTCCGGTGTCAACAGCCACGGTGACTACCGTCTTGTCAGAACCTAGCTCCTTGGCCAGGGCAATGGCAGCGACGACATTGAGACCCGTGGAAGTTCCCACAAGTAGCCCCTCTTCCTGGGCAAGTCGCCGACACATGGTGCGCCCCTCTTCTTCGGAGATACCCCATGCCTCATCATATAAACTGCGATTGAGGTGAGGTGGGATAAAACCCACCCCAACACCCTCCACGCTATGAGAGCCGGCATGACCCTCCGTGAGGGTGGGTGAAGATTCCGGCTCTAGAACTATGGACCGTGTCTCTGGCCACCTCGATTTGAGCACTCGAGACACCCCCGTGACCATGCCAGCCGCACCAAACGTGCCACAGAAGGCATCAATTCCATTCGAGAATTGTGCAATCAGTTCTTTGCCGATTAAATCATATCCGAGAAGACTGTCCGTATTATTGAACTGGTCGATGAGGAGGTGTCCTTCCTGGCTGGCAACACCTTGTGCATGGCGTATCATAGAGGGGATAAGGTCTGCTGTGACGCAGCCGGATGGGCTGTGAATTATATCGACAGTGGCACCTAGGGCACGCATAGTTCGTAGCTTTTCGACTGCAAAGGCATTGGAAGAAGCCACCCTGAATTTGTATCCTTTGATGGCACAGACAAACGCCAAAGAAGAGCCAGTACTGCCACCACTGGCTTCCACAACTGTCATACCTGGCTGTAACTTCCCCTTACTCTCGGCTTGCTCAATCATGGACTTCGCCATACGATCCTTATACGAACCGGTCGGGTTCAAGTATTCAAGCTTCAGAAAGACCTTGGCATGGCCTTCCGGAACCACGCGCCGGAGACGCACGACAGGCGTATTTCCAATAGCATCCAACGCGGAGTTGACAGGCGATGGGGGTAAAGCCATGGTGTAAGCTTTGCTGATTTGGCTTGAAGTTCAAACTCGCGTCTTAGGATTGATGATGGTTTCCGGGCTAGAACGGCTTGGGTGCTGGAGGGAGGTCAGGAAAGCAAACCAAATTTGTGCGATACCAACGCAGTCGGTAAGTGAGTGGACCAGCAGAAAGCACGTAATAAATGTAAGGGAAGTCATCAACATAAGTCATGAAACGGACTTCTTCGGTGATTGAACCTCAAAGGCCGAACTTCAAAGGCCGAAGCCGGAAGGCCATTTTCAAAATGAAGGAGCAAAGATGGAGAAGACATAAGGAGCTGCCGTACAGTATGTCTCACGATTAATTTCACCGCCTACAGTCTTCCTCGTGCCTCCAACTCAGATGCCACTAAGCACCAAGCTAAGAAATACATTAGGCCAACGAAAAGGAGCTAGGTCGTTCTCTTGTTTTACAACCCACGTCATGGACACACCGCCGAAGGAAGGCATGACTCGGTCCGAATGATGGAAAGACGATGCATTATCCATAACAAGCACGGTTTTCGGCCCCGTCCACCTCCCACAATGCTGGAGAAGCTGCTTGATAAACGATACAATCGAGACATGGAGTGGTAACTTACCGCCTAGACGGGGGCTATACTGAGTGACCCACTTTCCTTAATGTTTTGTACAGTAATCTGGTATCCTTGACATTACGGTTTGTCGTAACACGATGGCAATGATTCCTCTTACATTTTAACGTACCAGGAATACCAGGAATGGCCAGTATATTTATGAAAATACACTGGATTTACTGGATAATGAGAGCAACCGAACCAAAACGGGTTTATGCAACGATGCAAAGATGAGATGGAAAGGTTTGTTGATACTGATGAACTAAACCACTGAACTTCATGGGGTTAAATGACTCAGGGGTTACAAGAAAGAGAGGGTAATGTAAGATTGTAGATCTCAGCCAGGCGCCGTGGCATCTGACGAGTCAATACAATACCAGGGGAAGTACTGACTAGTATTAGGCATATCCAATTGAGTGTTTGTTGATTGAAGATTGTATCCGTTGAGAGATCCTCAGGAGCCTGCTATAGCGTGTTACGGCACTATACTTTTATCTATCCGGATTACCATACAAAAATAAGGGAGGATGATGCGAACGCTGAATAAGCCTCTCCGTAGATCCCCTAGCGGTAAGATATCCCTGCCTCAGTTCGTCAATATTCAATCATTTAGTGAAACTGACCCTTAACGATTATTCATCTGGATTGTAACTTTTTCTACGATGATACACCAGTCCCATTCTCTGCGGATGATATCATCCGCCGAGTGATGACCAATCCACCCCTGCATTTCTAAGCCTCGGCAATAGTTTATATAGCTCCCCTCCATTCCCAGTTCATTGCACTCGACTAAAGTCTTCATAGCCATATCAATCATGGTTTCCAAGTCCATCGCAATTATCGCCGGCGTTGGCCCTGGCACAGTACGGTCTACTTATACATACACCCCCGCTATATAATAAATACAGTACTAACAAAACGTACAGGGCGCCTCGATCGCCAGAAAGTTTGCTAAGGCGTACTCTGTTGTTGTTCTGGCCCGAAACCCAGAAAACTTCGGCCTAGTCGTTCAGGAGATCAATGCTAGTGGCGGCCAAGCCTTCGGCATTAGTACTGACGTCTCAGACTTAGAGAGCGTGAATGCCGCCTTTGATAAGATCGCAGCTCAATACCCATCGTCTAAGGTTGCCGCCGCGGTGTTCAATGCTGGTGGCGGCTTAATCCGAAAGCCATTCCTTGAACTTACTAAGCAGGATTACTCAAACGCACTTGCATCTCAAGCGTACGATTCTTTCCACATAGTTTGCTCTCGATAAGAACAAATCAAAATGTGAATTTTGGGGTTTAGCACTAATTCGTATAATAGGCAAGGTGCTTTCAACTTCGCTCAACGCTCTCTCCCCCTCCTCTTAGATTCTCGTGAATCCTCCGAGTATCCTCCAACTCTGATCTTTACCGGAGCTACAGCGAGCCTAAAGGGCTCGGCTAACTTTGCTGCCTTTGCCTCAGGCAAGTTTGCACTACGCGCGTTAGCACAGTCGCTTGCTCGTGAGTTTGGACCGCAGGGTGTGCATGTCTCGCATACTATCATTGACGGTATCATTGACATACCCCGGACCAAGGCATGGGCCAATGAACATGTGGATGGGAAATTGAGCCCCGATGCTGTAGGTATTATTTCTTTTGGTATATTGATTTGGTCACTGACTTACTTTAGATTGCGGACTCTTATTGGTTTCTGCACACTCAGCCACGGACGACATTTGCCTTTGAATTAGATCTACGTCCATATGTTGAGAAGTGGTAGACATTTGATTTAAGTCCCGGGGTGCTTTTGAATCTACTGCACATAACCTGAGAGAAACGAGTTTCTCACTTGTTCCGGACTACCTGACGCGAGTATCTCGATTTGTATCTTTAAAAGTAATGCGCACAGGATACTATGAGAATTGATTCACTCTATTTCCAAACAATTAGTGCTAAGAAAGAGCCAGGCTACTTAAATGGGCAAGCCCTGCACTCACTCGGCTTTCTCGCTGCTCAATATCTGGGGACGGATCTATGATAAATTGATGATCTTTACGTTAGTTTCGTTATTATCTGATCTCATTGCGGCTGGGTATTTACAACCTCCTAATATATTGGACAATTTCCCATTATGCAAACTTCGCGCCAACATAACAGGGAGCATAAAAGTATATACAGCTCTTGACAAAGGGAAAGAAACAAACAATAAATGATGAATTTATTGGTTGAGAGACGGACGGGGTATGAGAGAACCTCCGACCCCTCGAGGACTATCTAACTACTCTCAGGACCATCCAGGGTCATGTGACCAACTAGGTCACATGATCTCAACAGCAGTGCCGCTGATGAAGTATTAGGCAATCTCTATATGGAAACTTCGAAGCTAGTATACCGTTTCATGCATTGCTTTCGCCCTTGTTTGGCGTCTTTTTCCTCTCAATTTTGGGTGCCTCAGGTTGTATGTGTCTGGTGTGTGTTAACCACATGGCTTAATTTATATATGTCGAGACGAGTTGGGGGAAATAAGACCGCTAGACTAAAAATGCTCCATTGGCCGGCCCCATTCTTAGTTGTTATCGTTATTTATTGCCTCAACAATATGTAACAGCACTTTACATAGCGATGACACCGCGAGATCGATCGTACAACATCAAGGCTGAAAACATACTATTTAAATTTGCTACTTAATTTAGTAGATTCTATTACTTAAATAAATCACCCGAAACTTGCTTTATTTAGTAGCTCAGTAAGCGTAAGCATGTTACATTATGTATGATTCAGTACCTGGGTCTTCTTAGAGACAATTTCGGACAGAGCCGCTGCCACAGCGTGGACATCGTTGCGCGCATGAACGCACGCTCAAACTCGTTCAAGGCGAGCTTGGGGACTTCAAGATAGCTTCCCTGAACGTCGTACTCGCCCTCCTCGATCTCGCGAGCCACATGACCAATATAAAGCGCCACCAATTCGGTGACAGAGGAAGGCTCACCATCCTGGGCCAATTCCTCTGAAGGCTCAGGTAACGAAGCAGTGAAGTAGTGTGTCAACTGCGAGGCATGACGATGAAGCGAAGTAGGAACGAGGAAAGAGAATTCGAGGGGCCCATGTGAGTCGATGAGAGGCCGGAGGGATCGAAAAAAAAGAGGCGTATTGATGCCGGTCTGAGAACCGTCATTAGGATCACAGTATCCAATTTGGTCGCGGCGTGGTGTAGAGATGTAGACGGC